GGGTAGGAAAGTAGAGAGAGAGAGAGAGAGAGAGGTAGTTAGAAGGCCTTTAAAGTTAAAAACCCTTTAAATAACCTATATTTACTTATTTTCCTAGTAAGAACTATAAAGGTAGGCTTAAAAGAAAGCTGAGATTAAGGCGGCTAATATACTAGCGCGATTATTTAATTTAGATGGTTATAGCATAAGTTATAGGTGAATTTGTAAAATTGGAAAAGTTTATATTATACGTTTTTAGGGCCTTAAGGGATTTTATTATTATAGCGTTATTGCTTTATAGACCTAGTCCGCATTAGACTTAGTCCCACAGATTCTAACCGGAAACATATTAATATATCTCTTAACTATATCACTAGCCCGCGCTAGCATTAGGCTAGCGCCGTCCTATATAGTCTTAGACTCACATAGGATATTAATGGAATAAATAAATAAATAAATAAATCAAGAATAAGGTCACGTGGGACACGTGACATATGTACCAACACAATCAGACAATTTAGACAAGTGTATCAAAAAGTTATAAGTGATTTCGTGAATTTGAAAGAGTTATTATAATATAAGCTACTATTTTTACCACCTATACTATATACTATAATTCATCCATCTTACTATTATGTCTTAATCATTGGCATATATTATGTGATTATAATAATTCAACCGGGTTTATATTTATTAAGTTTGCTTCATTTGCCACACCGCCGATTTTGCCCTCTCTCTCACATTCAATTCCGGGTCTTGTTCAAGCATCTCTAGCTTCGCAAGGAACCCAAGCTTCTTCAATTCGTTCGCTCGCTGTACACAAGCCTGTGTATCATTTGTATGATCTACCCACGTGAGGTTGGTGACCAACCAGCATAAAGTGTGGCGAACCTCAACGGTAGGGTTGTTAAATTGTGGTACTAGGAGTTTTAATAATTCTGTTTGCGCAATAACAAGTTGACGGTGACGAGGAATGCTTGCAGCCATATGTACAAGGATGTAACCAACAGCGGTGATGATCTCGGATTGCGGGGGGATGATTTGGGAGTTGGGTGACGACGTGTTTCGTCGATTGAACGGGTTGGCAAATTTGGGTCGTAGCTTGGATGCCAGAATGTCGAACACCCGGTCCTGTCCTAACGCGCTAAACAGAAAATCAATCATCTCTGTGGTCTCGGAGGTACTGCCGTGACCAGCACCCCCTATAAGATTGCGAATGAAGTCGAGGCCCTGTTCCTGTACGGCTATGTCATCTTTCCTGGCCTTCCTTGCGGGGTTTGTTTCTGCGTCCTTCAATGCCGCAAGTCGAAGCTCGGCTTGTAGGATCGACTTGCTACGCCCACTACTCGGGCGCGAACTGCTGGGCCGGCCCAGTGATTCAGCGAAAGCAGAGTCCAGATGATCTTCGAACTGGTCCATATCAACATCCTCATCCAATTCATCATGCGATTCCGACGTTGGGCCACCTTCGTCATTCCCTCTTGACGAGGAAAGGGCCTCATCTTCGGTATCGTCACAAATAAGTTGGACTAGCCAACCCTGGCCAAGTTCCTCGAGACACAATCTTTTCAAGTCATTGCCGACAGATTGCACAAAGTGCTTCAGGGCCCATACGGCGTTGAGCCTTAGTTTTGCATTCATGGAATGCGCATGCTCGCAAAGTATCTTCAGAACACCTGCTTCAGCGATGGCCTTGGGGTGGGGTTTAGCTGAATTCTATGAACAGGACACTGGGATTGCCTTACCTCACGCATGGGGCTGACATCGGTCACTAGGTTGCAAACAGTTGCGGTAGCTGCAATTTGGACCTCGATGTCAGGGTGCTGAAGAAGTCGAAATACAGGCATAGCAACGCCGTTGTCGATCAGAGTTGTTCTGAGAATACCGACCGAACGTGAAAGAGCTCGGATAGCGCCGCATGCAGCGATCAAAACATCAATTGAGTTCACTCCGTATCCTTGCCCAATCCTAGTTGCGTTCGAGTTGTTGATGACTCTTTCTGCCGGGTCGCTGATATTGGATGACGGCTTACTAGGATTGGAGTTCATAGATTCAACGATATAAGGTATCATGCCTTGATCCACGATCGCCTTCCGATACTCGTCCTTGAAAGGAACAAGTGCGGCAAGGGCTTTCAAAGAACTCTCCCTGACCGTGACTTTATGAACTAATTGTGGCGTCGGGCCCGGGTGGGTGAAATTGTGAGGTTCGAAACCTTCTCCCACTTTGCCGGCTTGCTTGCAATTTGGCGACCAGGAACGGGATTTCGACGTCTCAGTGACTGGATCGTAGGAAACCTTCAACATTTTCGAGAGCTTGCTCACCACACCAGCATCAAACGCAGCTTTTTGAAGGTATTCACTATCTGTGATAAGCAATGCAAGTATTGCAGGTGCGCGTTCTTTGATTGCCCACTGAACGCGTACTGCTTCATCATCTGCAAGGTTGTTCTTCGACTTGACTGGAGTAGCGATCTCGTCTAACATCTGGACTAGAATGGGCACTACTAGCAGGCCGATGGTAGTTTCCCTGGCCTTCTTGGTTAACCCAGCTCTATAGAGCACTGTCAGGACCGAGGCAGCCATTAGTCTCTCCTTGCCACTTCGTGTTCGAAGAGTTAATATGAGGTACGCGATCAAAGGACTCTCCGGTTCCTCCGGGCTACATACAGGCGTGTCTGGAGATACTGGTCCAGAATCAAGATTAGATGAATCACCCCAGCATGGAAGGGAGGCGCTATTGTATTTATTTGGACCAGAGCGGTCATTTGGCGCTAGTTGCTCTCTAGAACCGGAAGTGCCCAGCGGAGGGAATGCAGATGTTTGAGAGCTGGTACTCTTCGATTGGTGGAGAGGCATGGATGGCAGTAGGTAGTCGATAGCGTTCAAGTGACTTTGCCGGGCACTTAGACCGGCTATGTTGAAAGCATTCCAAGCAGCGCGTGCATTCTGAGTAGCTACAAATTCCTCAGCTGGAGTGGGGGGAAACACGGCTAGAATACTTGGGGAGTATAAGAGCTGTGACGCCCGAAATTTGGAATTGGCAATAACAACTGAAATCGCCTCCAATACCACCGAAAGGCTTGCATTTGGAGGGGTAGTGGTTGGAAAAAACTCCTGGAGGCCATCCCGTTGAGCTAGAGTCTCAGCACCGGGTATGACCAGACCTTCAGCTAATACGAAGCTTGCCAGTTTCGTTGCAAGAGCATCGAGTACGCCCGAGCTTGCCAATCCTTGTTGGTGGCGCTCTTCCCGACATAACCTCCCAATTAAAGATGCTGCAATCGATATCTGACATTGGACAATCGAGGTAGTCGAGGTCTGGGATAAGATACGACACAGAGAAGTAAGATATTGGTGGGCGAACAGCCCTTCGGCAATAGCACCTATGCCCACTGCTGTTGTGCCAGAAGTCAGAGAGGACGAATCAGCCAGATTTGAAAGAGCCCGAAGAGATGCCAGGACTATTTGCGCGGGGTTGTTCGATGGACAGAGATTAGAAAGAATGGCTGGCAAGGCAGAAGCGGATTGTAGAAAGGGAAGAAAGGCGGGCCCTCCTGATGAGAATGGTTAGCCAGATCAAGAACCAAGAGATTTAGACGCATTCGATGTGATACCTAAAGCAATGCTGGCTATGACTTGCAGGCCCTGTAGTCGTACCGTCTCCTCCTCCAGCAGAGGCTTATATGCAAAGCTGTGATGGTGGGATTTGCCGTCTTGCCTAGCAGCGAGCTTGTTTGATGCTAGACGTACAACCGGATCGAGTGTTCCCAGGCTTACAACTAATTCTTTCTTCAGGGGATGGCCGATGATTTCGTTCTTTAGGTTTCGTAGGATGGATATTTGCTCGGCGGGAGTTTTGGCGTTGCGAATCTGCGATACCCAAGCCTGTCGAGCCATGGCGGGAAACTTGGTGGTATTGGTAGAGGTAGAGGCAGAAGTAGAGGAGGCTGGTTCTGAATGGAGGTGGGCGTGGATGTGGTTAGGCAGAGGTAGAGGCAAAGGCAACTGGCAGAGATGCAATTGATATTGGTTTATTCGCGAGAGGCATACAGTACACTAGGTGTGTGTGGCTACCAAGCGTAGACCGAGTAATTGAGCAGTGACAGCGGTTGAATTGGTGAATGTAGTCAAATGTGATGGTACAATGCAATACTGTTGTATAGTGAATGAGCGATTGGGAGAGTGTAATAATGATGAAGTGAGAGTATAAATGGTTATGTACTGTAAAGTCCGCCGGTTGAAATGTTGCGCTAAGGCAGCCTCCGCAAGAGGTGGATCCTCAGCCTTGTCTTATCTTCCCTATTCTTGTCCGTGCCATCATCTTTGCTTGAGCTTTTCTTCTCTGGTGCAAAAACAAGGATTCTTGCACGCTCTTTTGACCAACCGCCAACCCCATCCAACCTAGCCTCACAACACAGTATAGTGCAGTACTAGATAATAGATGCAATCCCACAAGCTTCAAATTCTCCATTCTGCCCCGATCTTCACTTCAGTTGTTCGTTCAATCGCGCACCCACTACCAAGTATCGCCACATAAAGACACTTTATCGACACCACGCATCCTCCCACCGCTTCACTTCAGATATAAGGAGACGGAGGCCCAGTCGCATTTCCACCACTCCCAAATACTACAACACACAAGTAGCGGATGAAGGGCTGGAGGCTGGAGTCCCCCTGCCTTCACATCTAGTCTCCCAGAGGCGTCACCTTACACGTTTTTTCTATAATTCCTATAGTACTAGTAGATTGACTTGGAAAAGGAAATCCAACTCTACCCCACTCTCTAGTCGCCATCGAAACTCCAGGAGACCATATAGTCAATCGATCATGATTCTACCTTCAGGATCATGCTGAAATCTTTATCGCATCCTCAATCACCTGCGTCTTCACCCAGATTTCACTATGCGCCTGCCGCGCAGTCATTGCCACCACCTCCATTGTCACGAAGAGACCCCGCCACGTCCAAACCACAATCTACGGCCCCGAGAACAATTACTCCCCGCCGAGTGCAATATGTCGACGCTAGCACACAGTGGCAAAGCCCCGTCATGAATTTGAAGCTGGAAGGCGTGCCTTCGGAGGATGTCGCTGAGCGAGAACAGACACAACAGATGGCCGCTTCGTCGTCTGTCGCCAGCGTACCACCCCATTCTCCGTCCAGACCAAGATTACAGGCCCAGTCTCCTGGCATGAAAAGACGGCAATCTCGAGATGGGCATGCTTCATCGCACAACCACAGTCAGATTTCAGCGCCAAAACGTGCCAAGTCGGCCCAGGCTCAAGTCAAGGTTTTACCACCTAAATATGAATTCTGCGAAGTTGAAGATATGGTTATACTTATAGCCAACATGATATCGGAGCTTATTCAAACAAATGATGGTCTTCCTCTCCGAAGTGGAGTGCTCACTCGATTTCATTCAAGGTGAGGGACAAATCATATCTGCCGTTATACGCCGAGCTAACGCCTTGAAGGACTCCTCCTGGCATTTCCGTGCTTGATTATCTCCAAAGGCTTGCCAAACATGCAACCCTTACTCCGCCCTTACTTCTTTCCATGGTTTACTACATAGATAGACTCTGCTCACTTTATCCCGCTTTCACGATCACTACTCTCACAGTCCATCGATTCTTGATTACAGCTGCAACAGTAGCTGCAAAAGGCCTTTCCGATTCTTTCTGGAACAACGCCACGTATGCTCGAGTTGGTGGAATCAAATTAGCGGAGCTAGGTCTGCTTGAACTCGACTTCCTTTATCGAGTTGATTGGAAGATAGTTCCCAACCCGGAGGTGCTAGTCGACTACTATAGAGGGCTAGTCGAGCGTTCTGACGGCTACGAGCTGGAGAATGACTCAAGCTCAACAGAGGATGAAGAAGATGGTGATGCAGAAAGCGTTCAGAGCAAGGGGAGCCCAGAGGTAAAGTCAGAAGAAGATAATGATGTAAAGTGGAAAGCCTGGATGGAGGACGTTTCTACGCGCAAAGCAGGTGCTGCAGATGCTGGTAGCAGTAAGGGAATATCATGAAGGAATCAAGAATGGAGATACCCCGGGTCTTTTTTAGTTCATCAAATGGCTGCATTAGGAAAATGGCGTTTGGTTTGGGATATATGCTACTTGACGGTTTGTTCACATAGAGAAAGGTGGAGCGTGATACGGCATAAGTGCTTTGCCCGATCGAAGATGAGAACCGATCCGTGCGGAAGCTTTATCGCTTCAAATTAAGAACGTGTTCGTGATAATTATATGCAACTATTATTTGCTGGAAGAGGAAAACTTCGTTACTGTGAAGAGGCGGGGTGAACTGTAGGACGAACGAATCGGGAACTTCCGCGCGCTGCCCCCCGAAAGATGACAAGGCTGAGCTTCGTCTGATTCTACAGATACCATTTGTTCCCAACAGAGCGCTATGCCAATACAACAACGACAATGAGGAACCTATACTTTGTCTTCGCACTCTGTGCCCAGGCGTTCGGAGCCATCGCCTCGTCCGAATTGACCGATAGCACGACAATCTCCATCCAGGCAGTTGGATCGTCATCTGAGCCAATAAATACCCTCGCCGTGGTCTCCTATAATCCTTCCACGCTGTCCGCAGAGCTGCTCTCCTTCGAGTCGCCAGAGCTTTCATCAGACTCTAAGCTTCTGCGCCTAGGCGTCTACGATGCTGCAACTTCAAGCTGGAAGTCTTCCACGTCTACGACATCCGCGGAGAGTTTTTCCAAAGGGTACTCGCCGACATTGGTGCTATCCCTCGATGCACAAGGTGGAATCATAGGGGTCACTTGCAAAAGCGCGAAGATTGATGCTGGGCAGACAAGGGATTTCGGGCCAAAGGTTACCGTGTTGCGGATGGGGAAGGGAAAGAATCCTGAGCTGAACCGACCTGTTGTCCTATCACCGGAAGGGAAACTGGAGGAGCCTGTTCCAGAGAAGACAATGCTACAGAAGTAAGTCAACTAGCCTGTAAGGGAACGCTCATGACTAATATTTGGGCTGTAGGTACTGGTGGGTGTTACTTGGCGGCGTCATGCTTCTGATGTCGACTGGAGGAGGAGAATGATCGGATGCTGCAGTACGGAGTGCTGGGCCTCTAGTTAGATGAACGCCTGCGGTTTTTCGACTCCTGCCTACCCAGGCATGAAGATACCTGCAGACTTGAAATGTATGTCTACCATTGTACCAATTTTGAGCCAGAACTTCAGCAGTTTAATCACTGGCGTATACGCTGTCAATATCCGAGTAGATACTTGACTTGCATGCATGCGGTGAGTATCTCAAAAGGTGGTGAATCCACTTGAAGCACCTGTTTCAACCGCTTCCATTGAGTTGACTTGATGCCCTGTCTATCGAACGACCACCTTATGATAGACTAGACCTTTCCCCTTCTAATGGCATTCCTGTTTTGAAACATTCCAAATATCTTCACCCTCTTTGTACTTTGACATCATCGTCGCTTCAACGGCTCCACAGTAGAAATTGGAGAGACAGTATTTACAGTAGACAGCGCAAAAGTCATTCAGACGACTGTATTTTCTGTGGTATGGACAAAGACACTTACTGGTTACGTTTTGTTTTTGGCATTTGAGACCGCTTTTGTTGCCTTCACTAATATAGCTCGCTTCTACCTACTTAGGTAGGCACGCGTAAAACGCGACTCTCCAAAACAATATCAAACAACCCACTTCTCAGGACAAACAACATACACATACATCAGTCACCACACCACAATACCTTTCCAGCCTCCAAAAAACAGTCAACATGGCCGATAAAAATGGATCAGCGACTCTGCAAGAGAATGGCAGCGCAGCCAACCCTACTTCCGATGCCAAGGGCAAGGGCAAGGCGGCTGAACCTGAGACCCGTGAAGTGAACATGGAAGGCGAGGACAGCTCCAGCGAAGAAGAAGTTGATGATGTATGTTGCGCGCAGCATCCCGCCTCCTCGTGATCGCATTTACTGACCTATTTTGCAGAATGAACCTGTTGGTAAGCTTCTTCCTCTACCTGATCGCTCTGCGCACTTGTTCACAAACACCAGTGGATGAACCCGATGACGATAACATGGAGGAGATCGACCCTGAAAACATCATCTCTGATGGTCGTCGCACTCGTGGCCGCAAGATTGACTTTGCCAAGGCTGCGGAGGAGAACCCGGAGGAGGACGAAGAATCCGAAGATGATGGGGATTTCGAGGCTCCTGACGACGAGATGGAGGAATAGATAGATTGTCGAAGCCGTGTCGGGTGAGTGTTAGGGCTGAGCTATGGACAATTTCGTACTCATTGGCTCCTTGGTTCGCCAATACTCGTCGTGCCTTCGCTTGGGTTCCCTTTCTTGTATCGAACATACGCAATTCATCGGTATCTTTTGTTAAATCAGCAAAAGATTCTTCCTTGGGGCATGGCATCTGAAGATGTTGGGCATACGATGCTATGAATTGGACATGGATACGACAGTGCTTGTTCGCCTTAACAAGGCTGAACTTTAGATATGGAAATAACAGAAATAAATGAACACCCACCAAACAATTGTATATTCTTTACTCTGAAATGAACAACTTGCATAATATACAACGTCCACATGGGCAGCACCAAAAGAGGTTGCGACATCAGCTGTACAACAAAGGTATTCAATGAAAGTTCTTAGTTCTAGTGACTACAGCTACAGTACACTCCTTCGTCAAATTACAAGCTACGTAGACCTTGAATTCTCGAGCATCCAAAGGCCCAACGCTGAACACCGTAATGGCATCAAGGTTAGCTTTCTACCCCTATCAACTTATTATATTGGCATCGTGTTGCAATATCAGCTCGCGTCAGATAGCCCATTTTGTGGAGAGGATATGAGAGCCACGTCTCTCAAGATATTCTTTCCCGCACTGCTTTGTCTCCTACCTGCTAACAGTCTCTCCATAGCAGGTTCGGCGGCTCGTCACTCCACCAGCGGGATCCAAGGAGTGCGCTCTTTGAGAACTATAACGGCGGCGCGAGCGATCAGACGCGAGCTGGCAGTGCAAGCCCGAACAAACCGGGGGGGTATGGAGGTGGATACGGCTACTCTGGGGCTGCGAATGGCTCCGCAGGTCTCGGTGGTGGGTTAGGAGTAGATAGACCGGGTTATAGACCTGCTACACCAAATTCGAGGTATGTTGTCGTCCTGGGTGGGCCGGGGAGTATGACCCGTAGAGGTTGGATAGCTCATACATCACGGACAGAGGCCAATACAGCGACGCAGTACTTAATGAACTGGAGAGTCAGAATGACGGCCATGTCGAGGGAATACTGGGCAAAGTCAGACAGCTGAAGGACGTAAGTATGCCATGTTGTCTAACAAGAGCTGGTGTTGACTTTGTCCTGTAGATGACTGTTGCAATCGGCGACGAGATCCGCGACTCTTCTGCACTAGCAGAGAAGATGAATGAATCTTTTGACGGTACGAGGGTGCGGCTACGGGGAACCATGAACCGCATGCTGATTATGGCCGAAAAAACCGGCGTGGGGTGGAAGGTCTGGCTGGCTTTCTTCGCAGCGGTGGGCTTTCTCTTCTTCTACGTCTGGGTCTTTTGAGATCATGGCTCGTTACACTTTGGAAGGAATTCAGACTTTAGAGGATGATGGATAGCATATGCATACGTTTGGGCGTTTGGGATGGCTTGTATGATAGGGCATAATTGTTGGTAGCCGTGGGGCTTGACTATGTTAATACCACTTGCGTTTTCGAGAAACATTATTGCTGAAACTCCTTGTCTTGTTCAAGAGGGGTGTTTGGTATTGTTTACTACCATAGCTGCGAAAAATTCATTAATCACTCACCCGGCCTGGAGATATTACAGGATACTGGCACCAGATTGATTAGAGAGTCTTGTCTTCATTCATAAAAACTAATTTACCCAGCCCCCTACGCTCGTGCTCGACGAGCTGACCTTTGCCTCGGACTGCTTCCTACTTGGCTACTTCCATTTGATAGCATGCTGCTTAAGTCCAAACTATTCTGTGTCCCATCGCTTCTGACCATGCTCGCGCCTGGCTGATAACGGGGAAGTACACCAGCATCAATGCTCTCATCATCATCATCATCATCACTACTACTCAGTTCGGCCTCTGTATCGGTATGTTCGTAACCTCCGGCTTCGGGGATTTCGGCATCAAGATCTGCATCCATGTCCATGTCCATATCCTGATGACCTGCTCCTGACTGAACGAGATCCTCTTCTTGGAGCATTTGCGATTCATCCCCATCGATGGTCGAGCCCCCTTCATCACCGAAGCGTGTCGTGCCAACCTCTTCACCACGAACAAGAGCCTCTCTGTAGACATCATCTGGCAGCCGTGAAGCAAGTATCCCTCTTGGGATCTCATCACCCTCATCCTGCTCCAAATCCTCGTTGTCGGAATCTTCCGCCTCGTCTGCTTCTAATTGAGTGGTCTCTGCTTCTGGCACATCGTCATCTAGATCCCTTGCTTCTTCCATATCGCCGTCCATGCCTTCGCCCTGCAAAAGCCCGTCTACATCTCCCGCTTCAGCCTCGGCCAGCTCTTGCGCCATTGCCTCGCGTCTTAATGCCTCTTGATGTTCCTCCATTTCTCGCTTTTCTTCTCGTAGCTGGTATAAGGACTTGGGGATGCCAGGAGGTTTGATCCATGAGTTCCCATAATTCTGTACATTCTGTTTCCGGCGTTCTATGTATTCTTCATCCAGACGCAGTCGCGCAAGAGGATGGCGGTGGGCTGCAAGATGTCGCCGATGGGATTGCCCTGCATGTTGATTTTGGGCGGAAGCACCATGGTGATCGGGAAGTGTGTCCCTAGGTTGAGAGATATGGGTAGAATTGGACGTATACCAGATGCTATGCGACTGGAGCAAATAAGTATAAATGGGTATAGAAGGAGGCCTGGACGTACATCTTGAGGGGCGAGACTTGGTAGGGAGAACATTATGTTTGGTTTAGCAAGCCCCTATAGGTGTATGAAGAAAGGAGTGCTATAATTATTTGCAGATGGTGTTGTCAGCTTTTGCTTATGATCCAGCCTTGTTATCGTATGAAGTAGGTTGGTAGTTAATGCAGCCTCGAGGCCCGTGCGTGTGAGGAAGGCAAGGATCCCCCCACTGCTATAGGCTCCACTTAAGTATAAGTTTAATTATAAATATAAATTAGATACCTAAGCAGCTAAGGTAGATTCACCACTGGTGGTTGCATTTGAATCTTGGAGAATTCAGTTTGATTAAAGTACGATCCAGGCCTATGACCCATGCGCACTTGGCTCTACGAGAATTAACCCTAGCCCTAACGCACACGCCTGCTTCCTTGGCTATAACCTCAAAGAGGGAGTAATTCCACGTAGTATCTCTGCCAGCCTTGCTCTCCCAAACTAAGTATTTGTATCTCAGGTAGAGAGCTCTTGTAACATCTTTTCTCTTTTTGATCTTCCATTCCAGACTCAGGAGTCTCAGGAGCCCCAGACACCGCGAGCCCTTCCAACTCCATTTCTCTTGCAGCCTCTCCGCCAAATATAATTAAACCCTCCTTCATTTCTATAAATTCGGCTTTCTCTCCATCTTTTCGGTAGCATTCGCAACATCGAACTTTGTCTACCTCCAACAGCGATGCTTTACACTCTTCCAACCGATCTCTTAAGTCAGCAGTTTCCGCCTTTTCGGTATCTCTCCCGAGGTGGAGGCCACTATAATGCTTCCAATAGAGTCTCTGAGAGACTATGCTTTTCGCTTTTATGGATTTAAGCCTGGGGTAGCAACTTGCTCAAGGCTATGGACGGTCGTATGATAGTATACGGAGTTGACTGGAACATATTAATAAGGCTCTCATATTGTAAAGTGGTGATATTTTTCTGATTTGAACGTGTGATGGCTTAAAAGTCATCAGTTTCCCCTTAATTATTATTTGACAATGCCGCATCCAAGGGCTAAAATCCAGCCTTGTTCTAGCCTAAAACGCGTGTAACATACGATGAACGACGACTTGAAAAGAAGCACATAACTAAATATAGTATATACCTTAAGTACTTGTATGAATCTCCAGGCAGTCGCATTTTGGATGAGAATTTTCGGATTCAAATGTCCTATTAGTTTAGTAGGTATTTTGACAATAAAGGCTTTCCAATGCACCACCGTGCAAATGCATGGGCAACCCAGATTGGGTGATTCTATCCAGAACACAGGCTGCTACGGTGCTACACATACGGGTACATCTACGCAGCGAGAATGCTGTACGTTTATTCTATGTACTGTACCAGTATTGCGGTGCGGTGCGGTGCGCTGGCTGTTGTTGCAATGCAACATATAGATTCCCCTCTTACTCCTCAGTCCTGAGTCCTGACTGCATTGCAATCTCCTCGGACATAAAGTACGCGTTAGGACCGCGACGAGGCTAGCTGGGGGCCTGCTTTGATTGCATTGCCTTCTCAGGAGAGGAGAGGTGATCGTACGTACAGTACCGTATGGTAGATTATTGATAATTCGGTTTGTAATTATTCTCGTCAAACACTCGAGACTCGTTCACCTTTTTTCCTGATGCAGTGCACCAGAAGCACGCCGGGCCTATTTGCGTTCCGGCGCGGGGCAAGGGAAGGGAGCTCACTATCCGAGACATCTCATTGGCCAAAGCTTCTCTTCCAATGTGTCATTTGAGGATGGCACGACCAATGAGAGCATGGATATTATTATTCCAGCATTTGCAGCAATCCCACCTCACCCCATCCTTAAGCTTGCCCTTGCTTACCAGTACTCCTTTCGTACTGCAGCAACCCCCCCCTCACCCTCTACCTCTTGGAAGCACTCGTATAAAGTACCCCGACCCTGCTTTACCGATATCGGGCTTGGGATGAAAGAAAAATTCCTTCAACTGTTCCCCCGGAAAATTGAGGCTACATTAGATGCTCGCTGATTGGCCATCTCTGCTGCACGTTCACGTTGTTGCATCGACATGTACATCACATAACACGACATGCAGCTGTCTGTCTGTCTGTCTGTGCGGGGTCCTGGGAGTGGAGAGGGAGCACTGAGAGGAGAAAGAGTACCAGTACGGGCGATGATTCTTATATGACTGACTACCTACCCAGGCATCCTACCCAGCAAGAATGCTTTGAGGACCATAGTATGACATTCTGATTATAGAGATACAGTAGACAGCCCTTTATTCAAGTGTAATTCAATCATAACATAACAACAAGAACAATGGCAGCAATAATAAAAGGGAAAATACTGCAAAGGGATTCGACTTCCAGACCGGAGTTACCCGCCGAAGAGGAGTAAATCGGACTAAGTCTCGTTAGCGCCATTATTATAAAAACGATAAATCCCCCACCAGAAAAACAAAACCTTCTTCTTAACTCACAGGTAGGCAAGTCATCTTCAATCTGACCTGCTATTTTCACTGTTGCTGTCGCCGTTGCTGTCACTGTCGCAGCTTTGCTCCGACAAACTGATCCCGAAGTAAATTGTAAGCTCTTCCTCTCCCCTCCCCATGCCTTGCTGTTAGTACTGTACCCCTCAATTCGCACATACGGCCCTTTCTGCCTTTTGGAGACGAGAGGAGACGACAGTACACAGTGTCTCATTGTCATTACATTCCCAGCTGTCCGTGCTACTCGCCATGTCAATCTGGACACGGCACAACAGGTCTGATAATTGTCCCATATGAAATACAAATACTGCAAGCGCTCGTTTTCTACTCACTACTTGCACCGGGCTTTCGCATCACCCTTCGCGCAAAGCTAACTAATGTGAAGGCAACCAGAGAGCAGACCAACTCTGAAAACCTTGTCGCACGTCTCCCACAAAACATAGAGCGAGCGCCCCGCTTTACCAAGTCGCCGCAACTTGCCATGGCAAAAGTTGACGAATTCGACGACAGAAAAACCCAGATCATTGCCGAAAACGCACCGTACCATCAGTATGAATATCAGACCGAGAAAAACGAGTCATGGGCGGGCGCTCTGCCCGTGAAGCAGTGAGTTGACCTCTTCCACTTCCACCTCCATCATGGAGAGCCTGCGCTGACAAGAACAAACAGAGGGTTGTACGATCCCGGCTTGGAGAAGGATGCCTGTGGAGTGGGCTTTGCATGGTAACACTTGCTCTATCACCTGTGCAAATGCGGCGAGAACTGACATTGGCTCTAGCCACATAAAGGGCAAGGCGAGCCACAAAATCGTCAGCGATGGTATGCCCAGACCTTCGTATACCTTGAATCTGTGTTCGCTGACATGTTAAACACGCAGCACGAAACCTCCTTTGTAACATGACCCATCGGGGTGCGGTGGGCTCAGATGCACGAGACGGAGATGGAGCGGGTGTAATGACATCAATTCCTCACAAGTTTTTCATCAAGAATTTCGAACGCGAAACGGATATCAAGCTTCCTCCTATGGGTCAATATGCAGTGGGCAATCTTTTCTTCAAACCAGATGAGGAGACCTTACAAGAGTCAAAGAGACAATTAGAGGATATCTCAGAATCACTGGGTTTGAGGGTATTGGGATGGCGAGAGCCTCCTAAAGATTCTACTCTTCTTGGCCCTGCCGCTGCTTCTCGTGAGCCTATTATTTTGCAGCCTTTCGTTGTGCTAGCATCTGCCTATGGGCCAGGAAACTCGCCAGAGACCACAGATCCTGATCATTTTGATGAGAAATATTTCGAGAGACAACTTTACGTGCTGCGAAAGCGTGCGACCCATACCATTGGTCTTCACAATTGGTTTTATCTATGTTCCCTTTCTAACAAGAATATTGTTTACAAGGGCCAGCTTGCACCCGTGCAGGTTTATCAGTATTATTATGATCTGGTAAACGCTGATTACGAAGCCCATTTTGCTCTTGTACATTCCCGTTTTTCTACCAATACCTTTCCTTCGTGGGATCGTGCTCAGCCCTTGCGATGGGCAGCTCATAATGGTATGGAACTTTGTAAATCCCCATGCCGTGCTTACACTAACACCCTAATTAGGTGAGATAAACACACTGCGAGGTAACAAGAACTGGATGCGTGCTCGTGAGGGTGTCATGCAGTCTGATGTCTTTCGCGAAGAGCTCGAATCGCTCTATCCCATTGTTGAAGATGGTGGCTCTGATTCCGCTGCTTTCGACAACGTCCTGGAGTTGTTGACTGTAAATGGGGTTTTGTCATTGCCTGAAGCTGTTATGCTTATGGTGCCCGAGGCTTGGCAAGGCAATGCTGCCATGGATCCAGCCAAGGCTGCCTTCTATGAATGGGCAGCTTGCCAAATGGAACCTTGGGATGGACCAGCCCTCTTCACATTTGCGGATGGAAGATACTGCGGTGCAAATCTTGACAGAAATGGTCTTCGGCCCTGCAGATACTATGTACTGGATGATGATAGAATCATTTGTGCGTCGGAGGTCGGAACCATCCAAGTTGATCCCGAGCGTGTCGTTCTCAAAGGTCGGTTGCAGCCGGGAAAGATGTTGCTTGTCGACACGCTTGCAGGCCGAATCATTGACGATGCCGAGCTGAAGAGTACGGTCTCCAACCGCCACGACTTTCGATCATGGCTTCACAAAGAGCTTATCAGCTTGCCCAAGATTTACGAAGATCTGGTCACCGATGGAACCCTGGATCTCGCTGCGAAGCCTGACTCTGCAGCAATTCAAGAGGATGCTATGCTGAGGGCCTTTGGATATTCATTCGAACAAGTCAGTCTGCTTTTAGGGCCTATGGCTTCTGACGAGAAAGAGGCCCTTGGATCTATGGGAAATGATGCTCCTCTAGCATGTCTTGCTGAAGCACCTCGCTTGCTTTACGAGTATTTCCGACAACTCTTCGCACAGGTCACCAATCCACCAATCGATCCTATCAGAGAGGCCATTGTCATGTCCTTGGAGTGTTATGTCGGCCCACAAGGTAATCTACTGGAAATGGACCAATCCCAATGTGCTCGATTATTGCTACCAACGCCTGTTCTGTCGATTCCCGAGTTCAACGCTTTGAAGAACGTCAGCAAGCTCAACCCCTCGTGGACGGTGAAGGTCATTGACTTGACATTCCCCAAATCCGAAGGCGTCAATGGCTATATCAATCATCTCGATTACATCTGCGACCAAGCAACTGCTGCAATTGCGAACAAGGACCGTATCATTATTCTCTCTGACCGTGCCACCTCTGCCGATCGTGTCCCTGTTTCTGCTCTACTTGCTTCTGGTATGGTCCATCATCATTTGGTCAACAACAAATGGAGGTCACTCGCAGCTTTGGTGGTTGAGACTGCGGAAGCCCGTGAAGTCCATCACATGTGCGTGTTAGTCGGATACGGTGTAGATGCCATAAATCCGTATCTCGCCATGGAGTGTATTCTTAAGCTCAACCGTGAGGGCTTGATCAGGAAAAAGCTAAGTGATGATACACTCATTCGTAATTACAAGTATTCTGCAGATGGTGGAATCTTGAAAGTCATGAGCAAGATGGGTATCTCTACCTTGGCTAGTTACAAGGGTGCCCAGATCTTCGAAGCCCTAGGTGTTGATGATACTGTCGTGGATCGGTGCTTCAAGGGTACTGCCACTAGAATCAAGGGAATCACCTTTGAGCTCATTGCAGAAGATGCATTCCGGTTCCACGAAAAGGGCTTTCCTTCCCGATACACTGTCGGTATCCCAGGTCTTGCTGAATCTGGTGAATACCACTGGCGTGATGGCGGCGAGCCACATATCAATGATCCTACCTCCATTGCCAACATTCAGGATGCAGTTCGGACCAAGAATGATAAATCATATGAGGCATACTCGCTCGCCGAGTACGAGCAGATCAAAGCTTGCACACTTCGAGGTCTTCTTGACTTCAAATTCGATGAGTGTACGCCAGTTCCGATCGACCAGGTCGAGCCTTGGACAGAAATTGTGCGACGATTCTGTACTGGTGCCATGTCATATGGTTCAATTTCCATGGAATCTCATTCAACCTTAGCCGTTGCTATGAATCGTCTTGGTGGAAAGTCCAACACCGGTGAAGGTGGTGAAGACCCCGAGAGATCTGAAAGAATGCCAAATGGTGATACTATGCGCTCGGCAATCAAGCAGGTTGCCTCGGGTCGATTTGGGGTTACGTCTAACTACTTGGCCGATTCGGACGAGCTTCAGATCAAGATGGCTCAAGGTGCTAAACCTGGAGAAGGTGGAGAGCTCCCTGGCCACAAAGTCTCGAAGTCCATTGCCAGAACCCGCCACTCGACGCCTGGTGTTGGTCTCATCTCGCCTCCACCCCACCACGACATCTACTCTATCGAAGACTTGAAACAGTTAATCTATGATCTCAAATGCTCCAACCCTCGTGCAAGAGTCTCTGTTAAACTTGTTTCCGAGACTGGCGTGGGAATTGTTGCGTCTGGAGTCGCTAAGGCTAAGGCCGACCACATTTTGATCTCTGGCCACGATGGTGGAACTGGTGCTTCGAGATGGACCGGTATCAAATATGCCGGTCTGCCTTGGGAGCTCGGTCTTGCCGAAACCCATCAGACTTTGGTTTTGAATGATCTCCGTGGTCGTGTTGTTGTGCAGACTGATGGTCAACTTCGGACTGGCAGAGACGTCGCCATCGCCTGTCTCCTCGGAGCCGAAGAATGGGGTTTTGCCACGACCCCCCTTATCGCTATGGGCTGTATCATGATGAGAAAGTAAGTTTTTTAAGACATCTATCTTCCCTGGGACATCTTGGCCCGGATTTTCATTCACTTGCGAACCATAGTTGGTTGGCCTCGTCTTAGGCAGCAAAAGAGGCACTGGTTTATAATGTTACAACGCATGGCACATTAAAAAGGCCATGTTGATGGCCGCTTTTGTGTTCCCCACGAATCCTTGGAACACTACTGAACAAGCAATGCTGACTCTAATATCTTAACTTTAGGTGCCACTTAAATACCTGTCCAGTCGGTATTGCGACTCAGGATCCTGAGCTCCGAAAGAAATTTCAGGGGACTCCTGAACATGTTATTAACTTCTTTTACTATATTGCTAACGAACTGCGAGCCATTATGGCCAAGCTTGGTTTCAGAACTATCAACGAGATGGTTGGCCATGCCGAATGCTTGCGAGTTCGCGAGGACCTCCGCTCAAACAAGACCCAGAACATTGACCTGTCTCTAATCCTTACACCAGCACACAAGCTTAGACCCGGTGTTGCTACCTTCAACGTCCGAAAACAAGACCACCGTCTCTACGTTAGATTGGACAACAAATTGATATCCGAGGCCGAGTTGACCTTGGACAAGGGCTTGCCCTCACGGATTGAGTGCGACATTGTCAATACGGATCGTGCCATGGGGACTTCTCTCTCGTACCAGGTTTCCAAGAGATATGGTGAAGAGGGGCTTCCAATGGATACCGTTCACGTCAACATCAAGGGATCCGCTGGGCAATCATTCGGAGCTTTCTGTGCGCCAGGTATAACTTTGGAATTGGAGGGTGATGCCAATGACTACGTTGGGAAGGGTCTTTCAGGTGGCCGTCTGATCATCTACCCGCCCCGTGCTGCTGTATTCAAGGCGGAAGAGAACGTTCTTATTGGCAACGTCTGCTTGTATGGCGCTACTAGTGGAACTTGTTTCTTCCGCGGAGTGGCTGCAGAGCGATTTGCTGTGAGAAACTCCGGCGCAACAGCCGTTGTCGAAGGTGTTGGAGACCACGGTTGTGAGTACATGACTGGAGGACGTGTCCTCATTTTGGGCAGTACCGGCCGAAACTTTGCTGCCGGTATGTCTGGTGGAATTGCCTACATTCTCGACATTCAGCAAGACTTCTTATCCAAGCTCAACCCCGAAATGGTTGAAGCTTCGGGCATTGATGATCCCGCCGAAATTGCCTTTGTCCGTGGCTTGATCGAGGACCACCACCACTATACTGGATCCGAACTTGCTGCTCGTATCCTTCTTGATTTCAACCGAGCTCTGCCTCGCTTCGTCAAAGTCCTACCTGTTGACTACAAACGAGTGTTGGACGAAGAGGCAGCTAAATTAGCCGAAGCTAAACGCTTGGAGTATAAGCTCCCTCTTCTCCCTGGCAACCCCGTCCGTGAGCTCCATGAAAAGAGCTCGAAGGAGAAGCACGAGAAGAAGTCGGACCTTCAAGATATCGAGGAGACTATTGGTGATTCTGCGGTTGAGAAGAAGCGCTCGTTGGTCTTGGACAAGACTAAGGGCTTTATGAAATACCAGCGCCGCTCCGAGAAATACCGCTCCGCGAAGACCCGAACCCGCGATTGGGCTGAGCTTTCGAAGAGACTCGATGAAGATGAACTGAAGTATCAGGCTGCGCGCTGTATGGACTGCGGTGTACCTTTCTGCCAATCTGATTCTGGCTGCCCAATATCCAATATCATCCCCAAATGGAACGAGCTTATCTTCCAGGTTCGTGACACCTATAGTAGCCCCAATCTCCTTTTTTTTTTTGTGGCATTTTGGTGACAAAGGAAATATTCTAACCGTTTCTGACAGAACCAATGGAGAGAAGCCCTCAACCGCCTGCTAATGACCAACAACTTCCCAGAGTTTACTGGACGTGTTTGCCCAGCTCCTTGCGAAGGTGCATGCGTTCTCGGCATCAATGAGGACCCCGTTGGTATCAAGTCAATTGAGTGCGCAATTATTGATCGGGGATTTGACATGGGTTGGATGATTCCCCAACCTCCAAAGGTTCGTACTGGGAAAACCGTGGCTGTTATTGGCTCTGGACCTTCAGGTCTTGCTTGCGCCGATCAGTTGAACAAAGCCGGTCACCAGGTGACCGTTTATGAACGTGCCGATCGGTGTGGTGGTCTTCTCATGTATGGAATTCCCAACATGAAGCTTGATAAGAAGATTGTCAAGCGGCGCACAGATTTCATGGCTGCCGAAGGAATTGTTTTCAAGACTGGCGTCGCTGTCGGAGAAGATGTGACCCTTGCAGGTCTCAAGGCTGAAAATGATGCTGTCGTTATTGCTACTGGTGCTACAGTTGCTCGTGACCTTCCAATCAAGAACCGCAACCTTGAAGGGATTCATTTCGCTATGCAATTCTTGCACCGAAACACGAAGTCGCTCCTTGACTCTGAACTTGCCGATGGGGAGTATATTTCGGCCAAGGACAAGAACGTTGTTGTCATTGGTGGTGGTGATACTGGAAATGATTGCATTGGGACCTCAGTTCGTCACGGTGCTAAGTCAGTCACGAACTTTGAGCTGCTGCCACAGCCTCCCAACGATCGTGCTCGTGACAACCCATGGCCTCAATGGCCAAGAATCTATCGTGTCGACTATGGTCACAGTGAGGTCAAGCAGCACATGGGCAAGGATCCTCGCGAGTTTTGTGTCATGTCTGAAGAGTTCGTTGACGACGGGTCTGGAAAGGTCAAGGGCATCAACACCATCCGCGTGGAATGGACCAAGTCTGCAACGGGCGGTTGGGACATGAAAAAGGTTGATGGTTCGCAGCAATTCTTCCCAGCTGAGCTTGTACTCCTATCTATGGGTTTCCTTGGCCCGGAAGATCGAGTGCTTGGTGACGAAATTGAGAAAGATGCTCGCAAGAACATCAAGACGCCACCTGGAAAATACCACACTAACGTTGAGGGCGTCTTCGCAGCCGGCGATTGCCGTCGTGGCCAATCGCTCATTGTTTGGTAAGTTATACACTCTCTGATAGATTTTGCAATGCTAATCAAACATAGGGGCATTAACGAAGGCCGACAGTCAGCACGTGAGGTCGATCTCTATCTTGAAAAGTCCACCAGCCTCCCAGTCACTGGTGGCATCGTGAAGCGTACTGCTCAGGAGATCTTCGGCCGAGGCCTGGCCGGTGAGGTCAGTATTCAGGTCACTGCTGCAGCGAACTGAAGAAGGCATGATTGGTGGCCCTCTGCGAGTACTTCTACTTCTCCAGCAGGAAGCGGCACCAGTCAAGATGAGGCTACTGATGGTGGAGGACTTGCCAGGCTGCCTGTGGCACAGGGCCTGAGCGCGCGTCGGGAAGGTGCCACTTCGTGCTTGTACTCCTGATATTTTGGATTGATGGTTTGATTTCAGCGGGTCTTCATGGCAGTTAGTTGGTTTCTAGGAGTCGGCGTGCGGTCCTCGAATTTCGTGTACATAAAATTAAGATGCCAGTACATACACATTAACTTGATTATTATTATTGTGACATAAGAGACATGCAGTTCCGTAACCTGCGTAGACTGAAGTGACTCGTTGAGAGGTGACAGGCAAAGCCAATGGTCATTGAAAATACACAAGTACGTGTTTCAACAACATAGTGATAACGTGTTACCAACCTAAAGTTACCTAGTAAGTACTTAGGGTGTATAAGTACCTCTAATGTAAATACTTATACTCGTACTAGCGGGGCCCTTTGTTAATGGCCAATCAGAGGGTGCACGTGCGTACACTGAAGTCTTTAGAGGCACTTGCACTGCACTGCACCCCACCAAGCCCAAGCTCTCTGTCTTTCTTCTTTCTTAACAGACCCTGACGCTCGCCCAACAAGCACTACACATCATTGCTGCACCAATTCCCCTTCTCAGCTAACTTTCCTACTGGTATGAGCAGGTAGGATCCGATTATCACCCCGCATCCCCATCGCAAGCTCTAATCTGATCGGATTAATTAGAACAAAGCTTGTCAATTTCAGTGCCTCTCACTTCCACCTACTGCGATACATGACACTTCACCCATCTGCGCCCTCCCACCTCTCCATCTACGCAGCACGAAGTAGCTTGTCTGATTAATTTAGCTATTGAATCAATACGACAACTACCACCCCCCCGTTCAACATGCGTTTTGGGAGGAAGTTGCGGAACTCGGTCTACGAGCCATGGAAGGATAACTATATGAACTATTCCGAGCTCAAGGTAGGCAATTCTGGATATCGTCCGGAGCATTATGGACTGGTCCGCTAATACATTATTTTCAAGAAACTTCTGCGCGACGATGAAGATGACCCCAGATGGACCGAGGATGATGAGAACAAGTTCTCAGACAGATTGGTGAACATCGAGTTGGAGAAAGTCGCTTCCTTCCAATCGTCCGCCTTCAAGAGCTTGGAAGATCGAGCAAACAGGGCCGGTGAGAAGCTGCGAGAGCTGGCTCCAGAAGATGGAACACCTAAAGGAACCATCACAGTCAGCAGGTTCAAGGAAATAGAAGACGAGTTGGACGCCATAATCAACGAGACCAAGGAATTGAAGAAGTATAGCAACATCAATTATACTGGCTTCCTCAAAATCGTCAAGAAACATGATCGCAAGCGGGGAAACAACTACAAGATTAGGCCTATGATGCAGCAGCGCCTATCAAGCAGGCCCTTTAATTCCGAGCAGGGCTATGCCCCATTGCTCAACAGATTATCAACGATGTACTATGTGGTCCGCCAGCAGTTGGATGAGTCTTCCGACCAAGCAATTCCACCGACCGATGCTCAATCACAGACGCAGAATGGCGAGAAGCACATGGTTTACAAATGTTAGTATTTAAAACCCCCAGATGTGTGAGACTTTCTAACACGAAAATCAGTCTGGGTGCATATGGATAATCTTCTTGAAGTGAGGACGTTCATCCTGCGTCGACTTCCTGTGCTCGTCTATAGCGAACTGGCCTCCCAGGGCCTTGATGCTCAGGGCGACCCAACACTCAATACTCTGTACTTTGATAGCCCTGAATTTACCCTATATAATCAGAAAGTTGAGCAAAAGGTAAACACGTCATCGATTCGAATCCGGTGGGCTGGCCAATTGAAGTCGGGCCCAGAACTTGTAATTGAGCAGAAAATCACCCATCAGAATGGCAGCAGCGAAGAAAAGCGGTTTAACATTAAGGAGAAGTACATCCAGGCGTTCATTAAGGGCGAGTATAAGATGGAAAAGAGCGTGCAGAAAATGGAACGGCAAGGCCAGCCACAAGCCAAAATCGACGATTTCAAGAGCGCTGTCAGCAGCATTCAGAAGTGTATCCTCGAGAACGATTTGCAACCAGTTTTACGAGCCAATTATACCCGCACGGCTTTTCAGAAGCCCCGGGACGACAAAGTTAGAGTATCTATCGACACACATCTTGCATTTATCCGGGAAGACTCGATAGATCCAGATCGGCCCTGTAGAAATCCCGAGGCATGGCATCGACTTGACATTGATAATGGCCCCATGGAATACCCGTTTCCTAATATTAATCAAGGGGAAATCTCCCGGTTTCCATATGCCATTCTAGAGATCAAAGTCAAGGAATTTGAGGGGAAGAAACATCCGCAATGGGTTGAAGATCTGATGGCATCCCATCTTGTGCACAAATCGCCCCGCTTCTCAAAATTTTCCCATGGAGTTGCTACGCTATTTGAAGATAATGTGAATAATCTTCCTTTCTGGCTCAGTGAGGTTGAGACGGACATTCGCAAGGACCCGCAAACCGCCTTCGACGAGGAGGAAGAAAGAAAGGCCAGGAAAGCGGAGGACCAGCTCGTTGTTGGAAGCTTCCTCGGGACGTCCAAGGCAAGCCCGAGTTTTCAACCAGCTGTCAGCTCGCCATTGAGCAAGTCATACATGAATGATGTCGGTGAGAGAATAGGCCGACGTTCTAATCCCAGTGGGAAAGAAAATTCTCAAGGCACGGATAACTCGCAAGATCCTGGTGAAGAATCCAGTTCTCGCGGTGGCTATGGTACACTTTCTTCCATCTTTCCATCGTTCTCGCTCTCGAGATATGCTCAGTCACGCAGGGAGAAGAACACCCCACTACCTCCAGGGGTAACCAAGCCAACACAACTTATTAAGGATTCTGGAGAATTAAAGGTCGAGCCAAAGGTGTGGCTGGCGAACGAGCGTACATATCTCAAGTGGCAACATATCTGTTTCTTGCTTGGCGGGTTTGCCATCACCCTTTACAATTCTGCTGGCGACGACAATCTTCGATTGGGCATGGGGATTGCGTACCTCGCAGTTGCTTTCTTTGCCGGTGCTTGGGGCTATTATATGCACCGTACGAGACGAGAAATGATTGTTGCAAGGAGCGGGAAGGATTTTGATAACATAATTGGACCTATGGTTGTAAGCTTTGCGTTGATGGTCGCTTTAATATTGAATTTCGTCTTCAAGGTAAGAACTCCCTAGCAATTACCTGGATTTTCCAGTGATGGCTAACAGAGTGGTAGTACCGGGCAGCAATTGAGAAGCTTAACGGGTCTGACGGTGCGAATTCGACGATCTTCGCAGGCAAGTTAGAGCCGACAATTGAGTTGACGTGAAGTAATCGAGACAACGAACACAAAAAGTCGTTTGGAGTTCCAGATAGAGGAGGGGTTATAGGAAATAGAAAAGACAGGAAGGTCTGTCTACACATGTATTATATAAAGTATCAGCTAGCGGCCTCTTGTTGTACATGAGCTCTTGTTTTGTCTAGTCTGAGTACTCGGGGTAGCAATCAAATAATCCTCTGACTACCGATCACCAGTCCCTTATCTACCTTGGGTAAAGATTGCATGTCATGCATGTGCTGTGATGCGCACGTGTCACCAGCAAGGCTGAAGACATTGACACTTCACTTCGATTGGCATTGCATTTGTTATTGAACAGAGCTCCATACTATCTCTCACTCTTCTCCCTCCTCCACCCGAAGGAGATCATGGTCATTAATGGTGGCATTGTCATTGTCATCATTCTTTCCATGCCCACCTATGTGAAGTAAATTAATGGCAGTTGCGCCTCCGAGACAAACCCAACTCACTCAGCCTCGCAAAGAAGGAACGCGGCACCCCCGCTACAAGACACCAGCACAATAACAACAATAACAACGACAACTTCCGGAGCTAAAACATGAAGCTGATTTGCAAGAATGAGTGACGCCAAAAGAAAGATCCTGGGTCTTTTCAGGACCCGTAGCTCTCCAGGCTCCTCAGACCGGACTTCCAAGGACTCCAAAGGTGTATGTACAAAGTCCTACATTACTGTACAGTGTCTGAGCTCTCCTGCTAATCTGATGCCCGCCAGCGCGACAGAGACCGCAAGTCCCGACGCCCATCTGCTACCCAATCTCAGCGGAGCCGTCGACCGCGATCTCAAGGCACACCTTCTTCGCCTGTCGCAAAACCAGCTGTGAGGGAGTCGGCTGCCATTCATGTCTCTACCTCTCCCCACCACCTCCCTGCGCTGACGGAATGGCCGCCTGAGGGCTTCACAAGAGATGGGAGTCTCACCCAGGGAAAGGCGATGGAACTTATTGCCTCTGGTACACCGGTTTTCAAAGGGTCGCGACGCCCGGTCCCCAACTTCCCCGATGCATATCACCTGTATGCGACTTTTGGGGGGAATGCCGAAAGTGACAGTGCCATACCTTTCAATGCGGCCTTTACTGCTTGCTCATTTCGGCCTCAAGATCCAGGGCCTGTACAGCATCCATGGGAAACTCTGGAGCAGCCCAGCATGGCGTTTTGCTACGGAACTCGGCCTGGTACAATTACCTTGAATCATTGGGCGAGTACATTTGGGAAGCCGAATCTAGACATAGAGCTTGCAGAGCCCGATATTAAACCAAGGGAGGTGGAGCTTTCGACCATCTTGGAACGCTTGATCTACCTAGAGGGAGGCTTTGAAGAGGACTACGAGGATCTGATGTACAAGAATCTCTACAAGAACTTCCTCAGGGACCCCGATAAATCCCGCAATCCACATAGGGGCATGGAACAGCAGATAGCAGACCTTATCGTCGTCTTGACTCGGAGACAATGGATCGACTTCAGCCTCCCGGGGAACCAGGTTGTAGCCAAGTTCTTCGCCAATGCTACTTATACCGATAATGGGGGATATAAGACATTCTTCCATCAACTACTCCTCAGCTTAGAGTTGGACTTTCGGATTCACTCAAAACGCCATGCTGAATGGGCAAAGGAGAAACTCCTTTCTCAGCTGCCACCCTGCATTGCTTGGGACTTAGCTCTCGCGAGGAAGTGGCGCGAATGTATGAGCATTGAGAAGTTCAAAATTGGCAGTGATCCTGAACAGAGTAGGCCTCGCACATAGTATAAACACCCCCCAAGCTTATGTCATCTATAGTAAGATTTCATCTCAAGGCCAAGAAGTCGCAAGTCAAGGCCCTGAGGAGGTTCGCGAGAGCAATGAAATGGCCAAATATTGCCAAGGTCGACAATGTTCTTAAAGAAAGGGACCCTGATGCCAAAGCGTTGGAAGACCGAAGCTCGGATGCAATGTCCTACTTCACAGGAATGATTCTACCTGGAGGGACAACTCCTTGGCTAATCATGAATACCCTGGTTGATTGTGATGATGATGTTGGGCCGAATTCTCTGGCTGCTCTAACACATGTAAGTTCTGACCTCTTCCTTTCCGCCATTGCCATACTCCGGTCAGAACAAGTTGTTCTGGAGCCTTCACAGTTTATATTATTGTCTCTTCGTTTCTCTTCGTTTCTCTGCAGCGCTTTTATATCCAGAATGTTTTCAATTTTTACAAACAAGGATGTAGACTAATACCTAATGTTCTAGATACACCCAAACACTGGATTCCAATACAAAGGCACAACTTACTGGTCAAGTACATCCATAGTAGGCAAAGTTTTAGCCCCGGAATGCCAAGAAATCGGCGGCTGGGTGGGACCAGCAAGGCCCGCACCAGACCTGTCTCGCATGCAAGTTGCACGAATCCGGCAACGGCGTCCGAAACAAGTCCTCACTCCCAGCGACGTAGAGAGTATGATGGAACGGTCCGATCCCCTCGGCCCTCCGTCAGAAAGCTATCCCATCTCTGAATACCAGCTCCTCCATCCAGAGGCCGAGGACTTCCTGAACACAGTTCGCATCGAGAAACTCGCTCTCAAACCCGCGCCATCCTCTTCCGATACCCAGGTCAAAATCCCAACCTATGATGCAGCCGTGCAATTTGCGATCGATGGCCGTTCCTGGCCTCTACGCCTTTCATACGACGTCTCCTTCATTTCTGCATGTCCCTGTTCGCGCGGCCCACACCCGCTGTTCTTCGACTACATATACAAAGCCGTGAAAGTGGAAGAGATACTCACGATTAAGCATTGGGGAGAGCCAGATGCGAATGCGAGCATTAGAGCTACCTCTAGCACGGGGGCGGCGACACCATCTACATCGGGGCTGGGGAAAGAGGCGCAAGATGAAGATAATGAAAGTGAGAAGGTGTTAGTCGTAGAGGCGTTTGGCGTTAGTGATAATGAGGTGTTGGCGAGGGCTTGGTGCTCGCATTGGGGTTTGAGTGCTGTTGTCGCTGATATTGAGAAGACTTGGTAAATCCCCTTTCCCCATGCTGTCTTTGATTTGACTCTTACTGATCTGGGGTTCCTCTTCAGCATGGCATGTGCAATTCGCGAAGCATATGCAGCATGCGTCAACGTCGCCATTCTCGTAGATGGCGTTCGTGAAGATGAAGACTTATGAATGAATGAATGAGTACTTGAATGGGCAGCGAGCGGGAAAGGGAAATGGAAAGGGGTTACCTCGCCTAATGAGTTATGAGACCATGATGCGATCAATGACTTTGTGGTCCAAGGATCGCCGATGTTTAAGGCTTGATTGTATTATACGTGCACAGCTGGAGGCTGAAAGGCATATGTGGCATTGGATTGGGAAGGGGCCGGAGGCGTAGATAGCTGCTTTCTTCGTCGAAACCAGGCATCGGGAGTTATTATCGCTGATCACATGAACGCTGAATCCAAATATTTTCAGGAGTCATACTCTTAACGCGGAGCTCATGCTAGTTAAGTGTAATTTGGTTCATTCATCTTAGTCTTATTCTCATTTCCATGGTTTCATCTAAACAGTCCCATTCCATTCCATTTCCCCATATGTAAAGTCAATCCTGTTTGTTCTGCGCCGCGCTATGCAAGAAAATCAGATGTCGTTTCTTGCATCATGCGTAATCTGTACATGAAAGTTTATTTTCGTAACCATGCGTTATGCTTATGCTCCACCCTGTTGCTTGCCCATGACACCAAGCCATGCGCCTCGTCATCTAGCCACCACGAGAAGTCCTCTCAACGGCGCTACCATGGCTGCCACTTCGATCTCTACCAGATCTGGTTGTCCCGATGCTTTGCTGGGTAATCCATTCTAGCAGAGTCTCGTAGCACAATACATACTGCCTCAAGCTTTGTACCATGCTGAGTCTTTGACCCCTGAAGTCCTCCACCGTCTTCTCAATAAGATCTAAATCTGGATCGAATATCCAATCCTTGTCGAGCGCAGCATTTTTCCCCTTGCCTATATAGTCGCCACTATTTGAAGCGGGTGTGATCTCCATTGGCTCAATTCCACTCTTCATTTCCTTGCGCTGTCGTTTTAGCATATCAATCACGGAATCAACTGTACAGAAGGTACCCGTGCGGCCACACCCTGCACTGCAGTGTACCAGCACCGGCCGAGGAGATAAGTCCAATTCTGGCTCATTAGAGCGAGTTGTCTGGCTGGGGGACGAGGAAGACCGCTGTATTGAATTGCTTAGTTCGACGAGGGAAAGTATTTGATTCGGGTTCGCAGGAGCTCCGAAGTCCGGCCAAGAAGAGTAGTGAACCTGAGTTATTTCCCGTATGGGAGAGAAAGGTTGAGCAGAGTGCTTGAGTGTGAACTTTCGAATGATAGCATGCGGTTGCTCGGGTGACTGAGGTCTGGGTGCACTTTCAGTGGTAGTATTGGCTCTCCTTCGGCCAGAATCGTTGCCATCTCTTGATGATGAACGGTGGTGGTGGTTCCTCGGACCCAAGGATATCTTCTTTTCCGAAATTTTTGTGAGTTTTAATTTATCATACTCTTGACTTGACCAGTATGGATCGCACTTTAATTGACCACCCTCTTTCTCGGCCGTTAACATTACAATTACTCGAACGTCTTGATCCCAGACAACACTCCAGAAGTCCTGCAAGTCTGTTAGCTAGTGGATCAGTATGTATCTTCAGAACTACTGACCCCAAAGGTAGTCGGGAGTGGACCCTGCGACGCAATATACCGTTTATTGCTCCGCGATGCCTTCACATGACTTGCATTGACATAATCGCAAGCGCCCGTGGGACGACCTTGGAGTCTGACCCTGGCATGCTCAAATGGCCATATGTTATTATACCTATTCTTGCCTCCTTTCTCAATACCAGCAATCTGGATATGTTTGGCATCTGTAGCCGGAGTTCCATATGAGACATCCGAGGAAAGGGCCTTCTTCATTCTGGACTGCTCAGCAAGCTCGAGGTTTAAGAACTTGTCTGCCACTCGTTTCCCATGGTCTTCTTGGGCGGCCGCTTTGGATAGCCAGGCTGGAAGACATCTTTGAATATCTTGAGTCAGATCCTCTGGCAACATGATATCCATCTGCCCTACACCCCCAATCAAGTCCTGATTCTGTCTGATGTTGCTGAAGAATGGATTCGCGGGCTCGTTTGTGGCAGGCATCGCACAACCCCCAGCAACCCGTGCAACTCCAGGAGCCGAAGTCCCCAAAGATAAATTGATCTTCGAGGGTTGAAGCGCCTGGGTTGACCGATTATCAATGAGCTCCGGGAAGATTGTGGAAAATTCAGCGAATCCACCTCTCAAGATATAGCTAGAACCCTTCCAACCCTCATTGACAAACTTCTTCAAAGTATTCACTGCGGAGAGGGCATCTTTCTTGTCGGTTGAGTATGCATCATAGACCACGATGTATTGAGCAGACCTCCACGCAGCAAATCTTTCTTTCTCACCGTCATTTGCAAAGGTCTCTTGAAGTTTTTGCAAGGTAAATGACGGCCGTTTCAGCAAAGTGGTAGGGATGCAGAGATTCAAAGCCCCCTTTAAGCGGGATGTTGAAAACTGAGGGAATACGCGCAGGTCTAATAGTAAGACCTGACTTGAAGGAAGTCGATCCAAGATATCTCGTAACTTGGCTGGCGAGATCATTGCAGGCCCTTCTTTCAAGGAAGAAGGAAGGGTTTCTGCGCGCTGATGCTCCCCACGCTGCTGTAGTTTCACGTGTGGCGATGGAGGATCAAGTCTATACTGAGGTAACGAAAGACGGGGATGTCTATCATCGAGATTTGAGAGAGCGCTACGCTGAGTTGAGGGGTGCAGAGAACTTATTTCAGCAGGAGATTCCTGACGAGGAATATCAAAAAATGAAGGCGCTCCTAAGGACGTTCGCTTAAGATCTTGGGTACTGGTAGGTATAGGATCATGTCCTCGATCAAGATCCATTGGGTCAGGTGTAGCATTGCGGCTAACTGACTGAGCTATGGGTGGAAAATATTGTTCTGTATCTGGGCGTGTATGTTTCCGGTCGAGTCTCGGACGTGTATGGTCTCCCGGGGTAGCAGCGAAATGGGATAGGTTTCCATGGCCAAGATTGAAGGCATTGCCCTCCTCAGTCCGCCTTCTGAACAGTTCAAAATCTGGATGTGTCTCTATCGATATGCGCTTCGGCGAGGCGCCTCCGAAAGAGGCTATGGACGAGGTAGGAGGACTCCAATTATCTTTCGGGCCCACAGCTGAGTCTCGAGGATTAGTCGTAGGATCGACGACCAAGCCGAAGTAGTTGGGACTGGGTGTTCGTGCTTCGACTTGATGCTCTGGCGATCGCAATGATGAGGGAGGAGGAAGGGCCTGTCCAACGGAATGGGGGACTCGCGAAGTGGGACTCAGGGGAGTTATCGAGGGGTTTGCAGAGGTTCGATGGGAGTGGGAGTGGGAGTGGGAATGGGAAGACCGAGGAGTCGGCCTTGTTGCAGCCTTTGTAACCATTGTGAGGTTGTACGCTTTATTGTTGCGTGGTGGGGGAGTTGTTTAAACGGGTCGTAAGGATGGTATCATCTTTGAGGATCCATATCGGTTGTGATTACGGCTGCGATGGAATTGGTGGTGAGGAGGTGAGGTGGAAGTTATGTGTGCGGTTGCGGAAAAGAGTAGATGTAGATAGATGTAGAGGTGGAGGTGGAGGCGTGCACAAGACAGGTAGGTAGAGGAACATGAAGGGAGGCGGGCTGATGACGATGTGAGGCGGAGATCGAGTTGTCAAACAAGGGGAGGTAGGGTAGGGGTAGGGTAGGGTAGGGTAGGACAGGACAGGACAGGGCAGGGCAGGGCAGAGCAGGGCAGGGCAAAAAGGCGAGACCAGGCTACGAAACAGTCCCGTACAATCTGATAAAACACACACCAACCAGCCTTTTTGGTAGGAGGAGGATAAACGGAGATGGTTGATAGGGTACAGTAGGGATAGAGAGGATAGAGAGGATAGAGAGCTCTGCAAGATGGGTCTTTTAAATTCTTCACCATTTCTTTCCTCACTGGATAAGCGTAGTATACCTAGGTATTGTATTGCCTTGAGAGTGAGTACTGAACTGGTACTGTGAATTTGTTTAGCTGAGTAATGGGATGCTGGATATATCATCATGATCCGACCAAACAAGCCACATGCATATACACACCGCTTCCGTCAGATACCGTACGGAGGTAACACAACTGCGTCATCCCCACCTGATTATATTATATACCTAGGTATTACACACCTTCAATACATTGTTGGCCATTAAATATATACTGTCACTCTATCCTCTTAATCAGCCATTACCGTAGGTAATTAATAACTACTCCGTAAAACCTCCTGCTATTGTACCACATCACATGCGGCGACTTGCTACGACAAACGTACGATTATAAAGCAATACCCCTGTCATCAAGCCATTGACCATGGCATGCATGACTTGGCATGGCATGGCTAGACAAAACGTCATCGAACATGAAGCCAAGCCCTGCGAGTCATTCATCCTCACGTGCCATGCAGGTCACATGCTCTCCGACAATGGGGCAAAGTTAGGTATGGTATGATGCTGGCGGTGTCTAAATATATCCATATTCATATTCATATTCATACCTAAGGTATATATGTATCTTAAGAGATTACCTAAACACTGATCATCTGTTTCGGCTCGGATCGGAACATTTTCATGCTCGGCCTCGGCATACCTTATACCGATACTACTTAAAGTGCCAGAGTGCTTTGGCCGAACCCCTCTCCCCTCACCTTATTCTACGCGACCTGCCTTCCATCCTTCCTACCTCCGTAAGCAATTCATTCATTCATCTATTTGTATCTCGCGTGCGCGACCTTTCATTACCTAGTAAGTTTCTTTCTTTGCTATTTTCTAACACCTGATATCGGCTATAGACAAGACAGTGTGAGGTGAGACTTGCAAAAAGGAAAGGAAAGGAAAGGAAAGGAAAGGCGGCCAGCCCCGTCGCCCGTCGCCAAGTACTGTACTGTACTGTACATTCTACGAGTATCCCATTCTTCTTGTCAGCACCTTAGACTCTTATCTATAGATCTAAGTTTGGACACCCCACTGTAGGTACCCTCTGCATACTGCCCAGAGGGATATTTACCCCATTTCTTGCCCCCTACCTTTGCATGTTACGTTACTATTGGCGGCCATGGTCTGCCGTCAGGGGATCGACAAACCTGAGAAGCTCCTTTGACATGGTATCGTATCTCGCTCCGAGCCTACAGAACCTTATCTAAGACTCGGTATCGCCTCTAATTAGAGCTCTAAGTGGGCCGGGTCAACGAACGGTTTCTACTGTAGTACTGTATCATCAATTGTACATTAAAGTTTCAATCTTCCTTTATATCTTCGTCTGCTGTCTTGTGAATATCCTCTTCAAACTTTACTTGCATACATATTTATTTTTACCGGGACTTAATTACCGTATACCTTAAACGGAACCCCACGACGGTCAGCAAGATCACAGCAGACGAGATGAGCGCCCGAAATGTCAAGACGTCTAGCTCAGACTCACCAAGGGAAGAGGGGGACGATTTCAAGACCCCTTACGCCATCGAAGCCCCCGAGACTCAAATAGACACGAGTCTCGAACCCGCCTATGTCGTTGATCACCACGCTGAGCGAGCACTATGTCGGAGGTTCGATCTTCGCCTTCTTCCAGTCTTGGCTTTGATGTACCTGTTCAATGCTCTTGATAAAGGAAATCTTGGAAATGCAAAGACCGCCAAATTCGACAAGGACTTGGGGTTCAAAAGTAACCAGTATAACATCATACTGAGTGTATTTTACGTTCCATACGTCTTGTTCGCTCCCCCAATTGTACGTCTAGATAGTTGTCGTTTCCGTGCTTTAGTCTGATGATCTGCTAGGCAATGCTCGGGAAGAAATATGGTCCAGCGAGAGTCCTGCCGATTTTGAGTAAGAGAGTCCCGGGGATATCTTCTGAACATAAGATCTAAAGTTTCATGTAGTGTTCTGCTTTGGCTCTATGACCATGCTTTCCGGTGAGCAGTACTTTCATTGCGTCTTTAGCTTCATATGGACTTTGCGAGAGCAGCTGGTGGATATACGTCGCGTTGAGGTCGTCCTAGTTGCGATTCCAAGCCTTACACCCAATTCAAGTGATTTCCTTCTCTTGGGCTCTTGATCCACATTCTCCATCCAAGATGGAAGATTGTCAAGCTTCCTCTTCGCTCCAAAGAACAAACATATTTTTGATATATTCTAAGCTAATAGAACAGTCACTGCCCACAACTTTGGTGGAATGATGGCTTTGAGATGGTTCCTAGGTAATCTACCCGCCTCAGCCTCGATGCTTGCTCCATACTAAATAAATATAACTAGGCACGGCTGAATCTGCTTTCTTCCCCCTTGTTATCTACTACCTCACAACATTTTACCGAAGAGGGGAGCTGGCTCGTCGTCTAGCTATTTTCTATGCGGCGAGCAACATCGCCAATGCCTTCTCTGGCCTCCTCGCCTTTGGTGTATTTCACATCCATAACCCGCACATTTACAGCTGGCGTATCCTCTTCCTTATCGAAGGATCGCTAACGGTCCTCTTTGCTGTCCTCGCATTCTTCTATCTCCCGAAGAACGCTGCAGATGCCCGTTTCCTCAATGAAGACGAGAAGAAACTCGCCTACCACCGTATTCAGGCCGACTCTTCCTCTGTTGTGAACGAGCAGTTTGACCTCCGAGATTCCCTTAAAATCTTCCGCCAGCCCACAACATACGCTTTCCTAGCCATTGAGATGTGTCTAGGTGTCCCACTCCAATCTGTGAACCTCTTCCTCCCCCAAATTATAGCACGGCTTAAGTATTCGACTGTGAAGACAAATCTTTACACCGTGGCACCGAATATTACAGGAGCAGTTATGCTTTTGATCTTGGCTTTTACATCTGATTTTACGCGGAGACGAGGCCCCTTTATTGTCTTGGGATTCACATTCACGTTTGTTGGGATGATCATCTACTCCGCAATCGACGTCGAGGATAGTCTTCACGTGGCATACTTTGCAACGTTTTTGATGTGCTGGGGGACTTCCGCTCCTTCGGTGCTTTTGTCTACTTGGTACAATGTAAGTAGGATCCTAGACATCGTTATGCCAAATATCCATACTTACCTCTCAAATTAGAATAATATTCCACACGAAGGCCGGCGCATTACCATGACTTCCGTCGGTGTTCCCCTTGCCAACGTCATGGGTCTTGTCTCAAGCAATATATTCTTCCCCAGCTCAGCACCAAAATATATACCTGCCCTTGCCACAACCGCTGCTTTTGGCGCTACAGGAGCTGTGATTGCTGGGCTTCTAAGCTTGTTCATGATAGTTGATAACAAGCGGAGAGACAAAAAGTTGGGCAGGAAGCTTGATATCAAGGAGGTCCCAACTGAGATGTTGAAGGATGGACCAGATGTACCTGAGTTTAGGTGGTTTCTGTGAAAGTTTGGGCGTACCATGTCAATTAGGATATAAGCCCCATGGGTTGATACGCCCATGCCCTGGCTTTTGGTTTGCCAGTTGCTAGTTTTGTATGCCTATAGGCTTATAATCTCTAGGGGGAAGAGCACCCACAGGGGACTGATGGGGACTATAGCCCATGTTAGGCTATCCGCCCAAGAAAGTATAAGCCTATGCTTGGTTATACGCTCAGGTCTTACTTGAGGGAAGTGGTGGAGTGAGCAGGAACATAGGAGTAAAATAAATAACCCTTTAGATACTCAAATTACATAGTGAGCTTTAATGATGGCCGGCTAAAGTACTATACAGTGCTAGGTACAGATTAAGGTACCTGTATCTAAAAGAGAGCTCTCGGCCTCTGATAACCTAAAAGCCGCCAGCCATTTCCAAACCCATTCCATAAAAGAATTGAATTTCAACGTATGTTCGTGAAATCCGACCATATTCTAGCCTGAGGCGTCACTCAAGCACATGCCGCGCCGCGCCCAAGCAAAGAAAACAATCGCGTAAACCACGGCATTGGGCTTCGCTAGGCCTTTCATTGCCATTGCCATTGCCATTGCCTACCTCTCTCACCTGTTTTCAGACACAACATACGTCGCCATGTCAGGAGGACTCTTTGCCGGTCTCAATAATCCAACCCCTGGGTCAGGGCAAACGTCACAACCTGCACCGTCTGGCGGCCTTTTCGGTGGTTTGGGAACAAGCACGTCGCAAACATCTGGGGGCCTTTTTGGGACAAGCACAACGCAGGCAACCGGAGGTAGTAGTCTATTTGGAGGCTTAGGGACGAATACGCAAACATCGAATACAGGTGGTGGGCTCTTTGGAGGTGCGACATCGCAGCCACAGCAAACAACCAGTAGTCTCTTTGGAGCAACGACACAACCCCAGCAACAGAACCCCGCTGCAGCCTCTACAACCCAAACCCCCCTTCAGCAATCCCAGCAGAACGGACAGAACCAGGCCTACTTTGATACCATATTGGAGAAGAGTCGGAAGAGAATGTATGGCGAGTCGGCAGGGGAGGACCTACCACAACTCCAACTTGGCCTTGGAGACCTGCGCCAGCGTATAAAGCGGCTAGGTACCGGTACACCAGATCGAAATGTCGACGGCAAAGCACACTATCTACTTGCGGCATCAGGTGTTGATCCGGGAGCCGCAGTCAGAGACCTCAACCTCTTCAGCGCAGCAACAGGCTTGGGTGATAGAGCGCCTGCCCCAGTAGCGAATCTAGACGTGGAAGGGTATATTGCGAATTTACAAACTCAGACTACTTTAAGCATGATCTCGGACGGACTGGCGCGTTCTGTTCGCGACTTCGACACCTTCTTGGAAGATAATGTGACGATGGAGTGGGATGCGCAACGGAAGAGGATATATCAGCACTTTGGAATCAAGCCTAGGGAAGCTGTTAGTGGGGGAAGATCATCCGGCTTTGCGCCAGCTGTTTCGAGTGCTGGTGAGGGTGGCGGATTTGGACGATCTAGGCGCAGCAAAGCAGCATCAATTGCTGGATCAAGGGCTAATGGAGCAGTTGGCGCGAGTTCCTTTGGAAGATCGAATTTTCAAAGATCAGCAATCGGAGCTGCTAGTTCAGCAGGCAAGACCAGCCAACAAGCTTTTGCTGATGTGGAGAAGAAGATGGAAACAAATGGTGCCTCTGCAGCTGTCCCTACCGATCGATTTCAACGGGACAAGCAAGGGCGGTTTGCAGAGAAAGTGCAAAACTTGAACCTCGCGAGGCTACAGAAACGCTGCTATCCTGTCTGTCATGAATTTGCGACTGTTGTTGGGCAGACAGGCGAACAACATGGCCCGGAAGTGGTCAAAGCTTACAAGGCCCTCATAGAGATTGTTTCTGAAGACCCGGATGTTGAGCTCTTGTCAGATCCTCTTGCCGTGCAGGAGCGGCAATTTGCAAAGCAGTACCTGGACGAGACCCCAGCTTCACCCAGCAGTACGGCGATCAAGAAGAGAATCCTGAAAGGTGGTACTCGGTGTCTCGAGAAACTGGCGTTTGAGAACATAGAATCTTTTATCAACAAGAACCCTCGGGAGGCTAACCTTGGTGGCATACCAAACGTGTTGAGTAAGGTGAAGGCATATGTGCGACTACTAGCTTCTAAAAGGAGCCTTGCCGGTGACAATATCGACCTACAGATGCTCGGTGACGACTATGTCTGGGCCTTGATATATTATCTGCTCCGAACAGGTCATACCCAAGAGATCGTTGACTATGTCGACGCCAATCAAGCGGCCTTTCGTGCTATCGATAATCGCTTCTCTGCCTACATCAAGTCTTACAACAGCAGCCCTGATAAGAGACTGGAAAGTGGTCTTCAGAATAATATCAATGGCGAATACACCCAGCGTCTACTGATAGCACCAGAGAACTCGATCGACCCATACAGGATGGCATGCTACAAAGTCATAGGCCGCTGTGACCTCAAGTCCCGTCAACTTGAAGGTATCAGCTACGATGTGGAAGACTTTGTCTGGCTTCAACTTGTTCTTGCGCGTGAGCTCAACCGAGTAGACGAGATTGCCAGTGAGTCTTATGGACTTGCAGACTTGCAGAAGACTATGCGAGAAATTGGCACTCGATTCTTCGTCAAAGGAGGTGGCGATGCCGGCTTCTCTTTTGGGACCTTCGTCTTCTTCCAAGTCGCGTGCGGAATGTTCGAGGAGGCTGTGGCGTATCTTTACCCCTATTCGTATACCGATGCTGTTCATTTAGCAACTTCCCTAGAGTTTTACGGCCTTTTAAGAGCATCGGACCCGAACGTCGCTGGTGAGGATTTACTGAGCTGGACCACTAGGGAGAATCCTCAGATCAACTTCAGCCGCATGATTGGCTACTACACTCGTGACTTCCGAGCTGCGAATGTCAGTGCCGCTGTGGACTATCTTGTTCTCATCTGCCTCAACCAGGATTTGCCTGGCCAGGCGGGAATCAACCAAGTCACTGTTTGCCACGATGCATTGAGAGAGCTTGTTCTAGAGAGCCGGGAGTTTGCCTTACTTCTAGGCGATGTTCAGGACAACGGACAGCGCATCAAGGGCTTAATCGAAGAGCGAATGAAGCTCATTGCTTTGAGCGAGACGGACGATTTCATGCGCACCATTACCATCCAGGCTGCCAGCGCTGCTGATGACAACAGCCGAATGACAGATGCAGTACTACTTTATCACCTTGCTGGGGAGTACGACAACGTGATGGTCATTATCAATCGGGCACTCAGCGAATTCGTTGCTGTGCCTATCGGCCAAGACTCTTTGCGGTTACAACCACTCAAGCCACGCGAAGACCCCAATGTACCCCAGATTCATGCAGGTAGTTTCAGTCTTATGTCCCTCGATGATCCGGTTTCACTCACAGCCGCTTTCACAGCCATCTATGGGCAGAGCAGGATGTACATGGACAAGATCAAAAGCGTCAACATGCTCGCTTGTCGAGCTCTGATGAACATAGTCCAATTAAAACGTTTAGTTGAGGAAGGAGATTACCCTAAGGCCTTGGACGTGAGTTTCCCCTACTCTTACAGCTCAAAATTGCCACTGACTAGATTATGATGTAGATGATGAGAGATCTTGATATTCTCCCTCTTGAATGCCATGGAAATGCAAGTGATATCCGTCGCTATGCCACAAAGTTTTCGTCCTTACCGCAAGCCGTCGCTAGCACTGTACCCAACCTCCTGATGTGGGCCATTTTGATGTTCAACCATATGCGCGGCGGACTTACGGCGGGTAAATTCAGTGCGAACCCAGTCGCTAACCGGGTATTGCTCGATGATATGAGACAGAAGAACATGGACTTGACGACATACACCAGCCAGCTGAGATACAGATTCCCATCACAGGTGCACGAGGCGTTGGCGAGAGCTCAATCGGAGTGAATGGGAGCTGTTGATGGGAAGGAAGTTAGGAGTAATTAAAAGCGTGTATAGTACAAGGCGTAGGGTGCGCAAAAGCGCTCTAGTTTATGATGAAGATACTTGAATAGTTATGAGAGAGATATTGACGGCATGATACCTGAGCTATGGATTTGATAGTGCTTCTGATTCTGATTCGAAAATGAGGATATGTAGCTGGCAATGGTCTACGGACCACAATTGCCTTTTGATCTCTTTGCACTGTTTCTCTTGAACCAAGTCATAATTGTTTATGTCTTTTAGCATATTATTACTTGAGACCCACCTTTCGGGCGCAGAGAGAAACAACAAGTGCCGGTGGGGGTGGTAGTCGAAGATTCCCCGAGTCAGGCTAATAATGCGGCAGATCGTCAAACAGCTAAATCAGTTAGTTGGTGTAGCTAGGGAATGTGTTATACTCCGGTTTATTAAGCAGGAAGAAGCAGTCGAAGGATATCTACTTACTTACTACTTACTACTTATTTAATTTCTACTTATTTACTTGCTTTGTTCTCAAATCCAACAGAGCCGTGTCATCTCAACGCCATCCACCAGCCAGATCGTCCTATAACTAACATACCTTACATGACTCGTTCTGCCCCCTGGTCTCTGGCAGTACATGACTGACTGACTGACTGCCCGCCGCCCCTCCGCAAATAAATCAATTGTCCGTAACGCACCTGGCCAGCCGTGCCCAGTTACTACTTCGTACCCCCGCCGCATCTGTCTGTTGTATGCATGGGCTTGGGCTTGGGCTTGCTACAGTATCTCGATAATCTACGGTACATGTACGGGTAGTCGCAGCCATGGGCATGGGTGGCGACGAGGGGCTACAACCCCAACCCGAAACCCAAACCCAACATCCAAAGCGTGATTTCTCGGAAGATGCTGCGTCTACATCCAATAATTCGCCTACTAATGCCCATAATTCCGACTCCAACTCCAACAATAAGAAACGTCGCACAGGCCCTTCCACTTCCACTTCCTCCAGAGGCGTCGCAAACCTCACCCCCGAACAACTCCAGAAGAAACGCGCCAACGACAGAGAGGCACAGCGGGCAATTCGCGAGCGGACAAAAAACCAGATCGAGAATCTCGAAAGGAAAATCAGAGACTTGACCTCGCAGCAGCCCTACCAGGAATTGCAGCATGTCATCCGCCAGAAAGAGCTGGTGGAAGCAGACAATGCGGATATCAAAAAGAGGCTGGCTTCAGTACTATCGATAATCCAGCCAGTCCTGGGACCACACAGTCAGTAACTGAACATGCCTGATGTATTACTGCAGTGGCTTGGCAATTGACTAATCTATGAACAAGCAGCCCTCGAAGCTCCCAATTTTACCCCTCCCGCCCCGCCGTATGTTCCCAATCGACCTGGCTCTTCAAGCCGCAATATATCGACGCCAAACCGTGCAACATCTCCTGCTGCTGGCTCGTGGCAGGCACCGAATGCCCCAATGGGCCATCATGAACATCGTAACTACACCCAGGTCCAAAGTACCCAGACCCAGTTGAACCAGCAGAGATATGACATGGCACACAATTTGGATATGGGGCCCGAAAGATTGGGACTTGATTTCCTCCTGGATGGTACACAACGGATAAACAAGATCCCCAGTGGTATAAGTGGGCCGCAGGAATCCATGAACTTCCAGCACGGTGCTGGGGGGTCAGAAAGAGGCAGCCCGGGACACAACAGAAGCAATTCTGTGAGCAGTAACTACAACCCGGGCTCTTCAGGCGTCGAAATGATGGGGCATGCTATACCCATCCGGAACAGCCCCCCGACATGTCCTCTAGACAGTCTGCTCCTCGACTTCCTTCACTCACGTCAGGTACAAGCAGCAGACGGTGTAGCAACGCCCAAACTTGTCGGGCCCGCCTATCCCAGCGTCTCCTCCCTGCTCAACCCCGCGAAGAGCGCGCAATCTCATCCTCTCTCGAAAGTCTTCACCGACATCCTAGCTACCTTCCCCGACCTGTCGACACTCCCTGAAAAGGTTGCAACCCTCTACATAATGTTTCTCATTATGCGTTGGCAAATTTCACCCACCCAAGAAAACTACGACCGCCTCCCGGACTGGGTAACCCCACGTCCCTCTCAACTCTTCACCCCCCACCCAGCCTGGATCGATCATCTCCCATTCCCCAAGATGCGAGACCGCCTGGTACGGGATTACAACCCTCGAGATTACCTCTTCGACAAGTGGTTCATACCGTTCACCACAACGATTAGCTTGAACTGGCCGTACGAGCCAACTGACACGCTGCTAAGCAGTCCCGAAAGTGACGAATTAATGATAAATCCAGTCTTCGAGCGGCACCTGCGCCGCCTCGAAAACTGGAGTTTGGGCCCTGCTTTTGCAAAGGCATTCCCGGGGTTACATGATACTTATCGCTTGAAAACGGATGGGGATAGGCGGCCTTAGATTTGCGGCGTTGACTTTTGGTTGTATTATATATTGGTGTTTGGATTTAAAATCGGGATAAGCATTAAATAAGAGGTTTAGTCTTTGGGTGGGGCTAAACATGACGGGTGCGGTTCAAACATTTAAAGAGAATTAAAATGTAAAAATCTAGATTTATTCGCATCTTGAGTAATATAGCTTTCATGGGTCACATTTTTATATTTCCAATGTTCCAAACCAGGTGGCACAATGAAAAATCGCCGCAAAGGAGTGAGTGCTATGAGGACCATGGATGTATGTTCGAGCCATAAGTTGATAAGGAAGAAAGTTTATAAGAGCTGGTGACTCCACAGAGTGACAAAACAAACAAAGATCGATGGAAGGGCAGACTTATTAGCTTACATGGCTAGCAAGTGTTTCACTCCCTATTACTTAACAATGTTCCAGTCAAGATAGGCAATTTTAAGGATGTGATTCCTGCTCCAATCATATACCCAACTTTCATTGATTATCGAGTAAGCACCTGATCCTTTGGGGAGACGTCTTCCCTCTATGGAGGTCTACACCTCGTACCCAAAAAGTCAGGCCTTTGCCCAGCAATCACTCCTACTTATGATGTGATCTAGTCTGATCTCAACTCATTGATCTAAACGCCCACAGCTTGCAGGCTCTTGACCAAATCCACCACACTTTCCTCCAGGCTCCTGAACTTAATGCCCAGAACGTTCACCGTCCTCGAGTTATCATACTTATATAATCCCTCTTTCGGGTAATCTCCACCCTTGACGTCCTTCGCCGGCAATTCCTTTTCGAGCGCGGGGAAGTTCTTGCGGATAATCTCAGCGATCTCCTTGTTGGAGAAGTAACCAGCGGTGATGAAGAATCGCTTGTTCGCGGCTTCTGGGAGCTCGATGGCTTTGACGTGGGCGAGGGCGAGATCTCGCACATCGATCCAGATGTAGGTACCGGTGTCGGGGATTTCAGACTTGTTCTTGCCGGTCATGAGGTTGGCGGTTCGCTGGTTAGAGGTGTTGAGGCTATCGAGGCTGTTGAGGTAGTGGACAATTGGACCTAGTAGTGGGGTCGGGTCAGCATCGCATCTTTCAATGAATCAGAGCAATGCAACTTACCTATAACTAAAGGAGGGCACATAGTGCTCAACGTAAAGTTTGGTTTCTCCTTCTCGACAAACTCCCACGCAGCTTTCTCGGCGAACGTCTTGCTGGCTCTGTATCCATTGCTGGGGTTCAGCACCGCCTCTTCTTCCGTGATGGGGTTCCAGTCCTCCTCGCTGTACGTGTGCTCGGTCCAGGAGTTTCCCTTACTTGGATTGACGATGCTGGCAAAGGAACTCGTGATGACGACTCTCTTCACGCTGGGAGCATTCTTCTTGATGGCTTTCAGGATACCTGTTGTGCCGATTATGGCAGGGTCAAGCAAGTCTTTCTTGACATCTGTGACGTTGAAATGGAAAGGCGAGGCTGTGTGAATCACCGCTTCCAGGCCGTCAATCTTGATGGCTTCGTCAAAGGCCCCCTCCTGTGCTATGTCTTTGACAATCCGGAACTCGAGCTGGGAGGCAGGCGTGTTGGGGTGCGCCTCTTTGATCTTGTTGGCTTTCTCTTGGGAACGAACCGAGGTGATGACAGTATGGCCATGCTCGAGTAGGATGTCGAGGACGTGGGCGGCGATGAAGCCACTTCCTCCTGGGGAGTTGTCAGTATGAATTGAAGTGTAATGGTGGGGGGTTAGTGGGGTATTTATTTCCATACCGCTCAGAAAGACCTTCATTCTGTTGAAATTGAAGTGAAGATAGCTGGGTCTCTGTCTCTGCTTGCTGACTTGGGGATGTCTAGATAATCAAAATTCGAAAGAAGAATAATGGCGCCTTTTGGAATGAGGATGCAATGACTACCTAGGTACGTACATATACTACGGTACTACTGTATATTATCCAATTTCATCGCATCTGCCCCGCCCTAAGTTAAGCTAGCATTAAACCCGATCTTAGATTTATCCCCGAACCCAGACTCACCGGACCAGCTGGGTATGTACTGTATCAGTATGTATATGATTATCCATTTCTCCGGTTAACTTCAGGTACTGCATCCATCTGATCTCGTTACTATTACATGTCTCTCTTGTTGCTCTCTTGAAATACAGCCCGAAACTGTCCAGCAACTGGTATCTATAATAGACGGCTAAAATCCACCTTTCAACGCCTGCGCTCGACCCTTTAAAAACAAACAGAAAAGTGTACCTATCGCTAAGCGTACTAAATGTGATGCGGGCTTATTGATGAAAGGCGATACCCGACCTTTTCCTGCCAATGGTCTTGTAGCTGCTACCACCAGCTTCCATGATATCGAACCGGCTCATTCCCATTGACTCGAGGTCAGTCATCCCAGAGAGATAGAACCCTACAATGACGACCAAGTAACTCAGAAGGAGAATGGAGCCCTTGAAATAGTTGCTCTTTCCTTCGCCATACATATAGCTAAGCAAAAACACACATAAAATCACTGTGACCATATCCCACTGAGGAAAGATAAGGCTGAAGGTTCGGTCGGCCACCTCAGGCCCTTCAAGCCACTGTCCAGTAATAGCACTGAATAGGACCAGAGCAGGAATTTGAAGTAGACAGACTTGCAGAGCGTACGCAGATCCAATTTCCATTGACAATGCAATGTTACCGTTCATGGCGAAAGAAATAGCATTCTATGACATGTTAGCTCGTAAGTAGTAGATGATGCCTGTTTGGAAACTTACCAGGAATTCAGTAGTGTTTGGAACCAGCGCAAATAATGTGATTCCAAGGAATTTCTCATCGATCGCCACGTTCTTTAGGACAACATCAACAGTGTTGACCAGGATCTCAGCGATCATAGCATACAGAATGGTGGCGCCACAGAGAACAACGGAACTCTTCATCCTGCTCCAGTTGGGAGCATCATGCCCTCCACCAGCAGCTCCGTGGGCTTCTGCAACAACCAGCTCATCAGGCTCTTGGATGGCACTGGCTCTAGGTGGTTTATGAGTAGCAACAGAGCTTTTTCGAGGGCCTCGGGTTGCATCACGAGCAGCAATAGTCGCAGCCGTTGCAGCCATCTCCGCAACCTCCCTGATGAGACTGGTATTTTCTGCCTCGGAAAGACCCGGTATTTGCACAGATCTCGCACTGGCGCTGCTGGTTTTGGGAGGTGGGATGTGAGGTGTTTGAGCTGAGCCATTGGGTCCTTGAGACTCCGCTGCGTTATCCTTGCTCGCATCTTCTATCGGGCTCAGGCCAGCGTGCTTCAGAGACTGTCCAAGAATCCGCTTGTAAAGCTGAGATTCGCGAATTTCTGCGCCGTGGGCTGCTTCGCTGGTGCTGTTCAGTGTACTAGCGTTTCTCTGCAGTCGGCCATGCGGAGTACCACTGAGTAGTTGTTGAGAAGCAGACTGGTTATGAGTGTCCTGGTGACGTTTCTCGTCGACCTCGTTATTCCAAATAACTGCGGCATGCGTCCGCAGGGTGAACCAGAGACCAATCACGTATGAGAAGAAGAGCAGAACAGCGGCAAACCAGCAGTATGGGCGGACTGCCTCAAGATAGAATCGATCGTTTAGAGCTGGAACCTGAGAGAAGTAGCAGCGTTGACAGTCACGACTGGGATCGGCATCATGAGTATCAACGCAACTTAAGCAGTTAAGCTCGTGCTAAGGGGTTTATCAGTAATGGCCACAAACAAGGGGGTACTGGATTGACTCACGGTGCCATAGATTTGATAAAACAGTGTTGGTCCAAACGCTGCAATGACTGCAAAAAGTAGCATGGTGGATGTTACACCTGCTGATTTAACGTTGAATCTCTGTGTCTTCCGCTTTATAGCCCCGAAGCACATCGAAAGACCGGGCAGGAAGAGTATACCAGCAAAAATGCTACCGATAATACTCCCTTCAACAAGTTGCCCTTTCCCTTGATTCAGAGCGACACAGTACAAAAATACTTCGACCAATGTTGAAAAGAAGGCATTGATAGCTGCGCCCAAGCCCATGGACGATTGCGCTGAAATTGACGCCACAGCTTGGCCAATAAAGTAGGCAAGTGGGATAATTGAGAATAGGGCCATCACAAACAAGAATGCTGGATGGGTAATAGCGAGTTCCATGTCTAGGGCTTCAACCAGCACCCAATAATCTAAGATGACAAACAGCACAACGGCCATCAAGTTGATGAGAAATATGTTGGTGCCATCAATCGTGTACTTCCAGTATTTAAGGCCTACTGCACGGTAAGTGCAAAGCAAGATGGACGAATTAGGAATGTTGGCGCCTCTGGAGTAATCGGTATCGGATTCGAATGACAACGCTAATGGATGTCTTCGCAGGTGATAGAACAAAAGCATGGTGACTTTGCCCATGGGTATCCAGAAGACTAGGAACCAACATACGCCGGAGACAATGAACAAGAGCGGAGTGATCAGCCCATAGAAGAAGAGAAAGAATATAACGCGGCCAGTGTTCCATTGACCACGGCCGAAGAGTCTTCTCTTGAAGGGGCGTTCGGAACTTTCGCGCTGTGCCCCACGCATAGTGCGACCAAGAAGGCTGTCGGTCTCACTAGCAAAAGAGTCAATACTCCGTCTTGATCGCCCAACAATTGAACGATTCCCATGTGGACCGAAGAAGAGGCGGCCGTCTTCAATATCACCACTCTGCCATTGCTCATATTCCGTGATACTACGTCCTTCACCTTCATCTTCATGCGCATATGCTTCATCTTGCTCCAGTCGAACGAACTGTCCGAAAGGATAGAAGAGGTAACCTGCGAGACCCCAAAGGACTTGGCCATATTCGACAGCGCTAGGTGCAGCCCCAAATATAAAGCATACAACAGCACCGGCTAAAGCTACAAGTCCGAGCCACCAGCCGAAGCAGATGGTCCACACGATGTTAAAAAAAAGTAACCAAGTATGCACTCTACCACCGGGTGATGAATGGATGTCACCTTCTGCAGTCTTCTGGACGGATCGGTCCTTTTTGTAAAGAGCCGGCTTCCAAATACGGATACCGAATGGATGCGTTTCGTTGATTGCTTCCTGGCGGTCCTTTAGAGTGAAGCTCTCGGCATCACTCAAACCATCATCATCCTCGTCATCTGGAGTTTCATCTTCTACTTCCTGAACTTCTTCAGTGACTTCTGGTGTATCTTGTTCATCAGCCACTACACCAGCCATCTCAGATTGGGCTTCCGAGCTAGCTTCCTCCTCAGGCGACGAATCTACACGTGGCAGGGCTGGCTGCTGAGTTGGACGGCGCCTGAGGGTCGAGGGCTGATTTCTCACTGATCCAAATCCAGATGTAGCACTTTGCCGAGCTAGAGCACCTTCCACCTCGGCCACATCATCGTCCACAGAGAACTCTTGCCCACGATGGGGTGCTTGTACATTAGATGAAGCTCGACGAGCCATTCCAGGCTTCTTTGGTTTCTGGCCCCCACGTCCACGTTCTGGGCCAAGTATGGGGGATGGGATAGGTTGCAGTGTCGACCGAGATGATTCCATGCTCTGGCTATGGGCGCCCTGTGAGGATTCGCTAGTTCTATGCTCGGGCTGATTCTGGGAAGCTGATTGTGGCTGGATGGATCCTACACAGAGAGGTTAGTGTTGCTAGATACAAACAATAGATTGCCAATATAGGAGCTTGGAATAGCTGCATACCATATGACATGGGCTCCGGTCTGCGCCGAACAGTATCAGTAGATTGGAAACTCTCTGAAAGCCCGTAATCTTTTTGTGAGATCGATTCTACTGTGGCCAGTGGATGCTGCCGGGTGTCTGTGGGAGATGTAGGAACAGACACTTGAGGCGGGCCCTCCCGTGCTTCCCTCGCAGAGCCTGTGGTGCTTCCTGAGTCTGAAGACATGACGCTTTAAATTTGCAAATCCGTATATGTCGTGACCCACGATAGGGAAAATCGCATCGGTGCAAGGGATCAAATGCCGTGGAGGTGTAGGCCTGTTGGAGCAGTACGATATCTACTAATTTGTACTATGGTGCCGTCCGTGTTGATGGTTTTGGTGGTGCTCATGCACAGAGGGATGAAAGGACAGGAAGCTTGCAGAAGGCATTCGCAGAAGTAGAGACGGTGATGCGTAAGGTAACTTGACGTTGGAGTGGGAGTAGGTGAACACACGACAGAACAAAGTGCTTACTCGAATGTTGATGTTGAAGATGATGTTGTATGGAGGTGGTGGGATTCATGGAGGGATCCGATCCTTCACCTTACCTTACATTCACTACTTGGAACCAACCCAACGCAGCACAGCAAAGCGCGTCGATCAGAGTCCACGAGGCGAGGTCATTCACAGGCATGGCATGTATGTGCACGTACCCCGGAAACAAGGGCTGGCTGGCTGAGGTGAGGGATCCGTACTGTACTGTATCTTTCGGCACGCATTATCTATTCGGCCGCGCTTTCCCGCTTTGGACTTGGCGCCTTTCTAGATCAACGCGTTTCTAAGGTTGCCTTTCAGAGCTACCTTACCTACAGCCAGCAGCGCCAATATATCAAACGTCTCAAAACACCACAACTCCACCACTACCATCTTCCACAGTCCACCCCTCCTCCGCGCAACCCATCTATCGTGCCATACACATCCCCCACCATGGCGCTCGACACTTTCTTCCACAACAAGATCGAGGGCATGAAGCTCGAGATCATCCAGGGCCAAGCTGTTCTCCGGAGACTGGAAGCCCAAAGAAACGACTACAACTCTAGAGGTGATGATACCTGTCGCTCTTTCATCTGCATACTGCTAACTTCTCGTAGTACGACTTCTTAGAGAAGAGCTGGGTTTATTACAGCAGCCTGGATCGTATGTCGGCGAGGTTGTAAAGGTCATGGGCACGAAGAAGGTTCTAGTCAAGGTTCACCCAGAGGGCAAATATGGTATGAAGAATAAGTGTTTTATTGCTATTCAGAGCTGACTTCTATCAAGTCGTGGATATTTCCGATAACGTCGACATCACAAAGCTCGCCGTTGGAAAGCGAGTCACCCTCCTCTCCGATTCCTACAAACTCGAAAAGATGCTCCCATCCTCCGTCGATCCCCTGGTTTCCCTAATGATGGTGGAGAAGGTACCGGACAGCACATATGATATGATTGGTGGTCTGGACCAACAGATCAAGGAGATCAAGGAGGTCATTGAACTAGGTCTCAAACATCCCGAGCTCTTCGAATCTCTCGGCATATCACAACCAAAGGGTGTTCTTCTCTACGGTCCTCCCGGAACAGGAAAGACATTATTGGCAAGAGCTGTAGCACATCACACAGACTGCAAGTTTATCAGAGTCTCGGGCTCGGAGTTGGTGCAGAAGTACATTGGAGAGGGTTCAAGAATGGTTCGGGAGCTGTTCGTTATGGCGCGAGAGCACGCCCCATCCATCATCTTCATGGATGAAATCGATTCTATTGGATCATCTCGTGTAGAAGGATCATCTGGTGGCGATTCCGAGGTGCAGAGAACCATGCTGGAATTACTAAACCAACTTGACGGTTTTGAACCTACGAAGAATATCAAAGTCATCATGGCTACGAACCGTCTGGACATATTAGATCCTGCACTACTACGGCCTGGACGTATCGACCGAAAGATTGAGTTCCCACCACCAACTGTTGAAGCTAGAGCAGATATTCTCCGAATCCACAGCAGGAGCATGAACTTGACTCGAGGAATCAATTTGACTAAGATCGCCGAGAAGATGAACGGGTGCTCTGGAGCAGAATTAAAGGGTGTATGCACGGAAGCTGGCATGTACGCACTGAGGGAACGCAGAATCCATGTTACAAACAGCGACTTTGAGCTCGCAACAGCAAAGGTATTAAACAAGCACGATGACAAGGAAGTAAGTCTGGGGAAGTTGTTTAAATAGGTTATGGAAGTAGATGGGAAGTGGGGAAGAGGGATTATTCAAGATGTACAACAGCCAAAGGCCTGGGTCAAAATGGACATGGTAATTTTATGACCTTGCAACGCTCCCGAAATCTGAAACGAGCCTTCAAAGGTTCCCCGCCTTTTCTCTGATAGTCTTCCAGTGCTGCAAGAAACCGTAGAAACTATCAAAGTACAAGGTGCGCTAGCAGCCTACCGTGAAATATATCTAAGGCATATAAGGCATAGAAGATAAATTGCACACCTACAGTACCTACTACCTGTGCTCTAGTATGTTGAGGTTGAGATACTGTGAAAAGCATTGTATTTAGCTCACGTTATTAATAATTGACTGCCAGCAAAGCTTTACGCTAGCTTATACAATGGAAGACGCCGGGCCAGCCAAAAGAAAGTTCCTGGGGCCACACGATTTCCCCACTGAACTGCTAGCGCACCTTGCCAGTGGGTATCGTGAGACTTTTACCTCTCTGCATGATTCTCTTATCCTGAGAAAGGGATTTGGGCAAGTTTGCAGGCGGTGTAGTTCACAAATGCAATATTGATGCACGCACGCCTCCGTGCAGATGTAAAGAGGCCGGATTAGAGATAGTTTTGGATAGACTGGATTTCATTTGTCGAAAACTGGAGAAGAAAAACGGGGGCATGACGGTGTGGGGGGATTTGGGGGTCGGTGTTGGTGTAGGGTAGGGTAAGGTAGGGTAGGTAGGCGGGGGGATTTAACGAAAGGTTGATCTTAAATCCTTCATGTTGCCCTGCTTTCTTTTCTACTCCAGTACTGTGACATCTCACTTTTCAATCCACCACAATTTTTGACACATCAACATCGCCATCGCCTTTTGATCTTCACTTCCTGTCGTCGAATTGTGTAGCAAAGCTCCGGGTTTCCCTTCCCCTGTGCCGTAAGCAAGCAGCTCTCATTCTCAAGCTCTATCTCTCTCTGCCCCTCGTTGTGTGCACCACCTACTTGTACCCTCGCAATACACAGAAAAGGCGGTATTGGACTCATTATCGTCAACTTTGAACGTACCACTCTACTCCACCAAGCACATTCTAAGTGGTCCCCTTTCTGTGTCTATCACAAACTACCCCGCATGTGACAAACACCACTCCAAGTCCAAGAGATTCTCCCGTACTGTACCTGGTTTCCCTACTAAGTCGGAGCAACAGAACAAGAAAAGCCTCTTCGTCACAACGTTACACCATGTCTCAACTCCCCTTCCGCCAGAACTTCCGCAAGCCATCTCGGCAAGCTTCTATGGAGTGCGTTCAATCCTCGACCCATCCATACCTATACCCTCGAGAGTTCAAAGTTAGCTGACAATGGATAGCCCTCACAATGATCTGAATCCGCACATTGACCACTACATCGGTATCGATGTTGGAACCGGCAGTGCTAGAGCTTGTATCATCGACGGCTCTGGAGATATCAAAGCACGTAAGTCCCCGGAGCAACCATCTTTTTTGAAATCCCAATTGACTTCGAAACAGTTGCAACAGAGAACATTGGACTTTGGCAGCCCGAGCAAGGATACTATGAGCAATCTACGACCGATATCTGGAGATGCATCTGCCAGTGTGTACACAGAGCTCTGGACCAGCACAACATTGATCCGACCACTGTTCGAGGTATAGGCTTCGATGCCACCTGCTCTCTCGCAGTCTTCACCCATGATACCGATGAGCCGCAGACTGTCACTGGCCCGGACTTCAAAAATGATGGAAACGATCGCAATGTCATTTTATGGCTTGACCACAGACCAGTCGAGGAAACGGCCAAGATTAATGCGACGGAACACAACCTTCTACGCTACGTCGGAGGCAAGATGAGCATTGAGATGGAGATACCCAAGGTACTCTGGCTGAAGAACAACATGACGCCTGAGCAATTCGAGCGCTGCAAGTTTTACGATCTTGCAGATGCTCTGACCCATTTGGCTACGGGAAACGAGAACAGGAGCTTCTGCAGCACAGTCTGCAAGCAAGGTTTTGTCCCTGTTGGTGTTGATGGAAGCGTCAAGGGATGGCAGGAAGACTTCTACGATGCAATTGGATTGGAGGATCTTACAAAGGACAATTTCCTTCGGATGGGTGGAGTGGACGGAGTAGTAAGCCTTTTCATCACTATGTGTTTTTCAGTTTGACCTTTTTTCTAACGTCTTCATAGAACGGAAAATATTTCAGTGCAGGAGAACTAGTCGGCACTCTTAGTGAAAAGGCAGCCAGTCAGCTTGGTCTCCCTGCTGGAATTGCGGTAGGTAGCGGAGTCATCGATGCCTACGCAGGATGGGTTGGTACTGTTGGTGCGAAGGTCCACTTGGGTGCTGAACAACTCGATGCCGGCCATCCCAAGAATGACATTTCCCAAGCATTCAGCCGACTGGCTGCTGTTGCCGGAACCTCAACTTGCCATTTGGCTATGTCCAAGGAGCCCGTCTTCGTCGACGGTGTTTGGGGACCCTACAGAGATGTGCTTCTACCAAACTTCTGGATGGCAGAAGGTGGACAGTCCGCTACTGGAGAGCTTCTCAAGCATGTTCTTGAGACTCACCCTGCCTATAACGAAACCATGTCAATGGCCGAATCCTTCAACACTAGCATTTACGACTACCTCAACTCCCACCTGGACGAATTGAAGGAGAAGATCAACGCACCCACCATCTCCTACCTAGGCCGTCACTTCTTCTTCTACGGTGACCTCTGGGGCAACCGCTCTCCAATCGCGGATCCTACTATGACTGGTTCAGTAATTGGTCTTACCAATGACCGGAGCATGGACGGCCTAGCCATCTACTACTACGCAACCATGGAGTTCATCGCCATGCAAACCCGCCAAATCATCGAAACGATGAACGAATCCGGCCACAGCATCACCAGCATCTTCATGTCCGGCTCTCAATGCCAGAATAAGATCCTCATGGAGCTAATGGCGACTACCTGTGCCATGCCCGTCGTCATCCCACGATACGTGCACGCAGCCGTTGTTCACGGAGCAGCCATGCTGGGCGCCAAGGCCGCAAGTGCAGACAGGGAGGGCAAGACGGAGGAGCTGTGGAGCATTATGGACCGTATGAGCAAGCCGGGCAAGGTTACCAAGCCAGGCAAGAATGCAAATGAGAAGAAGCTGCTTGATATCAAGTACAAGGTGTTCTTAGATCAATGCCGAACGCAGCAGGCTTACAGGAAGAGCGTGAATGAAACTATTGAGGGATGGGGCCCGGAGGAGTAAATGAAGTGATGGATTAAAATCCTTACATGACTCTCATAAAACGTACATGATGAGCATGAATCACCGGTACGACAAAAGCTATAGAATAGATGATCTTCTCTCTTTGGGACTTGGGACTCGCTAATTTACCATTCTGGTGCTCGTGATCTTTTAACAGCAAATGACTCAAACCGCACCCATAACTTGTTTATAATTGAGACCGCACTCTCCACCAGAAGGTGTCCAAATTCGTATATATAGCGACACGCGCCAAAAAAAAAAAAAAAAAGACACGCGCCGCTTGGAGAAATTTCTATGCTAGAACGCAATACTTCAATAGCAATAATTGCAGAGATCTCATTTACAGAAATAGGAGATTTGACAGCAGGAGATTTGTTAGGAGGTTGCTTATTATCACTAGAAGGGTGCTTGTCATCATCGATATCTATAGCGGTCATGCAATGCATATTACTAAGGAGGTATGGCGCTAGCATAGAATGGTTGGAATAGAAATATAATTAAAGTTCAGGGTCTTATATTATAGTTGTACTTACAAAGTTTGATTTGAGGTGTATTAATTTTACCGCATATATATGGGTTTAAATCTCCAAAATATAACCTTAGATCTAGAGCTGAGGATATACTTTTTAGTGGAGAGTGCGGTCTTTGTCATAAACAAGAATTTGGGTGCGGTATTAGTCATTTACCATTCTTATAAACACTCGCATCATATACACGCTGTAGGATCATGAATGTCACCCTTTTAGTAATGAATTCCCGGGCACACTAATAGCTACAGACCACTAGAGATGTCAATATCTTATATTACTTTACACAACTGAGAAGCCTGGCATCGGAATGCTTTAGGAACTCAACTTAGGAGCTTGATAATCACGCCTTTGTGATGGAATTTTATTTCATCTTAATTGCCACTTCATCTGCCATCTATCCTTGGTCGACGGGGTTCAAAGGAGGCAGTGATATCTGGAACCCTTGCAGGGCTGCATCCAAGTAGGGAAGAAGTGATTGGGAGGCTCACGTCCTTGTCAAAGCTCCAAACGGTATACCCACCGCCACTAAATAGAACCACGAAATCGTCATCGCCTTTCATAATTCGCCTCTTCGGGTGCGAAAACGGCTGGAGGGGTTGATTGAGATGTGTATTGAGGATTTCTGAATCATCTTTAGTAGACCGCATATCTCTCATCCAGCAAAATGCCGCGCCACACTCCGCGAGCCAGCAGTCATTCCAAGTCTGGGATATATGGGTGCATTCGGGCCCCAGTCTCCCATGAACCGGTATGGGGCTAGGCGTTTGTATCTCGGAGCACTTTTTCATGCCTATGGCGAGAATCTGGTCCGATTGTCGCCCTGAATTTGCAGTTGAAAAATCGATTTTGTACACGGGAACTAAAGTTTGATCGCGCCAGATATGGAGTTGATTGAGACCAAACCAATCGTGTAATGCTATCGACAGGCACTTCTGGAGATCTTTTGAGAGATGATAGGATCCGGTGCTGAAGGCATTCCTACGCATATCGAATTTTACCACCAGTAGAAGCTTTGGCTTATTATTGTCTCCTTCGCTGGGATTGTTCCGTTGGTGCTTGCATGGATGAGGAGAGGGAAGAGATGTAATAGAATTTTCCCTTGTTTCTTGCTCGTAGAAGACCTCATCGGTCACTACAATCCCAATGTGTCCGTCTTCTAGGCTAACAAAGCGGGGTCGAAGGTCGACGTCTAGCTGGGAAGAAACCAAGTGAAAAGTATGAAATGCATCTGAGGTGCCCTCTCTACATTGCTGCACCACAATGGTAGGCGGCACTGCATTCAATGCCGTGTATACAACGAAATGATATCGCTCATCGTCCGGATGGAACCCCACTGCGAGAGGTTTTGCCCCTGAGTTGGTGAGCTCTGTGAAGTCTGCTGACGCGTTTGAAACGACAACCGACTGGAGTCCTCCCCCAATTTGCCAAATCAGAACTTCATTTGATATGGTAATGATTCCGACCTGCCTCCGATAGGCTGACATATGTCGGATGGAATTTGGTAATCGAATCCTGTACGGTTCGCTACCTCCATGAGCATCAAGAGGCCAAGCTAACAGGATGGCCCTACCAAAGTCAGCACAGTCCGATTTCCATTCCACCTCGAGCATGCGTTCCAGAAAAGGACCAACAATTGGTCAAAGGATAGAAACAAGCAACATTACTCACGGTCTTGCTATGTGGGCTAAGATGAATTGATCAGCCAGCAGGTATATCGGAAGTGGAACACGATTCTCGTCTGTGAAGACCCTTGAGAACCCCGTGCGAAGATTTCTAACCACAATTATACCATCTTTCACGGTGTAGGCTATTCTCCCATTACAGTATTGCGGCTTTTCAGAGCGCTCATGAAGCGGGACATCTTGGCCATCCCAGGAATAGTGGTATGTTGACGTGGAATAGTAACAACCATGCGTGCTTCTGATTCGCCTCATAGCCGCACCTGGTAACCACTCGTGCAGAGCCTGCTTGCGGGCCCTTTGCTGCTTGGTATTTAAGCCTTTATAACTTGTCTCCCATACGGATGGGAAGTGTAGCTTGACGATACCAAGGTGGAACTCTGGGCTTGAAAATACTTCGTTCCACCTACGGGAGACCGAAAGTACCCTTTTAAGATCTTCGAGCTCAAGGGATTGAGAAACATGAAGCAGAAGTTCCAGTGGTAGGCTTCCGCATATGTCTTTTTGAAATTTTTTGGCATTCAGCTGGGAACGAAAGTGCCGGGTTTCGCTGTCCGTCAGCGTTTGGAAGAGAGATTTCAATCTACAGCTTGATAATTAGTTCTGAAGTCCCAGAGCATATATTTGGGAATTTGAATCAGAAACCACACAGGCAAAAGGTAGAGCCGAGGAATAAGGAACTTAGGAAATATGGCTACCATATCAACTTGACCCAAGATATGGAGAGTAGAGAGATCTCGCTACTAAGGATAAGATGGCAAGGTATTCGCTATAGAGAATTCAAGCAAACTCATAGGCTGTAGAACGAAGAGCTCCTTAAGCGGTATTCGATCCAATCAAGTTGTGCTTTCCACTCAAATGCCACATGGAGATATCATGCCTCAACATTCACCACTCCTGTTTCCAAACCATGGCCCATCGGATCTTTTGGGAAGACTCACTCTGCTTTCCGTGCCTGGACATCAGGGCGACCATCTTCCAAGCGGAGCGACTCGAGATGCTGTCTCAAGGACATGTTGCGTCGTCTCTTCACGTGTTGTGGGAAGTTGATCAGCCCGCAGCAACGCAGATAGATGGAATAGGATGGGATGGGTCGAGATAGCTGCAGTCGATAGCAGGGAATTGATCTGATGGGCTAGTGTTGCTACTGTACGTGCGGATTTGTTGGATTTTTGATACTGTACAGGTGGGTAGTAAGACCTACCCACCTACCTTCAAGTTGATGGCGACCTTGACTCGTGATAGTCCCTTCTCTTTTGGGACAAATTTTGTCTGAGCAGCTCCAAGATTTATTTCGTTCCTTCCTTCTGCAGTCACGCTTCTAATCCAAACAGTCGGTTGGGTTGGAGTTATTAGCCTCAAGTCCGATGTCAAGAATTCGAGTGCGAGGTTGCGAGTTCAAGATGCAACTACCCCACCCGTTCGTTCTATTCACATGTAAATACGAGTACCTCCCATCTTCTTCAGCTTCTGGAACCCTTTAAAGTACAGTACGCTTGCATGCATGCATGACTCCGGAATATACTTGCTTTTCTGCTGCCCTAGAATCCAAGGCACGAATCCTTCTGCATAGGGGCTGAAACATGGGGAAACAGTCCTCGCAAAGTAATGGTGTGGTGACAATTTCAACAGAAGAAGAAAAATAACGCGGAGCACTCACTAATCTGCATAACTTCCGAGACTAGCTGATACGATAGTCCGTCATCCGAGCTATCCTATCTTACTTCTTACTTGCAAGCTCGAGGCTCCCCGGATCTCGCTATGTGTGAGAACACCCCCGTTGCACCTGCATTGGGTGAAAGACAGCCCGGTGTCGATATCATCCCCTTCTACCAGCTGAGCTCTTGCTCTAAAACTCCTCTGGAAGCCCTCCCCTTTAGACTTCTTCTAGAATGGTATCTGCAGGTTGCTATTATTCTGTGGCTACATTCCCTCCGATCCAGAATGAGAGCTATGCTAGGTCTAGCACCGTACAGGTAGTGCACATGGATGCTGTTCAATGTTCAGTGCCCCTATCCTATCCTCTCCTATCCCATCTCATCCCGTCGGAAGTTATTTTTATTTCGCGGAATGCAGCCTAGAGAAGGAGGAGCTGGAAGCTGGAAACTGCAGGATTGGAGCAAGCTGGAAATGGTGGAAGCACTGTTACTCTTGCCAATCATGTATCAAAAGCTGGCCTTGAGCTGGCCTCCATGTTCTCTATTCTAACTCTTCGGCCCCTAAACCCCCAATGACCCCCCTGATCAGCTCAATACCTGCCCGCTTGAGGAACGAATACCACCCCAGAACTAATACTAATATTGCACTGCATGCCCAGTATTGGCCTACTGAGCCCTACCTAGGTACCTGAGTAGGTAGTAGTACCTCGGGATATTAAATAGCACCTATTGTGCCCTATCATTGCACTAATTTGAGACGAACCTTCAACAAGCTCGGCCACTCCACTCCTTCACGCTTGGGGTCCAGACGTGTCGTCGCACGGCCTTAACTACTGTACAGCTATAACCTATTACATCAAGATCAATATCAGATCTAATCCGACTACTGCTCTACAATACTTAAAAACATCCAGAATACTCTGCCTGCGCCAATTCCTAGGTGCCATCGAGCAGCAATCGCCGCTGCATATACCCCTTCTCCTATCTATCCAATTGCCCAATCTCAGATAATCGCTCGGTAGCGAGGCTGAGGGGAACACGGCCTCGTGCATGAACAGTGGCATTGGACAAAGAAGAGCTTCAACCATCATCGGAAATCGCAGTCCAGTCCCGAAAATAGCCATCTGCCTGCCTGAAATGAGGTGTGTTCCTCCTTACCAATGTAGCGATCATTGCGCGCCTACCCCTCGCAGCTAGACGATGCGATTGTGCCCAGAAGTGCTAATCAGTTTACAGGTGACGGGAAGATGGATCCAACGGATCAGCGAGCGCAACGGGGCCTCTTCTTGAACGAACGCAATCCAGCTCAGACAACAGCTCGGACTGTGCCTATAATTCAGCCCATTCTACAGACATCTGCGCCATCTCTTGGAGATCCAATGGAGGTGACTCCTACTACCTCGTCCATGATGGCTCCCCCATCACGAACAAGCCCGGACAACGAGACAAACGGCGTACACGATCAACAGATGGGCATGGGCATGGGCATGGGTATGGGTGATCAACCAAATACTGGCAGTCTGGCAGGGCCAAACGCTGCTGCTGCTGCAGCGGCAGCTGGAGGTGGGCAACAGCCAAAAGTAGTACAGACTGCTTTTATACATAAGCTGTACAAGTATGTTACAACCTGGGCCCTGTCTGCGGCTCTACTTGCTAATGCACTAATAGTATGTTAGAAGACCAAAGCATACAACATCTAATATCTTGGTCGAATTCGGCCGAGAGCTTCGTCATGTCCCCATCTAATGATTTCTCAAAAGTTCTTGCGTAAGTCGGGTGCCTCAATCCCGATAGCCTCGCTCACACATCACAGCCAATATTTCAAGCACACGAATATTTCATCATTCGTACGACAGCTGAACATGTATGGATTCCACAAGGGTTTGTATCACCAGCTTTGGTCACATGGAAGAGTCCTCGCTAATACCTGGCCAGTCAGTGATGTTTTCCACACTGGCTCTCCCGAGTCTCCTCTGTGGGAATTCAAGCATGGCAATGGCAATTTCAAGAGAGGAGACCTCGTTGGTCTGAGGGAGATCAAGCGTCGAGCATCTCGGCATGCTCTTGTTCATCGGGACTCATATTCGGCGCCAAAGCCGCCCATCTCTCAACCTGGCACTCCAGCAGAGCCAATGCACCCAATGCAAGATTCAACAGAGTCAAGACTGACTAATCTTGAGCATACTCTGTACGACATGCATGCTCGGCTCCAGAGGAGTGAAGACAATTCCCAATTTATGCATGTTCGGAACCAGATCGTCATGGACGCACTCTCTCGTTCGCTTCAGGTAAGACCATGCATTTTCCTGTCCGCGTGGCTATAGCCGAGCAGCGTTGCATTGGATTTGGTATACTTGGATCCATACTTACTATTAATAGCTGAATCACGAGATGTCGAGAGCTGTGCAGACACTTGTTCCTAACCCCGACACAGCACTCCATCAAAATTGTAAGGAATATGGGTACCAAGGTTCCGACTAAGCTCAGGCTAATTTATGATGCAGTTACAAACATGCAGACAGAGATCCAACGCCAGGTAGATATCATTAGATCGATGGAGGAACCTCCTGAGCCCCCGTTTTCAGGAAGTCGACCATACTTTTCCAATCTCTCCCTTGATAATGCGCCGGTCTCTCCCAGACAAATTCCGCAAGATGACCCTCGCCGTGCACCAAATCTAAGCGTACCACCCCGACAAAACTTCTACCGACCCCCAGTACCATCACATCTTTCCATCACACCTCGTAGATATGGTTCAATTGGTGCCAATACTTCACAATCCTCACCAAGCTCACTTCGGTCACAGGTCCCACCTCCGCCTCCACCACCACATCCGCTTGCAGCTGTCCAATCGCCCCCAACGAACCTTCCACGACGCCACACCTCAGCTGACATACGCAACGTTCAAGGCTGGCAAGCAAATACATCCCCATTTGGATCTGGTCAGTCATCCTCACAATGGCCATCATCACCCAAGAGGAACGCAACTACTATGAACGAGGATCAACGCATCCGCGATAGTTTCAGCTCCTATTCCCTCACCAACGCATCATCTCAGGGCCGAGATACTTCCCGACCTACCACACCTCCTTTCTCAAACGGAAACACACAAGACCACTTGAATAGCTGGTCCTGGGGTGTAGCTCGAGATAAGACGCCCTCGGGCCTTCTGAAAGATAATTCTGGACCCCCTACTCGCAGAGGTAGCATGGCCCACATTCTAAACCCAGCAGAAACGGCTGAGAGAGACGAAGAGCATGAAGACGACTTGCGGGAAGAAGACCGGAAGCGGAAACGGCTGCAATAGATGAGGTTTCTTGGGTATCCTTCCGGTTTCTGTTTCGGCTCTTTTGTCATTATCGTATCACGGAGACTGGGTCTTGGGTGGCTTTGATCTAAGATTTATTGTACCACTTCCACGATAGCGTAAAACATCACATGGGCCTGCGAAGGGATGCATTTGCATTGTAGAAGGACCTTTTCATGTTTCCTCTGTAATGCGGACTCGGGGTTGGGGACAATGGCAAGGTGGAATGAAGGCTGGTGCAAATTTACCAGCTACGATATGTTGAAGGGGGTTTCGAAACCCGAATTGAATGATGTGGGTATGAGAGACTATTATGATTGGTCTGGTCTGGTCTGGTCTGGTTGGTCCGGGTGAGGATACCAAAAGCATTCTAATATATGCTTGAGCCGGAATGGAATGTCTTAATAATATAATACAATTTAAGATATAATTACTCTAGAGTCTGGATGAATGAGTATGTGATTACATCTGGGCAATATTATCTCGGAAATATAGTATTCTCGAGGCAAGGTCCTTAGTACTACCAATAAGGCATGATGATTTTAATTTTTTTTGGACGTTGCTGTTCTTGTGGTGCATGTGTCCATGTTCCACGATTCTACGCACCCGGCTCTCTGGCTCTGGGAAATGTAGATCCCTTGGCCACGAATCTGGTTGTTCGAGTAATGAAACACTCGTACAAACTTAAATACGAAGTGCAACGCACATCTCCTTCCCTCCTAGTGGACGAAGCCCTTCTCGTCGGAAACCTACGAGACATGGCGAGCAAGCAACTGAGACAGACTTTCTTTCCCACGAGAATTGAATTAGTATTTGGATTAATTACGCAAAGACAAGACACATTGAAACATTGGCGTTGCTGAACGAACGCCTATACAGTATTACATTACGCACACCACTTCTCATCTCATGATCACACCCCAAGCTTCTCCAACTCCCTCTCAACTTGGCCTTTCAGGTTTATCACCACACTCCACACTTCCTTGATGCACTCATCACTTGTAATTCCTGACCCGAACACCGCTTTCATTTTATCCTCGTGCCATCTGACCATCTCCAGCTTCAACTGGCTCTTCAGTCCATTCATCTTCTGCACGGTGGTGCTCTTTGCTTCTCTGGCGATAGCCCCGATCCCAAAGCTGGAATCGTCTTGGAAATCCCAGACTGGGTGGAGACCGAAGGCGTGGCAGAAGAATCTGTGGGCTGTGTATTTGGGCCGGTGTCCAGGTTGTAGCCCGATTTGCATATCAACCGCCAGCAAGTCTTCTCGTGAGAAGGAGGGTGCTTGTGAGGGCCATGGTAGACTTGGAGGCAGTGAAACTGCTGTAAATTGCTGGATAGCTGTCCATCGGGTGTTGTAGAGCGCGAGTTGTTTTGAAGCTTCTATGAATACAAGCTTAATATCCGAGGCAACAGGTCCGGTTTCTTGTCGAGAGTGGTGAGGAGGAATTTGCATGTAAGGGTTGAAGAAATCATGGTGCATGTCATAACTGTCTTCCTCATCAAAAGCCTCCATAGCCTCAAAGTCATCTATGTATGCTCCTTCTTCGTTCCGACCCATAACATCCATGAGGAAATCCACTCTTGGCTGGCTGGAGTACCCGTATGCCGCTGCTACTCCTGTAGTAGAGAAACCGGAAAGACGGCGAGAGTTCAGATGATAATAGGCAGAGTCGTCAACATCCATTTCAGTATCAAGACCGGCCTCCTCCGCATAACTCAAAGGTGGCTCGAGCATACACTCAGTTGGGAGGTTTCTATAGTTGGAGAATACCCCACCGAGGCGTATATTGCCAAGGTTCCTCTCTAGCATATTAATGTTGTTCAGCATAACTTCGGGCATAGAGCACGATATTCGTTCGTCGTTGGGCTCAAACGAGTCGTGGTGTGTTGTCCCACCCCCTATATTGTGGAAAAATCCATTGCCTGAGCACGCAGAGCAGTAGAAAGATGTTATGTTCGCCGAATCCCAAGTCTCAAAAAGCTGTGTAAGTACAGAAGGAGCAGGAGCAGGAGCAGGAGCAGAAGCAGGAGCAGGTGTGTACTGCTGTCTTACATTATAAGTTCAGAGTCAGCTTTGTTTGATATGGCAGGTCTTTGGGGTCCAAATAATGTTCCACGGGAGTTAAGATAATACTTCAGGAGTAGTCGACCTCTACACCTACTGCTCAAATATCGAAGTAGGAAATATTCCCTTCGAAAAGGTCACTTACCGAATGTTTTCTGGGGGTGAGCCCTCGCTCTTCTCGTAAGTCTGACAAGATGTTGACGATCGTGGTGTTTTCCACTTCTGGCTTTTGGGGATCTTCGCTGTTGAACCTCGAAGCTCGCCATGACTTTTCTTTTTCGATGATCGAAACAACTTCCAAGCTTCCCAAGTTGGTGTGCTTCTACTCGATCCTTGACTATTGCTGCGAGATGTTCTCTCTCGTACTTGTTGAGTTTCAGCCTCTGGAGGGCTTACCAAAGAAGTAAGACTATTTTCAGCCGGCTGTGATTGTTGAGGGTTTGAGTAGGACCCAGAGCTCGATCTACTACCCCCGAAAGGCAGCTTGAAGCGACTGGGCGGTTGCGGTTGCTTTCCCCTCCGTTTTCGTCCCTCGTTGGGTCGCATGTTGCTCCCTTGCCGTTGGCAAAGCAAGCGGCACCAATTTATGATGTGTCAGGCGAAGTAGGACATGTAAAGTCGATGATAACGCTTTCCAGCATGAAAGAGATGGAAGCTAATTTGCCACGCAGGCCAAAATGCAGATGGAACTGCTTAGACCCACAAATGAGACAGAAAAAAAAAGATATATTAGAATTCTCAAGGTACTTTATTATAGTAGAGGGACGCTTGGTCTGGTTTGACCAAAGTGCCACGAGAAACCCCTCATCGATCGCCACTTGGAGCAAACAAGTACACATCACTTGAGAGGAAAGCCAACTCACAGCCTGACTGGCGGGTACGGCAGCATGCAGAAATCGATCTACTAGCTGCGAGGCATCGCCTATAGTCGACACAACAGCCTTGTATGAGGGGTCAGGTCATACTGAGTTGTAGGGGGGGGGGGAGGGGGGGGCTGTTTTCCAGCTGTAACGGAGGGAATGCTGGCAGAAGATCGAGCGGCGAAGGTAATACAAGAGAAGGAGATCTTAATCGCAGGCGCATCTGTACGATGTGGGTACGGCATGTGGGTGACATGATGCTGCCGCACCTCTGCCACATTATTCTCACCTAGTGACTGGTGATGGCGAGTGAGGTGTCTTATAACAAGTAGGATACAGCACGCTTGGACTGTGACCGGATCTGAGGATACACAAAAGCTCCGAGTGTTGTCGGACGAAGGTAGACACGTCTCGCAGACGAAGGAGAAAGCAAGGGTTCAAATAATAAACGCAATTCTCTAATACAAGAGAACTTTCTCTCCCTCTGCTGTCATTTAAATGCACATTTGATCCCACTAGGACAAGTCCACATCTGAAACCCGGAACATATTTCAAAGACTGGCGAGAGCTAGGTAGATAGATTTGCCAACTGTTGTAAAATGCACTCAAATCCTCCGTGACAAGATGTCCTCACTCCTTCTCTAGGATTCTCTCAAGACTGCACTGTAGAGTATACCTACCCTAGCATGATACCAATTCCTAAATGGGTCTGATAATCGAAGAAGATCTGGCTTCTCTTTGAGCGTCTAAATATACAAGCGAAGCGAAGGGTCACATTGACCAAAGGTATCTTGGAACATGATCGAAACGGTGCGTTGAATTACAGGCAAGAGCCACTTGGGCGAGCCGGCGATGTCAAAAGGCCTGGTGGGTATTGAAGCAATGAACGTATCCGTACAATCCCAAAGAATTATAATATAACGCATCATCAAAATGCCAATGCTTATTCTCCCCCGATCCCCAAACGCCAAAGTTCGTGCAGTCATTATACCCAGAACGACATCAAGCCGTCTCTTCGGTCCGCAGACATCCTAAGCATAATACCTCTCCCTCTGTTCCCCTCTCAACACAACATCTGCTGCATACCATACCCCTATGCCCTGTACCCCAATCTCTGTCCTGATTCCTCGTATCGTCGCCACTTTTCCTCAAACACTCCTCTTTCTGCAGCGAGAAAGACAGAGCATCCATCATTTCAGTGTCCTTGCTCACCGCAACAGCAGAACCTAAACACTCCCGTATACAAATATAACAAGTTCTCTTCCCACAGCATTCACAATCGGCAAAAGCATCAAGCTCGGATTTAACGGTTGGCTTCCGGCGGCAGATGTGGCAAGGACTGAGTATGACGCTCTTCTTGGGCGACAGGGCTTCGTAGTGTATGGCATTTGAGTGTGGAAGTTGAAGCTGATAGAGATCGGGGTTTGAGACATAGGCCTTTTCAACGCGTATTCTCTTGCTGTCGTGAAATCGTTTTGGAGCTGGTAGAATATGCCGCTTTTCTGAATGCTGTATTTCTTCTCTGACTTCGTTTGGGAATGTAATATCCGTGTGTCGAGCGATATGAGGGCTGTGTAACTATATTAGTAGGCACCGAAGTCTCTTGGCTAAAAGAACGAACCTGGAAATCTTCATCTGCACTTCACTAGTACTCTCATCCTCCCTCCTCCGCTTGCGGCTGTTTAAAGGCGAAACTGGTGCTTGGGCGATTGAGGGCATAGCGCTTGTTGATGTTGCTATACTGGAGATGTGCTGCGGGTAAATGGATGCACAGCGATTGCCAGAGCTTATCGGTAGAGAACTGGCGAGGACCGGTAGACTGGGAGAAGCAATGAACAGGAGAGATTCGGTGTAGGCTCAAGTCCAGAAATGAACGGAATCGGGTTATTACCCGGAAGATGCAGGAGGTTGGAGACTGATGGTGTTGGTGGTGGAAGACAGAGGCCGTCGTACCTTATACGTACTAGGTACGGTGATCTGGGACGGCTAGGGCCGAGCCCCCCGCCCCGCCGCTGCCCGCCCTGAACTCATCCCTGAAGCAAACCCTCACTCAAGAACAAGAACAATAAACATTGTCGTAACCGAATTTGAATATACCGCAGTCCGGCATAAGGATTCATAATGTGTTACTTTGGTTAGACGGTTATATGAAAAACTTTAGTATCAGATGATCAGATAGTCAGATGAACTGATCAAAAATCAAATATACCAAAGTACTATTAATTGTCCAACAATTATACCCTGCTTTCTATGGAACTCTATAACGCCCTACATGGGCCCTAGCACCGTCTCGAATTAATTGCGGCTTCATAGTTGAGACTCTAAGAGGTGGCATCATTTAGCAAGGCACCTTTTACATGCAGATATGAGAAGCTGCTCTCTCTCACTTCGCTTAGGAAAGGGGAGGCAGGACCAATGTAAGATTTATACATTTAATTAATCATTACTACAGTGTCACATAATATCCAAGCCCCCATCAAGATGCTTTCAAAGCAATGATAAACTCCTCCCATATTTTTGCTTTCTTATGCTTCTTTTTTAACATAATTCGTTTCCTCCCCTATCCACCAACCACTCCCTGCCAGTTTTGCCACTGACACCCACAGCCTCCGGTGCCTCCATCAAAGCCACCAAGACTCGGATCCGAAGGACCACTCGCACCAAACAGTAAGTTTGCCGGATTGATCAGCGTCCCTCCGAAGCCCCTCTGTTCTTTCAAAATTATCCCACTGCCTTTCTCAATACCCTCTCGGTCGTCCATCGAGTAACAGTATAGCATTTTCGTATCAGCATCACCACCATGTCTATCTGTCGTAATCGTGATAGGATATGGGAAGGATCCAGGCTGGGACAAGTCATGCGCGGGATCTTTGCTAATAGTATGTGTGCTGTTGAGGAGTCGAGCGGTGGTGTTCATGCGAGTCCACATTTGCACCAAGAAGCGCGTCTGTGTCCAGGTGCAGCGGAAAGACGCCTCAGACTCCCGAGCACCGCCATTCTCGTCATCGGGCACTGCGCCGCTATCTGTGTTAGACGAGTTATCCAGGTCGAGGGATTTGAGGAAGATGGATCGATCGAAATAGGTGTAGAAGCCGTAGTGCTCTGTGGGGAGACCGCGGTCGTAGAGCCGGATGGGTTGCTGGGTGGGAAGAGGAAACAGGTTTGCCGGTGCGGCAGTGTTATCCGAGTTCAGGCTCGGTGCGGGAATGATGGAGGAGATATTAGGGAACATGTCGGATGAGTTGTCTGGAGACTGGCGCTCCATCAGGCTCCTCTTACTCGTTGTAGAGTTTGACGATGGCAAAAAGGATATGAAGAAAGGTGTCGGCTCTCCCGCTTTGTTGCTGGAAGCAATATTGTCTGTTGTGTTTCCCAAGAAGAAGTCATCTGCAAATGATGGAGGTGCTGGTGAAGGTACAAAAGTAACAATATCCCGAGCCTTGAGAAGAACGCTTTTGATAAGTTGTCCCGCAGACACAGCGTTCCCACCAACGGCGCGAGCCCCAAGAGTTGGATTTCCAGTAACATTCTTGAAAGTATCGTTTGCTGAACTACTATTATCCCACTGAACGTAGAGAAGGAAGTTCGGTTGGTTCGCCTGATTGGGAGCAATCGATGACTGAACCTCTTTGGGCAAGGAGCAGCTCCACTGAGTTGCCGGGAAAACACACCCAGTATTTGTTACAGTATTAGTTGGAGCAACTACTGTTGAGAGTCCGGTAAACATAGGAGGAAACCCTGTCAAATTTACCCACTGGGATGGCCCAATGATCGTATTTGGTTTACGAGACAAGGTTGTGGCCAGGGCAACGATTAATATAAGCATTGCTAAGAGCCCAATGACCAGCCCTAGGGTGCACCGACGCTTCTTGCGACCTTCAGCGCCCCCTCGGCCATAGCACCCTCTCTTGGGAATGCATCCACGCCCTCGCCACCATCCACCAGCTTTATGAGCTACAGCATCCTCCTTCTCGTGTCGTCGACGCTTGGCTTCAGATTTATTTGATTTTTTGGAAGTGCCCTGGACATGCTCGGTTGTGACAAGCAATACGTTTTGCCTTGGTGGTAACTCAGCCGGGTATGAAGAGTTAAGGTTTATCGGCCTTCGGCTAGGGTGAGCTAAAGGTGCAGTGGTCATTTGAATGGCCCCTGGAGATGCCATTGCTTGCTGCATACCGGGCGATATGGGTCCAGGGGACGCGGGTTGCTGAAGAGTACGAACATGACCAGGTGGGAAGACTGCGCGATACCTGGGATTGCGAGACGGCGAAGGTGAATACGGTGGGGGTGGTGGAGTTGTAGAAGGGGATTGAGTTCGTTGGACCGGGAGCTGTGCGCGCTGTAGAACTGCGATCTGAGCATGCTGAATTACTGGTAAACTGCCAGAGTGGCTGGTACCCGAAATATCGTTAACATCACCAATTTGAGGCTGTACATAAGGATTGTTGCTTTGTAAACCTCTCGAATTGGGCGCATCAGATAAGACAGGAACTGCGCGGTCGTTCGAGATCTCGTTTGTTGACCTGGAAGAGTTGAAGCGAGAAAGATCACTTGACGCTATACTGGACATTGTTGAGGCGGCTTCGAACCCTGCAACTTCGGATAGGACGATTGGTAAAGTGCCTGTGGATGCCTGGACTTTGTGTCTGGTCTCCTGAAGTACTGGGGATTGCCCGATCGGTCTTGTATCTTTCGAGTCAACATTCCACCACGGGTCTGATTGAATAGTTGTTGATGTTTCTGGTGTCAAGGGTGAAAATTGCTTTTCCCAGGACTTTCCCTCTCTCCCCGCATCTTGAGCCTTTGCAGCAGCAATCGCAAGATCAGGAACAGCGGGTGGGTGTTGATCTTCGGGGCTCCGGGTAGCAAATGTATTCGATCGCGTTAAGAAAGGCGTGGTAATATAGTTCCACCACCCTTTCGAGCGCCGCCGAGTTGCAACGGTACTAACGCTTGCATGCCTGGCGGCGTTATTTGCCCCAGTCACTGAGACCGCACGTGCCGTCCTGGCGATTATAGGGCTCTCATCCTCCTCGAAAACTGTACAGGTTGAAACGACACGGGACCTGCAGTGATCTGAGGTATATTCATCATCTTCCCAGGACGTGCCATTGTCAGAATCGGGAGAAAAATAACTCGTCTGAGCCGCGACTCTCTGCTGTTCCTTTTTAAGAACAGAATCTGGTACCTTGGGAATAGGTGGTGCGTTCTGACTTGTGTACACTTCTTCGCTGTTGACGGCTTGGGAGTATATACTTGATGCTGGATGAGGACGGGGCTTCAAAGGTGACCAATCAGATACTTCTTGAGCAGGTGTGATGATGATAGTTGGAGTGTCTGGCGTATGGTGTGTTCGGTCATAACTTCGGACTATATTCGATATGTCTGAAGAAGCTGTCTGAGGACTCAAGGACTGTTGGGAGACGTCGGAGGAGGGAATCGAAAGACCAATCATGATGGGCCTATCATTGGGGCTCAAGTCATCACTTAATTTGAGAGGAGAAGCCGTCAGAGTTGACGGCACTTTTTGCGAGGCATTCGTCGCATATGTGGCTCCAGAAACTGCAACTCCGGAAGGCACAGCTGGGATGGAAGGCACTGTGTCTGGAGCTCTTATCAAACCCAAACCCTTGGTCTTTTTTGACTTTGACTTCCAGAACTTCCCCGATGCTTGTGATTGCGTCGATTCCCCGTTCAGCGCTTGAAGAGCAGCCAAATCAACAAAATACCCCCTCTGTGGCATCGTCTTTGAAGGCTGCACCTGTACTGGAGGAGACGCATCCTGATGTCTTGTGAAAGTTGTTACCAGTTTGATCCCAGCTTTTGCATTCTGCTTCTTCTGCCTGCCTCTTGACTTGTCTCGGGTTGGCTTGTGTACAGAATATCTCTTATCTGGTTTCCTCGTATTTGTCCGATTTGCGGCTACGGTACTCACTCCACCAACAGCGCTATCTGGAGGCCTGGGCCATTGTGTAATTCGTTCTAGGTGTTTGTCTGAATCCGACGAGCTATCTTCTTCATCCCAGGATTCATCACCACTCTCTTCGCCATCAAAAACAGTATTAAATGGATTGCTTATAGATTTTGTGGAAGGAATGTCTTTCGAAGTACTTGGTATTGCTTGTGTACCTCTGGTGGTAGCCATGTTGCTAAGATCGTATATCGAAACAGTCCGAGGCTGCAATCGAAGGGAAGAAGGGATCTGGAGGGTATGGTGGGTGTTTCGCGGGTCGTTGAATGTGAAGGTTGGTTTGAGGCGGGTATCTTCGTTTTTGAGTTTGGTAGGTCAAGTTGAACTTGGGGGAAGGAAAGACCAGGACGCGAGAGTCTAAGAATGAATCCAACCTTCATGAGATATGGACAGGAAGCATCGTATGGTTCAATGTAGACTACCCAGCTATTCTGGTGGGGACAATAGTAAAAGAACAATAAGGAGTGTAAGTCTTGGTGAATCGAGGAGTTTGGGAAGGACAGTAAATCGGTCGAAGCCGGAGAACATGCGACAAGAAGACGAAAAGAGAGTACGTATTGAACAAGAAAGAAAAATGAAACAAAGGGTTGATGGCCATCGGTTCGAGGCCATGGGCTTTTGAAGTCTTGCTTGCACGACCAAACCCAAACCATGTCTGCCGCAGACCCAGACTACCAGGGCAGGCGGTGGATTCCGGACAGCCAGAAATAAGATGGAACGTTCTCATTCGACAGCAGTCGCAAATAGATGATTTTGAGGTTCTGTACAAACCTGTCACGGTCGTTTTTCGTTGGACGACTGTTGCAATACGCGCCCATGCAAATGAACCATTGGGTGGCGCTTCGAAGCCGCCGAAGCCAATGAAACGCGAGCAGCCTAACAACATATGATTAAGAGTTCCCGGTGGGCGCGAATGGTACAAAGAGAGGTATAAGGAAAGGTGTAAAGAGAGGTATAAAGAGAGGTATATGGTAAGGCAAATCACTCGACTGACGATGGAGAACTGACGGACAAGAGGGTTTTGGTGACCTACGAGAAGGTGGGGAGGGGTGGGGGTGGGGGTGGGCCAACCAAAGTTCTGCTGTTGGACAACCTCCCCTTCCCCTTGTGCAGTGAGTGCGCAGTGATGGTTCCACGACACGTTGTTATTAACATCTCTCAACTCACCAGCAAGAGATGGTTTCAAACCACATATCTGTAAAATGCAAATGCCAACCCTACTTTACTTCTTTTCAACCAGCTACTGTACAGGTGCAGTACAATACCTTCGGACCTAGCAGCCAATCATATACCGTAGCTGCACGGATGGGGTATTTCTCAGGATAGGATGGCACGGTTTAATGCATACCTACCTACTTAGCCCTACCCTACACCTACCCTACCCTAGTCTAGGTACCCGTAGGAGTACAGTTCCGGTAATCTTACTACAGTATCAGGACCAATTTCGTGATATCCTGATATACAGTACTGTACGAGGAGGTAATGTCGATTTGAAGGGCTGAGAAAGCCGAATAATAACAACATGGTATCTTACATATACGGTATTAACTTACTTGCCTTCTCAATATAATAAATATAATACGAGCACGAGTACAGCATCATCTCCTCAATCTCATGTCAGCAGTCGAGCCTTACGATAAGTGCACACGCTAGACCTCTATGCAGGAAAGCGAGATGGAGATCAATAGGGGCTATCAATTTCCAAAAAAACGCCGCCTTATTTCGACCGCGCTCCTCAAAATCCCACATCCCCATCGTGAGAATATTATCTGTTCTCTCTCACCTTTCTGTCTGTCTATCTGTCCTTCTTCTCTCCCCTCCTCTCCTCCACGCCTTTCTCCCGTATCATAGCCATTACGGTAATATTACCGCATTGCCCACCGCATCTGTCACTCGTGTTTGACGGCTGATAGCAAGAGCTAAGCCTGCGCCGCGCCTTTCCGCTCTCACTGGTCTCCTCCACAAATCATTCATCCCCGTAGCGCAACATCCAACGCAACCCAAGATTCTCGCAGGAACGCGCTGCTGCAGTGGTTGAAGCATCCCGAAGAGTCGACATATTATACGAGCGCTTATAATTGCAACCTTCCGCCGTGTACATCGTCCGGGCCCCCTCTTCTCATCAGAACAGAATCTCCAGACGGCTCCTCTGCCTTCTGGACCGCCCATTTCGAATCTGGCGTCCTTAAACCCCTCCTCATTTTCCTCTTCTATCGGCGGATCCTTCTCTCACCGCAGACGACGGTCTTCCGCATCGAGTACTGGAGCACCTTCAAGCTTAAATACTCACGAGGCGTCTCGCAGTGACCTGGACACTGCATCGCAAGGTGGGACTCTACCTACAATTCCTGGGACGCCAAATTTACCTATGTCTTTGTCGCGCAGTCCGTCCCCAAAGCCTGGGGGCGGATGGGCAAGTCCTGGCCTCAATACCCCGTATGTGGATGTTAGTGGGCGCTCAAGCCCCGGGAAAGCCTACAGAACGAATGGAGCAGGTGCGAACACGGTGACTTGGGAATCAGCCAAAGCCAAGAGTGAAGGTGTCAATAGTTACCCGTCCTTCTCTACACAGAACAATGGTTTCTTTACCAGGCATTATCGCACGATATCAAATAGTCTACCGCGGTTCAACATGGGGTAAGTTCAATTATCCGATTTCAGCCTAATTGAGTTCCAAATCCAAGAACGTTATCTTGTCTCGAGCAATTGGCGCATTTTCCTAGACTTTATACTGACAGTTTTTCTTGCAGAAGGGGCCCCGAGAAGAGCTACGCGGAGAAGGAAAAGCTTGGTCGTGGACGGTGGTCATCAAGAGATGGAAGCAAAATAGCGAAATTAGGGAACTTCTTGGGACGCATTAGCTACAAGATGCGGTTGCGACTACTTGCTATACTGGCAGTCATTGTCTTGATAATAATATTCTACACGACGCGTAAGCATTACTCCCCAAACAGGCTCCAGGAATATTGCTAACATCGTACAGCATTGCATTACTACTGGCGCAGGGCGAAACATCTTGGAGGTGGCAAGAAGCATGTGATCATTCTGGCGGCAAACCAGGGCGGCGGTGTAATGGAGTGGAAAGGCCCCAGAGAATGGGCGATCGAGCGCGACAGTGTACGAAACAAACGGAAGTACGCGAAAAGATGGGGTTACGAGCTAGAGATTGTGGACATGAGCACCAAGAAACGATATGCACATGAATGGAGGGAGAGCTGGGAGAAGGTCGATACAATTCGAAACTGCTTGCGGAAGTACCCAGATGCTGAATGGTGAGTTCACCCAAATCCTTCCGAGTATTTCAGATTCTAATTATCTTAGGTTCTGGTGGATGGATCTCAATACGTTCGTGATGGAGCCTTCCTATTCTCTACAATCGCACATCTTCAACAATCTTGCGGCCAACACTTACCGCGACATCAACCAATACAACCCTTTAAACATCACGCACCCATTTGACTCGCCCTATTTAGACGAAGAGGCGCTTAGCGTTAATGGGGATGGAAAAGACTCCTCTATTAATCTGATAGTCCCCCAGGATTGCAGTGGATTCAACCTCGGATCCTTCTTCATCAAGCGGAGTGCATGGACCGACCGACTCCTGGACGTGTGGTGGGACCCCGTTGGTTATGAACAAAAGCACATGGAATGGGAGCACAAGGAACAAGATGCACTGGAATTCCTGTACATCAACCAGCCATGGATTCGACCCCACACGGCGTTCATCGAACAACGAAAGATCAACAGCTTTCCACCAGGAGCGTGCTCAGAGAACGGCAACGATGATCGAATCCACTACAATGAGAAAGACCGAGATTTTGTAGTAAATATGGCCGGTTGCGAATGGGGACGTGATTGCTGGGGAGAAATGTACAACTACCGAGAGTTGAGCAACTACTTGAACCGAAATTGGTGGGAGCTATTCAAGGAGGAAATAGTAGCGGTAATCTGGTTCAAGATCACGGGACATAAGGTCAAGCTATAAAGGGTGGCTTTGGTCGACGTTTGAAATTTCTGCTGCTGTTTACCTCGGGCGTGCGCGCCATGCCTCGCACATGTACTCGAAATACCCTACCTGCTTTCTTGTATGATATTATCACACACGTGCTATGCCTGCCCTCGTTGGCATTGCATAGATAATCCGTGGCTTCAATTTTGGGTGGCTTGCACTGATGCGAGTTGGCATTGCATGCTAAAAATGGAGTTTGTAAAAGGGAAGGATGATGTATGTACTATATGACGACGCTGGATGTGGCACAAGTGTTCATGGAATTGGTTTGAGAACCGTGATAATTACAAACAGAAGCAAGATAAGATTTCGTTCATGGTATAGATAGAATGAAAGTGTCAACTTTACAAATCTCGGACTAAGAATATCATGAGAGGAATTAGCACGGCTCTCTCTAAACTCTCCTTGAAGTCGAGACGTTCTAAAAGGACCTCTAATCCTGTCCATCTGGAAATCGAAGATTTATTGAGCCTCATCTAATTCTAACTTATTAAAGGAGGCTCAGACAGCCTGAAGAGGGGACAGCAGAGGTTAAAAGATCCATGCAATATGCTAGAATGAGTTGCTTAGTAAACGGAGCCTGAAGGTTTCTCATAATTATCTAAAAGTACTAGAGCTGTTGTTTCAAAGTACGAGGCCTGGTCTTATGCAATTGACCTTATACTCCTTGTCCTATACAACCAGAATTCTTCGAAGGATCTCGTCGGCACTTGCCTCGGAAATAATATGTTGGGTTCCAACGCTCTTACTTGAACGGAATTTAGGATTGAGGATTGTAATGGTAGTTATGCTTCGGAGGCAGGTCCCATTCGATCGGCACATTTTGATAGCGGAACACTTGCAGAATCAGATCAGATCGTCTAGTGGTGATCGGCAAGGCAAGGAACGGAAAGGGACAAAACCCCTTGAGACAATCGATTTCTGCTGGTTTGATCCTCCCGGGAGTACTATAATAGTACCGATGTTTTAACTCTTAACTTTATATCAACGAGAGAGATCTCGGATGTGGATGTGGCTCGAAAGTGCCCCAATAATGGGTGGGGGCTTATTCAACATCAAATCCTACCAGTTTTATCTGTATCTGCCGACTGTATCTATGCGTGCACCACTTGTACTCCTAAGCGGGAACGAACAAAACAGAGAAATATCACGAGTTTCACAGCTGCAAGTGATGAGTGCCCTATGCTTTGCAGCTGACGCGAACAGCCAATCAGAATGTTGTTTCCTCTGTCGTGTTTCAGCACAGGAGAGACGTTCTCCCGGAAAGATGGTCCGCGCGTGCGACATCGAACATCGATCTCTGCCGCTGCGAATGACTGGCTCCGAAGCGCCATGAACACTGCACGCCAAACACAGATAGGGAAGGCCCTGTTCCTGGCCTCTCATTCATCTCCTGTCCTGTCTTGTCCTGTTCTGAAGATCAGACGGAATGTATCTCCGGCGGGGTGGCTCCCTTGTAGTCCAAACATCGCCGCATCAAACACCTTCAGCCACTCGTTCGAGTATCAGGGGCTTCGTCTCCATCCAGTGCTCCTTGTCTTTTCCGGTCCCCAGATCCTCCAACAAGTGCTGTGGCCTGTAGGGAGAGAGGTAGAGCTGTTGGTTTTTGTTTGCCGGAAACCCTTACGGGGATATGTCTTCTTTGGAGTTGATGGAGGAACAAGAGCTTGTGCCTTCATGCCATGCCGTCCTTGAGCTTGCTAGACTTTTCACAGACCCCAGAGAACAAAGAGAAGCCCCTGGCCTGTCCTCACACTGGTTGAGCAGCTGAGAAGACTGCGTCTGAGTACTTGACTTGCCCATTTCCCCTTCTGGGTCTTTTGAAGTTGTGCTTTCACATTCACTTCTCTAGTCCGTCATTCATTACGCGGGCCTTTTTGTTCCTATTCTTTGTTCTTGGACAATAACAAAGGCATTGATTGTCAGGCATTGAGAACAGTTATTGCAATACCTTTATCTTTACCCATTCAGAGAACAAGGCCTCACACTCATTGCAATCCTTTCACGGCGCTTTTCTATATCTTCCCATAGCAAACTTTTTCATTTTTGAATCATATTGTATTCTCAACTACACTTCAAACCACCTTCAAGACAACAATCTACGAACAATGCATACTTCAAATTCTCTGATCCGCCTCAGCGCGGCACTTTGCCTTGCTGCCGGTACAGCAAAGGCCTACACACTCACGGATACGTTCGACAAAAGCAACTTCTTCCAAGATTTCAACTTTTTCACCGCCGCCGACCCTACTACAGGCTTCGTCAAGTACGTGGGGGCAGCCGCTGCAAACACTTCGGGCCTTGCGGGGTACAGCAACAACGCTGTCTATCTCGGCGTTGATCACACAACTATGAACCCTACTGGTGGTCGGGAGTCTGTCAGGGTCACATCGAATAAAGCGTATACCCACGGACTCTTCGTAGCCGACTTGGCTCACGCGCCGGACTCGGAATGTGGTGTCTGGCCAGCATTCTGGACCGTGGGTCCGAACTGGCCTGCATCAGGGGAGATTGATATTATGGAAGGAATCTCGGACAGTGTCACAAACAGCGCCACGCTACACACCTCGTCCGGATGCACCATGCAGTCGACAGGGGCCCTGGCATCCAGCAAACTCAACGATGGAAACTGCAGCAGCGACACCGGCTGCGGAATGAGCACCAACGACACCTCGAACTACGGCACGGGCTTCAACGCTGCAGGCGGCGGTGTCTACGCCATGGAATGGACATCCCAAGCCATCAAAGTCTTCTTCTTCCCTCGCGCCGCCGGCATCCCCAGCGACATAACCTCTGGGTCTCCCAACCCCACAAGCTGGAGCTCGCCCATCGCGGCCTTCAGCGGCAGCGGTTGCAACATCGACCAGCATTTCATGAACCACAACCTCATCTTCGACACGACATTTTGCGGACAATGGGCTGGTAAAGTCTGGAGTCAAAATACAAAGTGCAGCGCTCTGGCTCCCACTTGCGACGCCTACGTTGCGGCCAATCCGGCGAAATTCGCCAGCAGTTACTGGTTGATCAACTCGGTGAAGGTCTACCAGGCTTCTGCTGCCAAGAGAGGCGTTGCCTTCGAAGCGTAAGGTCTTTCGCGAAAGACCTCCATTCCAATTATATCCTATTCTTGTGCACATTTTACTTATAGGGATTTGGTGTTCCGGTCAATACCATGTTCTTTTCTCTACAAATTCGAGTTCGGCGTATGTGATGGGGTGGGAGTTGGGTAAATACAATGCTGGGAATGTCCTTATTGATGGGGGTCTGGACAGCTTTATTCATATACTAACGTTTCAATGCTCATAAACTACAAGAACAGGCTTACGTGCCTTTCTATCTGAATCGAATAACTGTGCCGTGACTTAACTTTTCCTTGTGAATGTCCTATGCATGGGTAATAGTCGGTTTTCTTCTTAGCTCGCTTCGCTCATCGTAAAATACGTTGTTGGATAGAAGCGGCACTAACTGAATTCTAGTTGTTCCCTAAAACCTCAACAAAACTACCTTTACACGTCTAACTCATTTCGGATAACCTCCCCGAATAGCTGAGTCCAGACTTGTTTTTAGCATTTCCTTACGAGATCACAAGCAAGAACCGCTATGACAAGTCGATAGAAAATATCGAGAGAGATACGGTAAAGAACCATGGGATTAGACTTTAAGGATTTCATTGTCGATCTGTAATGTCGTCCAACCATTAACCCCGCACGCTATGTAGCTAGCGCACTTCCTGCCAATTTACAAAATACAAAACGAGGGTCGTTATCATTGCCACTCTACCCTAAATATCATCATCATCGTCCTCGTCCTCAGCATCCTTTTTATTACCCCTGCTATCCAGCGTGTTCAAGCTAATGCCATCGCTATCCTCCCTGGCTTTCATGCCTATGGCCTGGCGACCGGTCTCGGAGTTTTCGAGGAAGTCACGTAGTTTCTCCTTGCCGATTTCGACGGCTTGAGAGGATGCTGCGTTGGCCATGCGGATCATGGGACCCCAGAGGTTGAGGGTGTAGGTTACGTAGGCGCCGACGCCGAGGAGGATGAGGAAGATGAAGTAGACGGGATTGCGGAGCACTTGAAATCACATTAGCTATGTATATTGGGAATGCAGGATAGAAGGAGGGCTTACCAGCAACGATTTCGTTCCAACCCAGCGCCAGTAGTAGACCATAGAAATACAAAGGAACTTGGGCAACGCCACCAATGGCGCTCCGTTTTGCTTCCACGTATACCCCATCGGCCGTCTTCTTGAACCTCACTACGAGGTCCTGGCGTTTGGCTTCGCCGAGAATCGTCATCTCTTCCTCAAGACTCTTGCCCTCTTCTTCATCCACTCCACCAATTGGGGTCAGGTCTTCTTCGTCTTTTGGATCCACGCTCGCAGGCGCATTGCCGATCCAGTCTGGAAGCTCGGGAGGTGCGTATGTTGCGGCTAACCTGAACCTTGATAACAGCGGTATCAAAGTAAGTGTTGACTCTTTTGCTTTCGTATACATGCCCTCGATATCATCTGTCGGCCGCCAAATTCTTGGGACACCAGCCTCGTCGTATCGGAACTTGTCCTCAAAGTTCTCGCGCAGTTTGAGAAGAATGTTTCCTTCCATAACTTCCTCATCAATCTTCGCTCTCAATACTCCCCAGCTTTTCCGTCGTAGTCTCCATAATCCGACATCAATCTCATCCTGACTGGCGTCGAAACTCTTTGCTCTTTCTACGAAGCGTGTTTCAGCCTCCTTGACAGTAGCAATAAAGACGTTCCATATCCTGTCCCACAGATCTTTTTCTGTCAGAGGTTTCTCGCCGGTTTCTGGGGCGCCACTTCCACCTCGTCCGGAGCCGAGCTTATTGAACTCCAATCCAACGGACTCTCCCAATCGCGATCTGACCCATCTTTCCACTCGAGTTGCGAGTCTACGCATCTCTTCCTTTCGTAAGCGTGCACTGACCTCGTCTAGATCCTTCTCGTACAAGCTGTATTGCTGCTTGAAGTTACTCCACGGAACACCCTCAATTGCGAGACTCTTAGCTTCGCTCTCAAATTGCTCCAGAGCAACCGCTTTCTCGCGTTCCACGATATCAGCAAATTCGTAGGATGCTCCCTTTTTCTGTCCGATTTTAACAGCACCAGCCACAGCGTCGCTGAATGATGCAACCCCCGACTTGTGCGCTGCTGTGAGCTGACCTTGGTATAAAGCCTTGAGTCTGATATCAATCTTGCCTTCGAGCTCGACACGTTTTCTTGTGTAGACTCCTTTATGATATCTGCTAGCCTCCGTTTCGAACGCCTTGACGGTCTTTACCCGTGCAGCCTTTCCAGAGATACCGAGATTCTTTAGCACTGTTGGCTTCCCAAGTCTTACGCCCTCAGCCTGCTTCTCCTCGAGCGGTAGAATGGTGGCATCAAAAGCCTCCAACACTTCTCGTGAAATCTCGTCGCATCGAAACTGGGCTAAAAGTTCTTGCTGTGTTGGCAAATCTAGGTCCTTATTATTGACAATTTGGTCCCATATCCCTTCGGCATATACTGAGAAACCGTCCGCGGGTATCCGTCTGTGGTACTCCGGTAGGAAGACTCCCCCCTCGAGCTCGTGGTCTGAGTGCAGACCATGTGATTTTGCAGATCTATGCCCTACTCGAAATCTTGTCCCTAATCTTTCGACCTCAGTTACGAACTTGTCCGGTTGTAGAATTTTATGTGGTAATGCTGCAAACGCGAAATCGAAATAATCCTCAATCTTTGACTTCTCCAGACCCTTTGGTTTTGAAAGACTTGTCCATATGTTCGTTAGATCTGCGATGAGGGTGTTTCGGAGATTCGATAGAGGGGTTGCGCCGATATGATCGCGGATTACAAAAAACAGGAGGGAGCGCGGATTCGACCTGAAATATTTAGCAACTCGGACTCGATTGGAGGATATAAAACTTACTGCTTGTCTTTCAAAAAGAGCTGCAGATTGACCTCAAATACTGTCTTCAGGAGCCCCATATTCGCCCCTTGGTATAGTCCAACTTGATGTTCCCAAATATTGACAATAAGAACCTCACTGGTAGCCAGAGCAAATAGGGCACTTTTCCTTTCGAAGTCTTGGTCTTCTCCTCTTTCTCGGCCATCCGTACCCTCTACATCCATTACTAGAATATTCTCTGCCATCTTCTCTGGCCCCGAACCTCCCTCCCGCTTGTTGTTGGACATCCATATTCCCTTTGTAGTCTGCCGCCGCTCGGTCTCCGACATAACCCCAAACTCCGTCCCAAAGAGGTTGTTCAGCAGGGTGGATTTTCCGGTGGACTGCGATCCAAAGACTGAGATAAGGTGGTAGTTGAAGCCAGACTGGGCCGCGCCGGTGATCTGAAGATATGTATTAAGATGTGGCCTTTTCAAACTCTCTATCAGCATGAGCCCAGCAGAACAGGGTCTATTTCACATACGTGAATGCTTGTTCCTCGTCAATGACTTGTATACCGAGCTCATACTGCTCTTTTGTTGGGGCTTCACCGACAGCAGCAAAGTGGCCGTTCATCGTCATGATCGAAGGGGCTGTTGATCTTGATGCCGCAGATGGCCTTCGACCATTTGCATGGGACTTTGTTGCTGAAGACATAGTGAAATGACGGCAAAACTAGGATACAATAACAGGATAATGAATGTGTTGAGCTTGGCATACCTTGTCTTGTACCCCAAATGATGGAGTGATCACAAGCGAGGCCAGAAGTTGCGAGGTTTCAGACATGATCACATGACTCCCAGCCCCACGAAGATATTCTTGGGGACATTCTTTGGGAGATTTATTGATGGTGGAAGCTTCTTATTATCATAACAATCCCATTATTTACTTTGTTCTCACTTATGCAGCAATTGTTGGTGGGAGCAGCTGGGGGTAAGGTTGTGAGTTACACAAGTCAGGATTCATTGGATTTGTTAAGTAGAGCTGCGGTGTGGAGTACTCGAGTAAATATTACACACTTCTTTTACACCACCTTCCTACTTCTCTCTAAACGGTTTCACTTAGCTCGCGTTTCAGTTGAGCCTCCGCCGCCCCTATTTGATCGTTGCATTACTAAATACTAATTTATAGATTCTTCACTACTTACAGTAATCGTGTCCCCCAGGCCTGTACAGTACACCACACCTTTCTATTGCTTCTCGCTTCCTAGGATATTGATCTGTTATCATCAACCCTGCTACCTTCAAACACCCGTCTAGTCTCTACAGTACATAGAAGTCAATGATAGCCCTGCACATCCATTGCTCTCAAAAGAAGTGAAGTGGAAGCTATTGACGTCTCCGGACTGTTCTTCAACTTGCCTATCTTCAGTCAGTGAGAACCTCGGTCGTGCCTCACAATACTGAAAGAGATCAATGAAGTCGTTTTGATATATTGGGCTGGGTCCATGTACATACAGTACACGAGTAATGTCGCCTGGTTCTCTTTCTTAAGTTTTAGTAGCAAACTATGACGAAGTCTCCGCTTTTCTCGAATGGAAATGGTTTTCTCGCTCCTCTAGCAGCTTTGACAGGTGCGATTGACACAAGATCATCGTCTCTCCGTATCTCGCCCTTCTATATTCCCCGACGTTTACACGTTACCCGTTATCGTAGGCTATGTTACGTGTGTGTTTGTGTGTGACGCCAAGTGATAGAGTAGCTGGTAGTACTTGGTATATACATACCAGTACATACCCCTTCTGTGCTTTTGCTCGACAAGGAGTTCAAGAATACCGTATATTGTTATATACTAGACATCGGAATTGTTGTGTTGTTCCGTATAGACATCTTCAATCAACGACCAAGTCATGGCCAACCGAAGGTCCTCCGTTCATGATGGCCCGGCCAATCCGGATTCCGCTCTGGAAAATATGGGGTACAAAAGCGAGCTGCCAAGATCTTTGAGCATGATGAGTATTTTAGGCTTGTAAGTTTCTCTAAAAACGTTTTGTTGTTTTGGTTGAGCATGGAGAGAACATATGCCTCATCTCGAGTGGATGATCTGGTATACTGAAGGAACGCCTGCGGAATTTGCTGCTTTTCCTCGAGGAATCAGCTTCATCAAGTGATTTAGGGCCATTGAGCCTAGCTCTCCTCTAGACACTTCGCCCATGTCAACATCGCAGCCTTGATATAATTTCTAATCCTTCTGACAGGTCTTTTGCTATCATGGCTGTTCCCTTTGGATTGTCTACTACCATGGCAATTTCCCTAACGGATGGCCAATCCGTCACTGTACTCTATGGGTGGGTATTTGTCTCCATCATCTCGCTTTGCATAGCAGCGTCCTTGGCCGAGATTTGTGCTGTCTTTCCAACTGCCGGTGGTGTGTATTACTGGTCGGCAATGCTCTCCACAAAGGAATATGCACCCATCGTGAGTTGGGTAGATGGATGGTTAGGCTTAGTCGGCAACTGGACTGTCACATTGAGCATCAACTTCTCGGGCGCGCAGTTGATTTTATCAGCCATCTCACTTTGGAACGAGGACTTTGCTGCTTCACAATGGCAGACCGTTCTCATGTTCTGGGCTGTCATGGCAGTTGCATTCTCGGTGAACGTGTTTGGAGCCAAGTATCTGGACTTGATCAACAAGATATGCATTTACTGGACGGGAGCGTCTGTGATCATAATCATTGTCACGGTTCTAGTTATGTCAGATGATCGTCGAAGTGCCGAATTTGTATTCTCTCATTTCGATGCTTCTGCAAGCGGATGGCCTTCAGGATGGGCTTGGTTCGTGGGGCTGCTTCAAGCTGCATGTAAGTTTCTATCTTCCCAACTTACTTCAGTAACTGATGTGGTCAAGATACTCTGACCGGCTACGGCATGGTTGCGTCAATGTGCGAAGAAGTCCAGATGCCGGAACGAGAAGTGCCCAAAGCCATGGTCCTTTCTGTAGCCGCAGCGGGAATTACTGGTATCATTTACTTGATCCCTATCTTATTCGTTCTCCCGGACGTTACTTTGCTTCTTTCAGTTGCAAACGGCCAGCCTATCGGTCTTGTTTTCAAGACAGCTACTGGATCCGCCGGCGGAGGCTTCGCTCTGCTCTTCTTAATTCTCGGCATTTTGTTCTTCGCAGGTGTAGGTGCCCTGACAGCAGCTAGCCGTTGCACTTACGCCTTTGCTCGTGATGGAGCTATCCCCGGATCTACCCTATGGGCTAGAGTTGACAAGCGATTCGACATACCTCTATGGGGACTGGTTCTATCCACAGTCGTGGACTGTATCCTGGGATGCATCTATTTCGGATCGACCTCAGCTTTCAACGCCTTCACCGGAGTAGCCACTATCTGTCTGTCGGTCTCGTACGGGATTCCTATCTTGGTATCCCTGATCCGAGGTCGAGAAGCCGTGAAATACTCATCGTTCTCGTTGGGGAAGTTTGGCTTCTTCATCAATGTATGCACGGTTGTTTGGATTTCGCTGGCAATAATATTATTCTGTATGCCAACAGCCATCCCCGTCACGCCCGTTTCAATGAATTATGCATCGGTGGTGTTCATGGGCTTTGCATCCATCAGTCTCATTTGGTATATCATCAGCGGCAGAAAGAATTTTACAGGTCCTCCTGTCCCCGTAGACCACTATGCAGGACAGGACGGACAAGTCGTTGGAGAGGGGGTTGGGAGGACCATAACGGGAGGTAAGAGTTATTCAAATGGGAGTTCTGAAGAAAAAATCGCACCTCCGGCCAAATAGTGTCGTAAGATAGTTGTATGAGTAGAGAATCGGAATAGAAAGCATTGAATGATTTGCAACATCACTATCTCGTTAGTTTCCTCGGTGCACTAGATACACATCCGGCTTTGCAGAGCGATCTTGTATGTCCTACTCCATCATTATGAGCCCATTGCCTCCCTTAGAATAACTATCAACCTAACTCCATGCACGATCAATTGAATCTAACCTCGATAATGCTGCCCCCCAGCCTAACGAGTCCTCAATGTATCGACCTATCATTGCCCGAGATCCTGAGATCGGTGCAAGAAGCTGAATCTCAAGAGCCTCAGGGCATTCGTCTGCTTGTCAATAACGCTGATGTTGCACGAGATGACAAGAACCAGTATTCGCACGGAGTTCATGACTTCGCGGTAAGTAATGTATAACTTACCCCTGCAAGATGTTGATCGAATCGAGCACTAGTAAGTAACTCAAATTCGTCTTTACTTACCTAGTCTGCTTATTCGATCTCAGAACATCGATCTCAGGAAGTCCGACCCTGTCGCGACACTTGGGCCTCAACATTCGAGACCAAAGTTTTCAACCTCCCATTTCTTCGTCTCCGCTGCCTCCTCGCTAGCGCTGCCACGTCCTCCTTCACGCCCAGCATTTTCAACATCGCGTCCCTTCCATCCCGGGGGTCATGAAAGGGTCATCCAACGGGAAATTTGCATACTCTGCATCCCAAGCTGCTTTCCTCTACCTTGTGAGAATGCAGGCGGCGGCTTGTGCATTGTGACTCGCGGGGTCTGCGGGCACCTTTTTGAAGGGACAGGTTATATACCCTGATGGTGGTAAGTATCCGTCAGCTACGAGCATCAAACTTCTTAAACGATAGTATCACTCACTGACTTGTTTTGCAGGCAATTTTGTAGTATCACCAGCATGTTCCTAGGTATACTTGAGCTGCTAAATTCACAACTCCTGAAAATACGGCCCAGACTTCGACCCATATAAAATAGATGCAAATAGAAACCCCGCATGACTCACCAGAATCTTTCTGTCTCAGTAAGTGCAACTGTCTGTTGCAAACTAGGCAAAAGAATGGATCACATGATGCTCCCGTGACTAGGCGAATAGGTCTCAGTCCTCTGCAACAGAAAAGTACAATACAATAAGATGCCCACAGAAAATAATATTCATTGTTGAGCTTTCCTTCCTGAAACCACAGTACGGAAATTAAAACACGGACCTACTTATTTCCTAAACCAGATCCCATTATGAAGTGTTTGCTACTCCGTATTGTCTCAGAGTAGCAGAAAGGGAAATGAAGAGAGTGATTGTGAAAATGTTTCGAGATTCGACTCAGGCGCGACGACAAAAAGAACAGCGGAGTTTGTCTGATGCAGCAGCGACTTCCAAACTTCCTTGTCATAATCATCAAACCTCTACCAGTCCTTCCAATCATCCGAGACTTGCTCAAAGTCAAACTCACACAAGCACACACTTCCTCAATACCCTCATCTATTTCATCACCGCAATCATCCCGCTGATCATGGAATCACCACCTCCCAGCTCCCAAATTCCTGAGATCGTCACCCTAACACCTCGCCAAAAAGTCTTCCACCTAGTCGTCGAGCCCCAAAAACACCTCGCCTCCCCGTTCAAAGATTGCATTATATTCACAGGCCACAATATCGGCAGGAATTCTCTGGGTATGGAGTGGTCGTCAGCACAGTCTTCGTATGTGAGCCGAGCGAGGCAGCCTTGGGCAAATAGCAGTATCAGTTCCCATCGAACGATGCGCCCCGCACCGGAAACGTTCCAAACCAGGTACTATTTAGAGCAGAAGGAGCTCGCTCGACCCTGGGTAGGACCAGTGCCAGACTGGGCAATCCACCACGATTCCCCGCCCACGCACCCGAGATTCCAACGCGGCGTCCTAGCAACGCAGGCGTACCTAAGCACCGCCGCCAGCACAGCGGCTGAATCTTCTCGCCAATTTGTACGGCGCCTGTGGTCACTCATCCAGTTGATTGTTACTTGGGGCGTCGTGTTCCCGGTCAGAACGATAGTGATAACTGTGAGGAATTTCCAGTGGGACTTGATGACGGCGGCAATCATGGCACTCTGGATTGCGCGGTGGTTGCCGGGGCCAGAGGTTGAATCGCCTAGGAAAGTAGTGAAGCCAGACGAGCCGGTGTATATACTAATGGTTCCCCGTGGTGGGCGGTTCAGTAAGTTGGTCCAACTATGAGTCCTTGCTATACTTGCTAATGAACCTCAGCGACCGGGCCAGTCTTTCAACTAGGCAGGTGAAAGTCCAGGTTGCAATAGCACCATGTTTGTTAGCCGTTGTTTGAAAATTCTGTGCTTTCTGTTTTTTGAGTAGAAGGGAGGGAGACTCGAGAGTCATGATTAGATTAATGACAGCAATGACTAAGAAAATCAAGGAAACAAACTGGTATGGCAATTTGAAGATTGAAATGTACTTGAGTCAAGGAATTTATAAGTCTCTATGTTAGGGCTAGGGTTTGGGGATGATGGAGGATACCGAGGAGAGACAAGACTAAAATTGTAAACTTGTATAGTATGACCTTGCCTGAAAGAACAACAACTTTGCTCGGGTGGATTCATTGGATTCTGTTACAATATGTACGGCAGGAATTATGCATATCCAGAGTATACCATTCTCTTAAAAGTGCCTCTAGATCAGAGATTGCTGCTCTGGAGGATTCAAGAACTCTTCGAGATCCCTGATATTAGACTTTGTGTGATTGGTATCTGGAGTTGGACGGGCGACGCGTGACGGCAATGCGGGTTGATGAAGCATGTCGTTCTCGGCAAGGGCATGCATTTCGATACCTGACATCGCCTTCAATGCTGGTTCATATAACACTGCCGTATCCCAGGGTGCTTGGACTTCTAAAGCGACAATCAGCGGTGCGACTACAAGGTAGTAATAGAAGGGCTTACGGATCGTCGCGGCAGAAGAAGTAAAACCTTTGATTGGGCAGTCAAGCAAATCAGAAGGAGCTTTAAACTCTCCAGTCTCTATAGAGGTGGGGTAGACAACTTCGGGTTCAATTTCCCCCTTTTAATATCAGAATTTGTAGGTCGCAAGAGAATATCTACTAACCGTCAAAAGATCATCAGGATCGGTCGTGTGCTGGGTTGGAGACTGCTGGTCATGAACACTAGCTTTCCAGATGTCGAGACGCTGGATTTTCCTGCTCTTTATCTATCAAGCGCGTTAGCAAAGGAAATTGGACGTTTTATATATAGAATCTTACACCCGTACCCTCCGTGGGTGTATTTAAGTCATCATCGAAAGAAAACTCGCTTTCACTGTCACAGTCATCTCTATCCTCTTCACATATGCCATTCAACTCCTCCTCCTCCCGGATAATGCTCTGGAGAGCCTTGTGGAATAATGGGCCGACGTATCGGACCTCGCCCCTTAGGCATTTGACTTTGAAAACGCAGTTCGAATTGAGCCACTCTAGCTCAGCCTTCTAGAATGGAGGCTATTAGCAGGGTTCTAGATACGCAGCTACGCTTCGGCCATGGGCTCCCAAGGGGCTAGGGAAAGAGGGAGTACCAACCATTGAGTTCTTGGCCAGAGCGTCTTGAAAACGCGCACAGACGTCAGCGACTCCCTCGGGGAGAAAGTACCATCTAAGAGAGTAAGCAAGAGTCCCGAGAGCGAGAGTGGGTCCTTAAACGGACATACTCGGTCATGAAGATCAACTCTTTAAGTTGAGCGAAATAGGAGCCGTCGGCGAAGGATGAAGTGGCCAGACTACCTGTCCGTAGGCTAATGGTAGTAGCTACTGACATTGCTTCACACCTGCAGTCAGTGGTGGATTCACGATTGTGAGAATGCGAAGTGATCGTGATGGTGGAGATGTCAGAAGGAGAGGAATCTCGATCTTGGTGCCGGGTCGAGATGTGTTGGGAAAGGAATGGAAATGAAGGAAAGTGCGATCCCGGAGATGCTATTTACTTCCCATTCAGCGAACAACAATAGCATGGAAAGGCTGCATGAGTTGGCAGAAAGAAAAAAAGCAAGAACGTCCCAAGGTCCTTCCGACAGCCAAAGAAAAAACGAGAGAAGAAAAAATCGAATCAAGTACCCATTTGCCAACGAACGAACTGAAGGGCCTCAAATGGCATTGAGAGTCGAATATCTGGTGAAGAAAGCCGTATAAGTGCAGGCAAGGATTGGAGCAGCAGACACAGGAGGAGAAGACACTGGTGTACGTACATGTTGGGAGAAAAGAGATGAACATAGGTACAGGAACCATGCCAGGAGCATAGAAGACTGTAAATCCTCCATGCTCCTTGCGATTGTCATCGCGTATGTTGGTGTGCATAGAGGTATGACATGAGGTGTTCAAGCCGCCGATCTTATTGCCAGTCGAGGGACAGTTTTCAAGTCTACCTGTATCGGCGGCGACAGGTAATAAAGATGGTTGGTGCGAAATGGCTTCGGAAGGGGAGAACGGAAGGGGGTGCCTCGACGTAGCGCCGGGGCGGGGAGGGGGGGATAAAGCTATATCCGAGCTGTAATAAGCTGCCCCTGAGTCTCGGTCAAGAGGCTCTTTACTCCGTACCAGCCTCAACTTGCAAGGGAGTCTCAGATAACTAGTTACCTACCTACGCGGGCAGGTACAGGTAGGGAAGCAGTATACATACACTCGAGAAGTAATAACCCTCAGCAGCAGCAAAGCTACTGTATCGGTACTGCTATAATGCCCCACGAGAGGGATTCGTGTCGAAGAAAACTGCACCGACACAATTCCCAGCCAAGTTTCCGCTGCTATACATTCCCTAAACAGCGTGCAAGTGTCACCCGCTGCGCCTTCTTATCAAACTCAGAGCTAACAAAGAGCAAGAGCAACACCCCCCACAACAAACGGCACGCAACAGAACCAGCTATATCACTCGCTTTGATACTCAGATATCCAAATAAAGTTAATTAAGCAGGATAGAATGAATTCGATAAAAGCTTCGGTAATCACTAAAACATCTCTCTACACTGCACAAGAAGACGCGAGTGAAATTGTAGCAGAAACAAACATTTCCAAATTAAATCAAATCAAATTAAACATCATTACTACTCATACCTAGACTCTTTCTCATCATGCATTATAAGTTATAACAATACGAGAACAACCATACAATCGATGACTTACCTACTGTAAATCAGGAAAGGGAGAGCGGGTTTCTCATATGATAATTTACCCCTAAAGAAGTTTCTTCTGGACCTAGCTTCTTTCCGATTCGAAACCGTCTCTCTCTTCATACACAAGAGGTCGATTTAACTGTCCGTGGAAGGTGTGTTAATACGTACGTCAAATTCGGTATGATATCGTATAGGATATCGCCATTTCGTTAGCCGGGTTGATATCTCGAGAAACCCATCGTACATACTTCCTTCCCTTCCCTTCAATGGACCTAATGCTCAGAATTATTCTCCCTCCACACACTCACGAGGAAACACAAAAGTACAGTACCTCGGGTAGGCACAGCTCACACAAACACCGACCTTAAGTGACCATCTCTCATTAAACACACTCGCTCAGCTAAAGCGCCTGCCCACAAAACAGCTTCATGAATCATCACCGCCACGCCACAAAATGTAGACCAAAAAAATAACAACTGTATAATGTACAAGCGATTAGAGAGAAAAAAAAACTCCTGTACACCATACAAGGGGCTCGCTCGCTCGCTTGCAAATGCCCGCCATAGGGTATCCAACCCTTCCAAAAATGCTCCAAATTCTGGTCGTTAAAGGTCATATCATGTCCTGTCTTGCTGCCCATTCCATTATACACATTGTACAGATATGTGACGCAGCCATATACTACGCTCCTGCATGTATGCAAATATTCTAATCCTTGTCGAGATTGACGTTTTTGTTGACGTTGATGGCCCATTTTAATGTCCCCAGCGCCTCTAATGTTTCCGTGATAGCAGCCTCGTTCCGCTCCTCTTGGTCTCGTGATTTGTACTTGATGGCTTTCAAGCCGTCTTCTTGCTCCTGCTTGTAGTCTTCGAATGCTTGCCCGATGGCTTCCTTTTTCCTTTCGAGATCTACGAGCATCTCCCTTTGCTGTTCGCATAGCCCTTGAAGCGTATGTATTTTCCGGTCGTCGTTCTGTCTGACTTCCACCAAATCCTTGATTTCCTTGGAGAGTTTCGTAATTTTCCTCTCGACCTCTGCGTTTTGGTCCTTCCAGTGAGTTGTCATGGTGTTCACCCTCCCTTCCATCAACGCGGCGTATTGTTGTGCTTCCTCCACTTTCCTCTTACTCTCCTCCTCCGTCTTATCCATCGCGTCTCGCCAGGACCGTTCACTTTCAACCGCCCCATCAGCCCTCTGCTTCTCGATATTGACCTGTGCTTTCAGATCCGCCAGCTGTCGCTCTTTCCGTTTCAGCAACGTCTTGTTGATAGCAGCGTCGTGCAGCTCAGACTCGTATCTCGAGGCCAGTGAGAGTTTCGATTCCTCCGCCATCTTGACCGACTGCCTCGATTCCTCGGCGCGTAGCCTCTCAATATTGAGATCTCTCTTCAGCATGTCATTCTCGCCCATCAACCGCTCGATAACCCTGCCAGTTTTCCCCTCCCTTGCCTTGCCTACAGCAGAACTCCATTGCGGCGTCCCTGGAACATATTCTGGAGAAGTCGTATCGTTGTCAATGTTGCTTGCTGGGTTATCATCTGCCGGATGTAAGCTATTATTAGAGTATGACCTAGTCAAGCCGAATTCGGAAGAAATCGTCCGCGTTAAGCCATTCCCGATAGATAACCCATTTGGACGTGTTTGATGCGTTTGGGGCGGATGCGACGTAGATGTAGAGATCTTGCCTAAGTTGGGTAATGTTTTCGTAGAATGAGGCATGGTTGTGGTGCTGGGTCGCGTTTGGGTGGTACGTTGCGCCTCGTCCGCTATGTAATCAGAATTTACGGATCGAATGGTACTTTGTTGGGGGCTCTTCCTTTCTGCGTATCTATTGTAGTCGGAGGGTGGGTTTGAGCCCATATTCAGGGTGGCTGCGGATGCTGGGGAGAGTGTTCGGACAGGCACATCGATAGGACCTTCAATGCCTCGCTCCGGAAGTCGGTTCTCGATGACTGCAACAAAGGAGTCAGCATTTTCAGAGTCTGATGAATCCATGGTGCTGAGATTTAGTTTGCCCGTCGCAGTGTGAACTCCTTTGTGCAATGCATTTTCAATAAACATCACCGCCGGGCAGAGAAGGGCCCGCATGGACAGCAGAAAAAACAGCTTACAAGCTCCGTCTCTATGAACCTGAATGTCCCGCTGGAAGGACGTCACCGGCGGAAGATGTGTGCTTTCTCGAACGCTCATGCTCACTCATGTCTGAGGCAAATGCGTATCCAATATAGTGTTTGTTGGTTGGCTGCTGTTTGCGCCTTTATGTCGCCAGAAACCTATGGTCATGAACAAATTGATTGTAAGATACCAGATAATACGGCGAGTTAAAATCGAGTATGTATTTCCCCTTTAATGGACTGGTAGATTGCGGAGTGAAAAGACTTCTGTAATAGAGTAGATACAGTACAGTAGTGCGCTCGCATTGACAATTGATCAGTCGCGGGTCTGTGTTGCGCCTGTGAGCGAATGAGCTCCTAGGCAACCAGCATGGGTCAACACGGGTAGTCGTTGCCCTGCATCATCAGGATGAAGCGATGAGACTCAGGGATGGAACTTTACGAGGGAGTACTGTACAGTACAGCACACCACACCATTCCGGGTTCCTGCAGATCAATGAATCTGAAACTATGCAACTTTTGTTTCTTGTAGCGCCAGATGAGGCGGGTTATTGGCTGCATACTGTTTCTGCCAGCAAACCTCTGGCGAAGATATTAATATACTGACTGGCATGACATGACATCTAGGGCCAATGAATAAGATTCAAAAGGGGCTTTATCATTTGGGAATGGGTTTTTCTCATGTGCCTATCTGCCCTATACCTTCTCTTGCACCATGCAGCTTTTCATCCTCACTGTCATAGCCACTCATATTCATTGCATTTCAGAACACTGCACAAGCAAGTGAGAGGCTCGCTGAGCGGCTGACATCACAGCCACGGGTTCATTCTCGTGTCGGGCATGACCTCGCGTCAGATTCACGGTTTAGGATGCGGCTGGGAAATTAGAAGACCTTTTCAGACAATTGGGGAGTTTAAACGCCTTGTTGCAGCGACGAAGGAAGGAAGGATCTCGGAAGACGTCACGTGCTCCACCTCCTTCAACTAAAAAGGGGTGGAATGTGCTGATCTATTGCACTGTTTATGGCAAGCAAAAGTACTAGCAAGGAACCTCGCTTTATTGTTCAACAACGGCTCATCTCAAAGTAGAACCGTGAAGCTAAGTGTAGAACAACGTCTCTTGTTCCATATCCCGTTTCTTCTCACCAGCCTGTGCAAGCCACAGCATATGCCCTTGTTTTAATACACCAGCCGACGAAAAATACCCGAGGTCAATGTTTCCGAGGTATACCAATAAACGCCACCAATGAATGCTCATATACTCCCTAGATTACAAGCATTGCCGAATATATCATGCAGCAACGCCATTCCCCTTTTTCTCCTCTTCCTCGTCGCTTTTTGTCTTTAGTCGTTCAGCGAAGCCGGGTCGCCATTTCGTGAGGTATTTCGCTGCTATGGGTTTCGCATCCTCATCTACTTTCTGTTAGCATAGGAAAAGAACTGAAGTGGAGAGCGAGGTCTTACAAGTACTCCAAATGTCCTCCACAGCATCCAAAGCAACCTCCCTGACTGGAGGCCGCATCATAACCAGATATAAAAGACTCGTTAATGCAAGGTTGACCATAGCTGGGTCTCTGCAAAGTCCCTTGACCCTCGTAAGCACATCGAGACTTAAACCTGGAATTTCGCTGAGGAATCTCGTCAGGACCTTATCTCGTGCATCGAGATATGGCACAATTCCGTCCAAGACCTTTAACACCCATTTATCATAATGAAAAACTGCTTCTTCCCCAAGCTTCATCTGTACTTTATCGTTGTACCACTCTTCGCATAGCCATGCAACTGCAATGTCAATGCGTTTCCGGAAATCTTCTATGACATAGAGATAGAGCGATTCGCGTATAGTGTTGCTGAGTGAGGATGAATCCGCTCCATTGAATTCCATTTTCACAGGTGTAGCTAGCTCTTCTAATCCAGCTGAGGCACGTGTCGCTAGACGGGTGATAATTGTAATCCAGGCATCTCGGTCGTAGGCGCTAGCTGCAAGTCGGTTCATTCCTGACTTTATTTTCTTCGCTGGCTCTTCTAAGGTTTGCATCACCCCGAAAACTCGAGTCACCGTTCCTTGGCCGATCTGCACAGCTTGATCTGGGGTTAAGGGAGGAGGCGGAGGGAGAGTGAAATGCTGTAGTGCTACATCTGGAACTTTTATCTTTGGTTCTTCAGGGGGTGGAGCATTGTCAAGCTTGTTTAGGATTTGCTCCGTGTCTTCCGCATTGAAATAGTCTGGCTCATAGTCATCATCCTCATCCTCATCCACACCTAGGGGTGCGGTCGCTGGATTTAACTCTTCTGGCTGTGCCGCTGCTAATGACTTGTATCTTTGACGAACTCCCTGTAGCACTCATCAGCAAATGTAAACAATAATGAAGACCAGTACAAACCTCAACTGCTTGGTTTAGCGTATTTGCATCAAGCTTCTGCAGAATGGTAATGCCGATTTTGGTAACTAGATCTTGCGTCAAGACTGAAACATCGAAAGCCTTTAGTCCTTCATCTGTAGTAACCGTAAAGAGCTCTGCGACAGTGCATGGTCCTGGCTTTAGCGGGGGTACATGAAATCTCGGTGTTGCAGACGGTACTTGAGCTGCCAGCTTCTGTCGTTTGGCAGCATCCAAACCATCGATTGGCTCGGGAGGCCCCCGTTTTCGGCTAGCTTCATCGAATATCTCGTTCCTCGAGCGCATCATTCGCTCAACGTATTGTTGAATACGGCCTGCAAGAGGGTTTTGCGGATCACTACACCTATCAGCATTGGACGGGTTTGGCAATACATAATCGGCATACCGCTTGTTGATATGAATGAGCAGCACTCTAGTGGTCTTTTCCATGGATTTGACCATAACACGAAGCTTGGGGGTCATTGGCGAATTGGCTTGCTTCAAGGGATTAAAGTTCAAGATAACATTTAAGATCCGATTTGCAATATGTGGGCGGGCTCTGATTAGAATGGAAAGGGTATTTAAAGTAGCATCAATCAAAATTGCATCACTATACCTGTCAGTCAGTGTATAAAGGTAATGAACTTCGTACTTACCTGGTGCTCTCTTGAAAGACACCCAACATCCTGTCCAACAACCCGGATGCCTCTGCTTCGAGATTTCGAGGAGCTAGAAGAGGGTGATTTTGAGGAACCATATTCAAAGATACTTCCATAGGGTCTCCGCGCTGCAACCTCAAGTTAGTCCCAGCAACCAGTATATTGAGGGCATCCATACCCTAGGGTCAGCATCTGGACCTGCTGTCTGCACTAGCACCACTCTCTGTGCAAACTTGATGCAGCATATTCGGACGTTAGAAGCAGCAGAGTCCCATATTCGAAATATCCTTGATTTGATAGCAAGCATTCGTTCCCATGTCTGTCCATCATATGAATTATTGATACTATGCAGAGAGACGTGTTAGAATCGAAATCGGCATTCCTATATTTTTGAACCGGGAGTGGCATCCGTACAGCATCCATTGAGAGCATACACCACAACAGTATCATCGAGCTACATTGCATAGAGTAGGAGAGAATGGGTCAACGTACATCCATCTAAATACGAGCGGGTATATGCTTGCAGCGGTCTGGACTATGCTCTTCACGACGGCAGCATCCTCCTGGGGATTCTCAATCATAGCCTTGACAGTGTCCAATACAAGCAAACTCAGAGTCTCTTTCTGTTGCGCCGGCACTCTGGGAGCCGCAAAGGTCTCTGCTAGAAACTCGGCACCCCATCTCCTCAATTCAACTCTCGCAGACGGACCTATGATAGGAAGAATCCCTTGAATGATTGGCTGGTAGTATGTGACATCGCCCAGAACGAGCTTTCGCGCATCATCAAGTTGTTGTATTTGCTGCTCGACCGACAGTGTGGGGGCGGCCATCTTGGATATCTTCAATAGCTACAACGGAGATCTACGAGGGATTGCTGCAGCTGCGGGTGAAAGGGGATGGTTTATCTTGATTATCGAAGGGGTGGTCCGGAAGATGGAGGATGAGAACGGTAACTCATTCTGCGTGCGCAATGTTAAATGTCTGGCAGAGAATAATAATGGCAGATTTAAAGTTGAGTTCGATCAGGAAGACGCGCCCGCCATCATGATCGCGAAAGGTGCAGTGTAGTGCATTCAATGACTTAGGGTTCCCGCCTTTCCGTTTGAGGTTAGTCTCCATCCAGTTCCGAAAGTCGTTCGAGTTGAAGCTCTTAAGTTCTTCCATAGTTTCCAAGGACAAGAACATTCAAAATGGGACTGTAAGTTCCGGATTCCCCTTTTATTGTGCTGATTCTAATACTGCTTAGCATACCAAGATCCTCCTACTACGATGCGCAATATAAACAGAGCGCTGCTCTGATTCGCGCAAGAAGGCCGTATTTGATCAAGAATACTCTCACCGGGCTTGGACTCTTTGCATTCACAATATCCATCTGTGATTATTCCTTCTGTGGCAGCAATTTCCAATTCTAACAATCACTCGCAGACGCCTACACTATCAAAGCCGTCTCCCAAGATGAGTTCGAGGACGTTCAAGTACCAACTACGCAACAATCACCCCGCGCTGGCGCCAGCACCAGTACGAGCGCACCTGCTGCGAAATAAACAAGCTATGGGCCTCAGTGTCAACGTTAGGAGATGATGTATGTGTATTATGGGAAGCATTGGCGAAGTGTACATTTGACGGGACTATTTTGTCCGAGGTGGATTACTTCGCGTTATGGCAAATAAAGCAGGTCGCGGAATACAATGAAAGAGACGAGATCACCACTCGCAAGACCTTTCTGTCCTTCTCTTCGAGGTTTATTATAAGGGTCCTAGAATGTGTCACTTAGCATCAGCGATTCAGGGCGCGATTGGGCTTCATCGGAATATTAATGTTTGATCTGTACTCATTGGAGCCAAGTACTCTACACTATAGGTACAATTGAAATAATAACCATCGCCGAAATCTGGATGGTTTGCCCGACTATGCAAGCGTGCGAGGCCCTTTCCATATACTCCAACCATGCCGAATATCCTTAGAAACGCCCCGCCCATATGTCCTTCATCAATCGTATAAACTAGGTCGTAACCTGGGTATCAAAAACGGCCCATAACCAATGCTGCGTGCTCCCTTCTCGCTTCCTGTGGAAAGTCGCGTGGAACGTCTAGATTAGTTCCTGGTGGCGATTGCTGAGTTCCATTGGTCTTATGACCGTCTGAGTTTGATACATTATGTTGATCAGATACAGGCGGTGGACGGTTTTGCTGTGGTGATAATGATGTCTGACGGCTTCCTAATGGTGATGGAGCAATAGTATGGGAATGATTAGAGTTTCCGAAAGGATTGTGGGGTGATATACGGCCGCCAGACATGGATATGCCTTTCGATTGCTGAAGTAATGATGAAGAAGTACTTGAAAATGTACCAGAAATTGGAGCACCTGAGCTCTGCTGATGCGAATGTCGCCGTTGCGCTTGCATCTGGGAGAAAGGGCTCGTTGTTCGTGGTGTTTGTTGAGCCGAGGTCTGTCTTTGAAGAAGGTGCGCGTGTGAAGGGTGTTGAGGGTTCGCCCATGGTGTTTGTTCGATGAATTGCTCTTCAGCAGGTTTAAATCGTGAAGTAGACCCTACTGTACGAAGGGCTGCAAGTTCTTGAATTGGCAAGCCTGCTGGAGGAACATGGTGAGCGTGTTTTGTTCGCTAAAATCGAGTCAGATATTGCAAATTTGCAGTTAATTTTGTGAACTTACACCCATCTTTTCGAGATCATCATCGAGCTCTGCCGCCGTAGCTGAAGCCATTGCTGGAGCAGCTGGAAATCCCACGTATTTCGCAACACCGGAAAGAACTGATACTTCGTTGCTGTAGGCCACTTGATTTCTGATCTGTTGTTGCTTGTTCGTTGGGAACTTCAATGTATAGTCCGGTACGCTTCCAGCGTAACTCCTTCGGTCATGCTGTATTTCATACCAATGTTTCCCTAGCTGTTCGAGTTTCTTTTCTCGGGTATCTCGTACTTCTTGTTTGTACTGAGTAAGAATCTGGCTCCTTTTTGCAACAGCATAATTACTCAGGGCTTTTAACTGGTACTGTTCTAAGGTATCGGCAACCCGAACCCGTTCGTCTCGTCGCGCATCTATACAACGCATCATAGCTAAATATTCGGGGTGTGTTGGCTTGTCTTGTCGAAGCATCGCTTCCTCTCGGTTCAATTGCTCGAGACGCTCCTCGTGAAGTCTGTCTTGAATCAGTAACGGGATTTATCTGGGCAATTTCACAACTAACCTATCTCTAAACGTGGAAAACTGTCTTTCTATCGAACTCAATTGGTCCAGCGCAATCCTCTTCCTCTCGACTAAGATTGAATCAGCATCCCATCGCAACAACCAATTCTCTCTCAACTTACGTTCTTCCTCGTTCTTCTGCGCGGCTTCTGCTTCATCATCTCCTTCATTCTCTGCATTTTCATCCTCGGCTTTTCTGGCCTCGTCGTCGCCATTCACTGCTTCTAAAGCAATGTCCCCGTCCTGGGTACTAACACCATTCTCAACAACCTTCTTCTTCTTACGGCCTCTTCTCTTCGGTGAAACAAGTATATTGACTGCCTCGGGAGCCTCGCTCTCGGCGATGACTTCTTCCTCGATTTCTTCGGTGGCTTCTTCTTCTTGCGCTGCCCCACCTTCGTCCGCAGATATGTTTCCGCTGATCGGATGTGATGTATCGACTTCCTCGTCGTGGTGGTTGTCTTCTTCGATTGCATACCCATCGCCTGTGCCCATTATAAAACCTGTGCGTTTGCGCAAGGGTTCCTCGATATCGTCCTCCAGCCCACTACCTGCCATTATGGAACGTTTCCGTTTTCTCGTATCGGCCTCGACCACTGATAATAGATTCTTGCTCTCAATAGCCCCATCTTCAAGCGATGTCGGGGCGGTTGGAGGGTCGACTGCTGCGTCGTCGTGAACAGAGCTTTTGGGCGATTCGGGAGATTCGTTCAGGGAGAGTTCGGCGTCAGACAATGGATCGTCATCCTCTTCGTCGTCTTGATCGTCTGCGGTAATTTGATTGTGAAGCTTGCTTGGCGTGTGTTGAATGTCGTTGTGTAAGCTTAGGACGACGTCCTGGTGTGGTCGAGATTTCTGAGGAGACTCTTCGAGCCGCTCAGTCTCAGCCTCAGAGTCATTCTCATCGTCAGAGGGATTGCTAAGGGCATCCGATCCGTCTTGGTCTTCGTCATGCTCGGCATCTTTGTCTTCAATGTCGCTCAAGCTACTTGACCCGTCTCCATCCACGTCAACCTCGCTCAACTCCTCGTCCGGAGAACTTCCTTCGCCGGCGGCTTGCAATAAAGCATCGGCACCTTGGTCCATTGTAACACTCATACTGCGCGTGTTGATATTCCAAGGCTGTCTTTCTTCCTACTGTGATACTCACATAACCTCGTGTGTCGGGATGTTGACTTGGTTCGTGTGGGAGAATGATCTGCGCGACTGTGGCTGCTGAGGGGGGTAGTTGTTGCAGAGCGGGATTTTGGATGTAGGTAGGCGTTTGGGCATTCGTAAGCTGGTGCTGGGCGTTGGTGAACTTTCCTTCGGAGAGGGAATGCTGTGGATGTGTGATTTGCTTGTTGAAGAGTGAAGCAAAGCTGGAACTCTTTGCTTGAGATCATGGGGAAGATCATCACACCGCTCTCAGAGTGGCAGAAAAGGCCCGCTAGGGTGAACTCCGGTCCGGCTTGTATTTACAATATTTTTCAAAATGTTTGCGACATGGCCCAGCTTTTGAATTCTTCCACACCAAATCTCTCATTACATATCAAAATGGGGAAACGAAGTCACAAGAATGTCGACAGTGCTGAGAGCACAAACAACGGCAGTAGCAAGAGTCACAGCAAAAATTCCTTATTACCCAACGACAAGGCTATTGATCCAAGCTTAGCAGCCCTCTTTGCTTCAAGTGTAAGAACAAGCTTTAATTGTCCGAAACGCAACTACTAATGAATGATATGCAATAGGCTGGTCCTGTAAAAGCACCCCCAAAGGCGCGCTATGAAGAACCCCCACCTCCTAGAAAGCAGTCAATTCCCGAAGCTGAAGATACGTCCGAAGACGATAATAGCGATTCTGGTGACGAGGACGAGGAATTGAGTAGTGTGGATGAAGACCTAGAAGATGGTGGTGCGATGGTCCTATCAGATGATGAAGACCAGGACTTGAGCGAGAGATCAGAGGAAGAGCCAAATCTAGACAGGATCATTGAAGCATCTGCCCCAAAACCGGATCGAAAACGAAAGAGAAAGGCCGATGAAGAGGATTTAGAGGGCAAATATATGCAGAAATTGGCCAGGGAAGAAGAAAGGGAGGAAGAGGAACGTCAGGCCGAAAGACGGCTTAAGCGCCAACGAACGACAGCAACGGAAGATGATATGATGTCGGAGGAAGAGGAAGATGTCGAGGATAAGAATAGTTCAGGCAGTGAAGATGGTTCAGAGGACGAGGCAGTAAATTCTCAAAATTCTCTTCCTTCGGATGTTCCCATGCACGAGTCCTTGGCACCAAGCAAAGAAACCACCGAGCTTGAGAAAGCAACTCGAACAGTCTTCCTTGCCAATGTCTCGACAGAAGCCATTTCATCAAAATCCGCCAAGAAGACCCTTATGACACATATGGGCTCGTTCATCGAATCATTATCCGCGCCACCAGAAGGGAAACCACTTCATAAAGTTGAATCTCTACGCTTCCGTTCTACTGCATATGCAGGCACATCTCTACCCAAGAAGGCCGCTTTTGCCAAGAAAGACCTGATGGCTGCTACGACTAAGAGCACAAATGCCTATGTCGTGTACTCAACTGCTTATGCCGCAAGAGAAGCAGTGAAGCGTCTGAATGGAACAGTGGTCTTGGACAGACATCTTAGAGTTGACGGTGTTGCGCATCCCGCCAAGACCGATCACCGGCGCTGCGTCTTCGTTGGAAACTTAGGTTTCGTAGATGACGAGAGCATGCTTGACCAAGGTGGCGAGAACGAGCGAAAGCGCTCTAAAAACCCATCCGACATCGAAGAGGGGTTATGGAGGCAATTCAACAAGGCTGGAAAAGTGGAGAGTGTGCGCGTGGTACGGGATGAGAAGACTCGTGTTGGAAAAGGCTTTGCCTACGTGCAATTCGAGGTCAGTTATTTTCTTTTGCTATTGCCAATTATGCATTATTGAACTGGTTACTAATACTTGAATCATAGGATGCAAATGCAGTAGAAGCTGCTCTTCTCTTTCACGAGAAGAAGTATCCACCAATGCTGCCTCGCGTCCTCCGAGTCGTCCGCGCAAAAGCTGTCCGCAAAACCGCCCTTGCCTCGAGCTCCCGCTCATCTAATTTCAAGGCTCCTGGCAAAGACCGAGTTTACAATCCCAAGATGCCAGCTGAGCAATCCTCGTTGCAAGGCCGAGCTGGGAAGCTGTTGGGAAGAGCAGGAGCTGCCCAGTTCAAGAATAGTAAGGGTAGCGGCGCTAACGACATGGTACTTGGGAAGCGAGGAGAAGGGAAGGCAAGCGGAATTGAGGGTATCTTGAAGACGCCGGAGAAGGTTGTATTCGAGGGTTACCGAGCGACTTCTGCTAACAAACCAAAATTGGGCGGGAAAGGGAAGAAAAGTGGAAAGCCGGTAAACAGAGGGGCAAAACGGGCAAGTGCGTGGAAGAAGAATGGTGGGTCCAAGAAGGCCAAATGAGGAGTGAACGGACGGATGGGTGTGACTGTTTCAGATACCATAGATAGAGAAATCAAAAACATCACTAGAGAACTGAAAATAGCAGACATCGTGGTTTGTCTTCATATGCTGGTCCTAACTGTCATTGTGCTATGTCAAATCAACCTACCTATAAATGAGCTCAAGAGCACGATCTCCTGGCCCCTCCCGATTCTAGACAACAACTAGCTAGATGTAATGAGCAACAGCCTCCTTTCTCTACAGCCTTCTGCGGGGGCTTAGGTAAAACTATCAGAGTAGCCTCGGGTATAAGAAGTAACAAACACACCACCATCTATCGGATTGTTGAGTCTAACAGAGCAAGGTCAAGCGTGTATTTGCTAGCCAATGTAGACTAAATGTGCAGATGGACCCTGGGTCCTTCGTCTTCTCCGTGTTCTTGAGGATTTGTCGCCTTGAGAGTCTACTTTCTCACTCAAAAATATGAGGGATTCCTTGAACTGGCGGTATCAGCTTTGTCAAGGCGGTATTGTGATTCCGACAACGGCTCTCCTCACTCCATCTGATTCTTCCCTGATTTGCTCGATGACCCCTCCCTTTGCACTCACGATATCACAAAAATCCTCCATGGAGCCCCCTACTCCAAAATAAACCTTCTTCGCTGCTATGAAAGCTGTTTTCCCAACAGAGACATCTTTCCTCAGTAGACTCATCAGAGTTTCTGCAAATGATTGCAAAGCAGCTGGTGAGTATATCGTCTCAGCCCCAATGACAGTGAGTCTCGAAGGACGTGACATCAAGTTTTGGTCCACTAGATTCACAAATTCAGGGCTCCACGCACCAGAGAAGAAAGACAATTTGATGCCGAACGATTCTAAAGAGGCACGGAAATGTTCCAGCACCCCAGGATCGATTTCGAGTTCTCCTTCAGCTTCCCATGACCCTGTTCTCGTCGCTTGTGCCCACGATAATAGGATATTTGGCAGCGTGACAAGTTGCAAAACGGTAGGGTTGTAATCGGCAAGACCAAGGTCGAAACCTCCCACAGACGGGGAATTCTGGAATATCCATTGAAAGATGGCTAGAGATGGCAGTGCAGTTCCACATCCAAGCTACTCCAAATTAGCCGTGTTCGACACAAAGAGGGAAAACCAGATATTATAGTACCTCTAGAACACGCCCTGGAGATTTTAAAATCTCTTGACTTCTCTTGTGTAGTTCCTTGACTACGTCAACTGAGCTCTCCCAGCTTTTGAAACCGCCTTCATAAACTCCCGTCCTCACGTCGTCCTGACCTAAGTTTCCCAAGCCTTCATCATCTTCTTCAGCCATCAGCTGTACTCTAACATCCCAAAGTTCTCTCCTTGGAATAGATATGACTTGTCCGTCATCCAATTTGACAACCAGAGTACTGTATGCTATTTTGGACGGAAGTGCTTTTAGCATGATTTCTAGATCATGTTCTTGAGGTGGTAGCAAGGGCTGGCCCGTGACTGGGAACGCTGGTTTGGGGGCTTGTCGGAGGGATCCCGTTTCTGCGGCATGCTTTGAGGGTGGGGATGAATGTGGAAGATTCAAAGTGGTAGCATCTTCTTCTATGTCGTCTCCTGCGAAAGAGAAACTGAAAGTAGACATATTTTGATGGCGAGGAGGAGGAAGCACGTGAAATTATTTTGGTTTGTCTTTCTTTTTGAGGTTTTGGTGGCAGAAACTCTTTGACCGCCCGACTGCCGAGGACAAATTTAGACCTGGCCTGCCTTATTCCGAATACAAAAAGCAGCACTTATTCATAGTATTATATCTATTATAGCTAATTGGACGTAAAAGTAAAGCACGGGTTAAGGTGCTAGCGCAATTAAACAAACAGGTTAGTATGGTCTAGTAGGAGGAGAGGGATAGTAATACTTAGGTATTGGAGGGAGAGAATAATGCAGGAGGGGAGACGACGTCCTATATAACTTACTTATATGATGCCTTTCTACAGCTATAACTTTCTTCCACTGAGATGTGATAATCAATCACACTTCTCAGATGAACTTTTAGCTTTAAGTCAAGCTTTACACTTGCGAGGTAGTAAATGCTCTCAAGGGAAAAGAGTAAACAGAAGCTCTTTGTATTAATGTACGGAGCAAAGCAATATGGGTATCAACCTAGACCTTCAAGGCCAAACCTGCAGCTTCCGCCTGCAATTTTCTCTTCTTATCCCTTTTGAGCTGCTTCTTCAACCGCTTGGTCTCCTTCTTTGTATCTTCCTTTCCACGCCGCCCGTCCCCCACATCTGCTTTGTGCCCCAGTGATTCATTACCCTCTGCCATAATCGTGTCCTTGCTGTCTTCCTTAGCTACTGCGGTATCCAGCTGTGACTCCGTGACACTCGGTTGCTCCTGCTTTGTTTTCTTGACTGACTCCTCCACTACAGATGGGTGTTTTCGCTTTCTTGACTTTTTCGGCCTGTCCTCTTCCATCTGACTGCCATTCCCCGCTTGCACTTTCTTAGATGTTCCCCTTACACTGAGGTCCAGGTCTGGCTTCTGCTCTTCACGCTCGATGGTGACAGGCTGGATGGGTTCTTGGACCTCCAACTTCTGTTTGTGTTTCTTCGCCTTCCCCAAGCTTGATCTTCCCTCTTCCTCATCACTGCTTTCAACCATCAAGCCCCTCTTTGCGCTCGCAGCTTTCTCCTCTGCATCCCGCGCCTTGCTTGCCTGCAGGGTCTTAGAAGGAAGAAACTTAGCACGAAGTGACTTGTTTCCTAGCTCAGCGGCATTCTCTTTTGAAGTTCCTCCTCCAGTACCAAAGCCATAATTAGATATTTGTGCTTCGATCTCTTCGTCGGTCATAACTGGCGGTTTTAGTGGGCGATTGGAGGCTTTGATCCATCCATTAACGATTTCCTCATGTCTAGATAAAGCGATTGCGACTTTGTTGTCGAGTATGTCTAGCTCTTCGAGAGAGAGCCCGACACTCTTGCTCTTGCCCTCCTCTGGCGCCATTATAGTGATATTGTGTTGTCCTTGATTCACATGTTGTTGATGGGGGAAAGAAAACCGACCGACTTAAACTTCGGCACGTGCGGCATCATCGGTCTTTCTCGGGGAACGTATTCCTGAAGCTCTGCATCGCGACTTCCTCCGAAAGGACAACCCAAATCAACTCTCAAAACATCTTCATTCTCCCTGCAATTGACGGCTCTGTGTGTTTCTTATACACCTCCCGTCATCATGTTTAAGCTCGCCCGTAGTCGCCCGTTCACGGCTGCTTTCAACGCCACCAAGGTACAAGAATATTTACCTCCAGCTATCTGGAAATAACTTGCTAAAAACAACTTCAGATCTCCTCGCCCTCCCGTTTGGCTGGCGTTGCGCAGCAGAAGAGAGCTTTGAGCATCCATGAATACCTCTCTGCTGACCTCTTAAGAAAAGTATGCTGAAATCACTACTCTCGATGGCTATGAAACTTATACCTTGACAGTACGATATCGGTGTCCCCCAAGGCTCAGTTGCGACAACAGCCGCGGAAGCCGAAGCTATTGCGAAGAAGATTGGTGGAGATGATATGGTTATCAAGGCACAGGTGCTGGCCGGTGGTCGAGGAAAGGGTACATTCGACAATGGCCTTAAGGGAGGTGTCCGAGTTATCTACTCTCCCACGGAGGCTAGGATGTTCGCAGACCAGATGATCGGACATAAGCTCGTTACGAAGCAGACGGGTGCTCAAGGCCGTCTCTGCAACTCTGTTTATATCTGTGAGCGCAAATTCGCCCGTCGGGAATTCTACCTGGCTATTCTTATGGATCGTGGTTCCCAAGGACCCGTTATCGTCTCTTCATCGCAGGGTGGAATGGATATCGAGACTGTTGCAAAGGAGAGCCCCGACGCTATCACCACTACCTATATTGACATCCACAAGGGTGTTACCGACGATATCGCCCGAAAGATCTCAGTTGACCTTGGGTTTAGCGAACAATGCATCGAAGACGCAAAGGACACCATTCAGAAGCTATACAAGATCTTCATGGAGAAGGATGCCACTCAAATTGAGATCAACCCTCTCTCTGAGACCTCAGACCACAAGGTGCTCGCTATGGATGCTAAGCTTGGCTTTGACGACAATGCAGAGTTCCGTCAAAAGGATATTTTCTCATGGCGAGACACTACTCAGGAAGATGCGGAAGAGGTTCGCGCGGCCGAATCAGGCCTCAACTTTATCAAGCTTGGAGGTGATATTGGATGTCTAGTAAATGGTGCTGGTCTTGCTATGGCTACCATGGACATCATCAAGCTGAATGGAGGCGAACCCGCCAACTTCCTCGACGTTGGTGGTGGAGCTACTCCTCAAGCTATCAAGGAGGCGTTTACACTCATCACGAGCGACCCTAAGGTCACAGCCATCTTCGTCAACATCTTTGGAGGTATCGTTAGATGTGATGCTATCGCTAAAGGTCTCATCAGCACTGTCGAGAGCATGAATCTCCGTATCCCTATCATTGCTCGTCTACAAGGAACAAACATGGAAGCAGCACACAAGTTGATCAACGAGGCTGGTCTTAAGATCTTCTCTATTGATGATTTACAAAGCGCGGCAGAGAAGGCGGTGCAGTTCTCAAAGGTTGTGAAGATGGGTAAGTTTCGCTTGGCTGCATATTTGACCCTTGCTGACAAAAGTAGCTCGTGACATTGATGTTGGCGTGGAATTCTCCCTCGGTATTTGAGCGATTGCTACACGTTCATGATTCTTTTGTGTATTGATTGCCTCGCCTATAGAAGATGGGTTGAGTATGTATAATGCATTGTGTTCCTGTGCCATAATTCATTATTGATTTACCTTGTCCCCTCATTGCTTGCTTGAATGTTTAAGGAGGTAAGTCATCATCACTCTTTGCTATCCTGAGTAAGGATGCGGCACTGCAGAGAGATACAGTTTGATACCCCCCTCAAGCCTGCGCACGTGATGACGAGACAAACCAAAAGTCTACATAGGGTTATCCAACAGTATTATTCCCCCTTTCTCATTTACCTTGCGTACTTGAATCCTCTGTTCTTGTTTTTTCTGTTGGCTTGAGGCCATTTTTGCATGATATATGCTCAGACTAGTCACATCATTACCTCCTGGGAAGATTCTAACGCAAACTTGCTCAAATAATACGCCGTGGAACTCCAATGCTCCATCTAATCAAAAACATATTTATCAGCTGCTGTTCTCTTTTCTTCTTCTCTTCTTCCCTTCTCCATTTACCTTAAAAAATGTAAAAGCAAAACACCGATTTATATTTTTTTATCTATCCTACACATTGAAAAAGGAATAAAGTACGGAGTCAAAGAGCCCAAAAAATGAGTATCACGCAAACAACAACAACGGAAGGCATTATGAAAAAGGGCGTGAGCACCACTTCCCAACACCCGGTCGTTTCGGTATCTACGAACAAGCACGAGCAAGCATCCTTCTCAATCTCCCGCCTTCCACCTGAGCTGCGGCATAAAATCTACGCGTGTTATTTTGAAAGTCTTCCGCCTCTTAACGTTGAAGTTGAAAACACGAATATCAACTCGCCGTATAGGTACCACCTATATACTCCACTCGCACTAGCATCGCCGTTTTTCGAGTACGATGTCCCTGCTAGCTTATTCTACTCTTGCTGTACTTTCTCCTTTCCGTCGGGGAAAGCTATGCGGGGATTCGCGGCGGAAATAGATGGATGGGGTGTTGTAAGGAGGGTGAAGGTTGTGTGTCGGAAGGAAGCAAGGAATTGGGATTGGGTGTATTTGGTGAATGTGTGTTATGAAGGGTTGGAGGAGGTGATGTGTGAACTTGGGGGAAGGGGAGGCGAATACGGATTGTGATTGCTTTGCGGGCTGGTGGGAGTGTGTGAGGGATGCTGTGAGGGAGGGGTGGTGTTGTAAGGGTAAGGGTAAGAGTAAGAGAGGGGGCGGGAGGGAGAGAGAAGAAATGTTGATTTTAAGATGTGAGATTGAGGGGAAGGAGGTTGCGTCAGAGGTGTTGAAGTGTTAAGGTTTTGAACTGTTGAAAATGTTGGACGCTGGACGTTGGACGCTGGAAGAAAGATGGAACTGCGATAAGTATGTGAAGAAGATAAAATAAGGAGTGAAAGTGGGACAACGTATGCAAGCAGAATAAAACTGATATGAAATCATGATATCGTGTATTCTATAGGTCCTCTCCTAGAGTCCGCTTGCAATGCAAGAGTTCTACACATACCTTGCCGTGTATTATATTTCCTCGTCTCTATTCCCATCGTCTGGATGCGGCACTGACTTACAATGTCCCAAACCGAGTTGAACATTTAGCGACTATAACGAGTGCTAGCCACAAATCTATACGATTTTGCCCGCGAGTACCCGCTGGCCTGACCAAGCAAACGCCTACTTGTTAAAGATCAAAAAGTTCCTCAAGCTATCCCAATGATCACTCTGGACGTATATATAGTCCATACTACTCCTTAACCCGGTCTGCACTGTATCAGGATACCACCTAAACAGCCACATGACCGAGCCCCAACTTAAAGCTGCAAACACCGGCCACGCATCGTGTTCTATCCGCCTCGAGAGCTTGTGGCTTTTTATAATTCCTGCCTGGGGCATGACGGACAGCTGTGCTAGGGAGAGACACACTCGTGCAAATACTAAACGGCGACATCAGTTAACAGCTTGCTTTTTAGAGGCTCCGAGCAGAACTTACCAAAAACAACGATTTGCTTGCTGACCGACGAAACATGTCCTTTCTTCGACCGTCTGCCGAAAACCAAATATCCTCCCATTAATCCAGCAAAGAAAGTATCATATGGCCCTTCTTTCCCTGGACTGGAGCCCATATGTTTTAATGCTAGCATCGTCAACTTGTATACCGTCGCGTATCTGGCCAAGTTTTGGGCATGTGTTTTCGTTGCTCGTAATACCAAGGAGATTTTTTCTCGTATTGTGCCCGAGCGGAATAGAACTATCATACTAGACTCGCATTGGATTAGCAAAAGCTCCCTGTTCTTGAAAGGGAGCGTTGAGCAGGACTTACACCAGCGCATGCGGAAACCGAACTTTGGCTCCGTAGACTGCGCCATTGCGAGCAGCTTTCAGTACAGCTAAACAATCCGCATATTTTGGGTTTAATATGACACTTTCGAGTGCTTTCTATGTAGCATTTATATTAGTATATTTGCGCGTCCTGGTGAGGGTATTCAAACGTACCTTTACAGCTTCGACTCCTGACATCTTGCCGGTTCCAACCTCGGCCTCGGCAACGCGCTGGGAGGAACTCCTAGAAGTGCAAGAGCACAAAGGGTAAATTATGCTACCGCCGTATTATCATCGGTGTATGTAGCTTCTCTATCAAGGTGAAGCTGCAAGAGGTAACTGTCTGGGGGGTTGGTTGGTTTAGTAAAGGGTTGAAGTCCGGAGGAATGGCCTCGGGAAGTACGTCTTGGGCTTTTGTACTGGTACCCCACGATTTCAGGGATCTGTAAAGTAGCCTTGCGCCATACTTTCGTTTTGCATGTGAGATGTGGATGTAATTGTGAGTGATGAATCGGAGCCAACGGAAGAAGGTTGTTACGTGCTTACATAAGGAGACTTTTTTTTATCGATTGTGATTATTTTTCTCCACCGAAAAGTTGCTGCTATCTATCCACCACAACCACAATTTCACAATTGTGCCAGTAACCCAACATGTTGCGACAAATGTAATGTTTCTTGGAATATGTCTTCCTTCAAATGCTAATGATATTCCAGCAAACCTCGCAATGCGCGCAGCAAACGTGCCCTCGACAAAAAAGCCCCAAAGCCAATCGAGAACCCCAAAACCACCCTCTTCCTCCGCTACACAACCTGCTCTCAAATCGTACAAGATGCTCTCGGCGACCTCAATCAACTGCGCATTCCCCTCGCCAAGAAGTTCACCAAGAAGAACGAGATCCACCCCTTTGAGGATGCTACATCCCTCGAATTCTTTTCTGAGAAAAATGATGCCTCGCTTCTAGTCTTTGGAAGCTCGAGCAAGAAGCGCCCGCATGCCCTCAACCTAGTACGAACGTTTGGGTACAAGGTGCTTGACATGCTGGAGCTGTATCTAGATCCTGATAGTTTCAGACGATTGAATCAATTCAAGAACAAGAAGTGTGCGGTGGGACTAAAGCCCATGTTACTTTTTGCGGGAACACCATTTGAGACCCCAGTACAGAATGAGTATACGTTGGTAAAGAGCTTCTTTACAGATTTTTTCAAGGGAGAGCCCGCCGATAAGGTCGATGTGATGGGATTACAGTACATTGTGTCTATCAGCGCAAGAGAACCGGTAGAGGGAGAGGATTCGAAGCCAAGTGTGCATTTGAGAGTTTACCTGATCCGGACGAAGAAGGCTGGACAGAAGTTACCAAGGGTTGAGGTCGAGGAGATGGGTCCCAGAATGGACTTCAGAGTGGGCAGAGTCAAGGAGGCCGACGAGAGTATGCTGAAGGAGGCAATGCGGAGAGCCAAGAATACCCTAGAGAGACCGAAGAAGAATATCTCGACCGATATCGTGGGTGATAAGATTGGTAGGATACATCTGGGCAAGCAAGACTTGAAAGAGTTGCAAACCAGAAAGATGAAGGGGTTGAAGAGGAGTAGAGACATCGCAGATTCAGAGGATGAGGAGATGGAAGATGTGATCAGCGACGAGGAGCCTGTGAAGAAGCCGAAGCGGGTTTGAGTTATGTCTCCTGTTAGAACGTGGTATGTCTGTCTGCATAAAACCGGTGTTTGGAGTATGGATGGACATGGAAAACTGCAACTGGGGTCAATTCGCGGGCTATTTTGATATCCGCAACCCCTTCACATATAGAATAACCAAGTACAGTCTCTGTATGAAATAGTTTTACTGTTGCCAGCTATGCGCTCCCATCAACAACGCCCCCTCTCAAGTGAGCACAGGACCCGGAGCAGTCGCTGACTCTTCTCATGATTGGGTTTCAATCTTAGTTTATATTTGCCCATCCATATGAAGACAGACTAAGCCCGCCTGCACATCAATTCAGTTACACATCTTTACCCATCTCACACTCTTGTTTCATTAAACCTTTGCTCTCGAAAACATTGTCAACGTTCAATATGGATGAGAGGAGGCATATGTCTAAGTTAGATCGTATCTGTGAAACCCATGCAATCAGACACGGTTTTCTTCCACACAAGCAAACCGTTACTTAGCAAAGAGCTGCAGAAAAAGAAAGATGGAAGCTGCTTCAAACAGGCAGTCTGGGGTAAATATTCGATGAAGGACTAGCAGCTTCGTCCTAAGTGGTTGCGATTTTCGCAAACACTTTAAGTGTCATTCACTTGTTCCGCTTGCACCAATGCTACCTAGGGGTTTGATTCAAACTGCTAAGGTCGTTCCTAATATCTCTTGAGTTATATTATTTGTTTTCATGTTATGGCATGATTGTACTGGAATTGAGGAGTCTGACCAGGTTCGGTGTCAAGCAGCCGGACTCTCGCAGCCTCTGAGCACACATTATCGTTGACGTGATGTCTGTGCCTGACATAGCTGCTTACCATTCTGAACCCAAACTACGATTGTCTGTCTCTCTTTACACTTGAGCATTAGAACGGACCTGATATCTTGCTATTGCAATACTAATTAATAGACGGGATTTCGAAAACGCGGGATGAAAATAAGGAAGTGAAATTTTCACGCAATAGCTGGCGACGTTCTCTGAATCCCTATTTCTTGATGAGGAAGGAACCTCCCATCAAGAAGCCCACGTTCTTGGCTGAAATAAGGACGACGGTGGATCTGAATAATCACCCGAATAATATTTTGCAATAAGGTACATGCAGGTGCAGCAATTCGAGGGATGCACACTGGATTATAAGAAACTGATTGAAGGATATATGTACAAAGTATGAAATTCTGCAAGACAAGTGTTGTATACCGTTCTGAATGCGACTAACGTTGATGAAGAACTTGGTCCCCTTTCACATGGTGTTGTCCATGCCTCATCTGGAAATATTCGCCTCCACCCTAGCAACTGGAAGTCTTCTTTAGCAGCGTATGTAACCTTCTTCGACTTTTGGCATACTTGGTTGTTGCCGCTGTCGTGGACATGGAAATTCTTGCAGATTTCCTCATCTTTATATGTAGACAATCCGTCTCTATCACCGAAAAACAATCTTGTGACATCAAAAAGAGATTGGCTGCATAGAACGCCTTTTAAACTATCAAGTTCCTGTGTCCACATCTCGGACCTTGCAGCTTTGACCAGGGCACCACGTAGAGGCGAGCCATCCGGTGTATTGTGGTACACGTAGGGTATAACGCCAAACAATAGGTATCGCCCCTGGCGAAGCCCAAGAAAGGCATCAATAGAATCATTCCGCAATTCCTCGATTTGTTATTTCTGACCAATGACGTAGAGATGCACGAATAATCCCTCAATATCTTTCATTGCATCCTCTTCGGTGTTGCCCTGTGCCTCGTAATTGACGACCGCAGGAGGTACACAGATCTCGTCGTGGCACATCCAGTAAACCATGACTTGAATGGCTGTCGGGTCGTCCTCCGGAAGCTCTATAACCCTGTAGTCTGGACTCATCCAAAAAGGTTTGCAGGCAGCTTTGCAGGTAGCTTTGAAGAGCGGACTCGCATTGCAGAGTAGGTTTTGGTGTACCGTGAAGCATTGCTTTTCATCACCGACCACAAGAGTAACGGTTTGGTGAAGGGACCTATGTGTGACATGTGATCAGTTTCAAGTTCTTTGTTCGTGTGGAAAATTGCGAGCTCACCCCATGAGGCGCATTTTCTTATACGGACGCTCTTCGGTCTTAGTTGCCATCTTGAGGGTTTGAAGCCCTATTTGGTGTAGGTTCAAAGCCAACCTTGTGTTGACTGAGAGGTTGTGAACCCGAGAATAACGGACGTAATTATTTGAGGTGAATGCGATTTACGGGGAGGCTAACAGTACGCAACTCAAAGGTTCACTGATCGTGCCTGCTCTTTTAAAAGTTTCGCTAGACCAGCAAAGGTTCCGAAAGTATAATCCTGACCCACGACTAAGGCTTGCACAATTTATACTCAGCTTGGATCGACTGCAGATTTGGGCCTCTAAAAAGACTTAAACTCGAGGTGACCTCAGTTTAAAACAGGATCTGGGTGGAAATCAACCCGATTGTATTCATATTAAGACTAGACTGGCCCAAGCCTTGTCCATAGCAGAATCAAAAGGAGGTTTATACCACCTCAACATGCTTCTACTCCTCCGTCCTTGGTGTTACCTTCAACGCTGACACATTTAATGCATCAATCATCTTGAGAGTAGGTCGAGGTGGTTTGGAAGTGAGGTGCTTGATGAGATGCACGAGGTTCCAGTTAAAAGAACATGAAGTGAGATGAAACTTTTGCAAAATGAAGGTAATCTACAGTAGTGCATTGTCAGAAGTGAGGAACTTTCCTGGGTGGCTTTACAAGAACAAGATGGAACAGAGACGAGCATTAAGCACAACAGCGCTACATATAAATTTACACGGGCTTATCTGGCATACCTAATCTATACCAAACCCTAAACCACCACCGTCTGCAACAGTCTATCCTCAACGCCCTCCAAGGTATAGTGGTGAGCTAACACGTTCAGATTTTCTATCTCGGCCTGAAACTGCTTGTCAGGATCGACACCTGGACCGAACATCTGAGCTCCAGCACCTGGACCCATCTGTCCCATCTGCTGTTGCATTTGGCTTGCAGCTAAATTTCACTATTAATTATGGTTCAACTATGAGTTCGAAGACAGTGCTTACCATTGTCACTTCCCAGAAGGTAGTTGAACACCGATTGTAATCCAAAGATACACAGCACATACCAGGAAATGGAAGACATCCACTGCGGGTCCATATCCTTGGTTGCTACACCTGCCTGTAACATGCTCTTGAACTTAATAGTCAAGGGGAACGGCAACCGGACTATATCTGTCAGCATGACCCATTGCCAGTCTCAACCCGGAAGACTCACTGATCACAAAACCACTAAAGAAAGCATTGATCCACCCCATAATCAATGTCTGCGGCACAATCATAGCCATATTCCCCTTCATCATACCCATCATGCCCTCCATAGCCGCCGGATCCGTCATGGGATTCGGCGCAGCCTGGCCCTTCTTATCTGGTTCCTTTAAGAACGCCCCGCTTTCATATGCTGCGACAAGGTAGTCTTTTCGAGCTTGGAATGAGGGAGCGGAGATGACATTCGCGTTGGCGCGGAGGTTGACGCCGCGAAGGAGGGAGCGCTGTTCTTTGATGGCTGGCAGTTCTTGTTTCTTCGGGGCTGTGGCCATGAGAACCGTTGCATAATGGCGGAGAACACCTGTTAAGATCTATAGATATCAACAGCTGTAATGAGGAGGTGATGCTGGCGTGGAGAGCTTACCATGACCACTGTGATGGGGATCAGAATCCAGTAGCTAGGAATTCATCATCAGCACTAATCTCCCATTTCTCCATCGTTGAAGTCTTACAAGAGCTGGGGATCCCTATGGATCGTTTGCACAGGGACTTGCGCCATATTTGCGGTAGTTATCGTATTCTTGTTGCTGGCACAAATTACGGAGCGTGAAGCTCGACGTTGATGGTGGTGGTGCGGATGTAGGATGAAGGTTTTATATTGACACATCTAAGGATCACTCCTGCCACGGAACAAGACACGGTTCCCCTTTTCTATACGCGACAACTGAAGCTATCCTACACCTTAATTGTCTTTCTTTGCAACATTTACAGCAAAGATGGCTTCGGAAGAGAAAATCTCGGTTTATTCGTTGGCTGGTATGTGTTATTTTTGGAACCCTCTCTTTTTGAAATGTCCCATTCCTCAAGATACACAGTAGCTAATACCCATCCTAGACCTCAAAAACACCAGCGACGATGCCCTCCCAGCCTACCTCAACTCCCTCTCCTTCGCCCAATCCCACACTCTCACAGATGTTCGCCTCGCTCTAGGTTACACAGCCTTTGGCATCTGCGCCGCAACCTTCTACTGGGACTACACATACGGCTTCGAATCCACCAAACTGCTGACCCTCGGCGCCGTCATCCTCTACAGCCTCCTCAACGGCGCCCTCACCTTCTGGATCTGGGGCGTTGAGAAAGGCACCGTGTACGTTGGCACGAACTCCAAGACCGGAGACAAGATCACCATTCAGAGTAGGACGGACAAGTTTGTACCCATGTACAAACTTACGGTTACAACGGAGAGCAAGGATGGGAAGAAGGAGACGAAAAAGTTGAAGATGGAGTTTAGAGAGTGGTTTGATGAGAAGGGGGCATTTATCACGAAGCCATTTCAGAGGATGCTGGCTAGCAGTGTGGCAGCTATAGGGAAGGTGGATCCAAAGAATGCTTTCCCGTTGAAGGAGAAGAAGGAGAAGGTGGAGGACAATAGGAGTATGGATGAGAAGTGGGCCAGTTTACTTGCGGAGAGTGCGGGGAATGTGGTTGTTGAGCCTGAGAGCAATGGCGCGAGTACGAGCACACCTACGCCGGGGAAGGGAAAGAGAAGGGCAAAGAAGGCTTAGTCTGTTGTTTTAGATGGCTGGATGGTGAACTGTATGCTACGATGCGAATAAAAGTCCATAAGTGAAGGATTGCTAGGCGTTTAGGTTTCCTAATACGAGGAGTTCCGTGCATGGGGGAAAGCTTACGCCACAAGTAAGGCGGTTATATCGAAAAAACTCTTGTGAATTTAACAACAATTATTGTCATCTATTCATCTAGGCTTCGGCCTTTTTAGTAATTCAAATCTAGAGACCAAGGAGCGCCAGACAATGCACCCGAACACCACGCTATGCTTTCTTTCAACTCCCACAGAAATTAAATACACCATATGATTCAGTCCTCGAGATTGAACCACGCCATCTTACATTTATCGGCACGACTACGCACAGTACTTGAACAATCATTCAATGCAACATCCAGTTCAAACATCAGCTTAGATTTGCGAAGAGTGAGAACAGCAGGCGAGATATGCTGGACAAGCAGGGCCAACACATCCAATGCGGCCGCACGGCAGCGAACAGAGCTATCGGAAGGCGAGTCGAGGGTGTTGTGTGTGCGATCAGTCATCCGGTTGATCAGACTATCCAAATGGCTCTCCATAACTTCGGGGCAAAGTGGAAGTAGTGTTAGGATTGTTTGGATAAACGAATGCTTGGCCCAATCGTCATTCTGCACATTCGTGCCCTCAAGGACAAGTGGCAATAGAGACTCAACGCTATCTTTCAAAGTTGCGGGCTCCATGAAGGCAAGCAGACCAGCGAGAGCAAGCAAAGCATTTTCCTTGGCCTTCTTTGTCTCAGATGCTCGCCATAGCTCTACGAGAGGGGTAACGGCGATGGTAAACACTCGTTGCTTGCGAAGGCGGCGGACGAAACAAAAATTCTGCTCGTTCATGAGCTCCGAAGGCGCAAGAAGAACTCGGAAGCTTTGAGCAACCTTTCGGCCGTTGCGAGTATTAGAGATTCCCTTAATCATGACGTCCAGCAGAATCGAAGATTGGGGCTTGTGAGCAGCGACGGTGGCTGCTGTGAAGTATGCTAAAGCACGGTAAATGCTGTCGACTTCTGCTTCTGAATTTGGAGAAGACCCTTCAACTAAGTCCACCATAACTTGAACCAGCGTTCGAGATTCATTCTCAAGGGGCTCTTCTAAAGCACCAAACTTGTTGACAAGCAGCTGCAGGAACCACAGCATTGAGGTGCGTGCGAGTATAGATGCATTATTATCAGTGCTCAGGGCATTGAGTAGCATCGCTAACGCGGTATCCCCAACTCGGAATTTTAGCTTCGCCTTATCCTTGGAGATATTAGCAAATTATCAAATAATTACTAAGAATAGTTATTTACCTTAGGCTTGATTCCGGCGAGCAAAGAGACAGAGAGAACGTTCACCGAACATTTCTCTTCGGGACCGAAGCGTAGCTCTGCCTGCGGAAGAGTAAGTCCTTCAGCCGAAGGACAAAATAGAGACCAAATAGCAGAAGGCTCATGGTGTTGATTCCACGATAACAAAAAGTTATCTTCTCGTGTCAGATGGGCTGATTCGGAGCGAACGGCCAATGTTGCAATCTTTCCAACCAACTTGAGAGTGATCTGATCGATGTCGTAGGGCTTCGCCAGTCCGATATAATGCAGGTTACCAGGCATCGACGATACATTCGTGTGGTTTTCCAGCTTTATAAGACGAGCCAATAGCGGCAAGACGATTTGAGAGTATCGTGCAACTCCTAGATCACTGACATCTGAACCAAGTTTAATTTTAGAACGACTGACAGCAGAATCAAACAATTCCATGCCTCGGAAGATAGCGGCGAGGATCGCGTTGGAGTACTCAAGCCCGCCGTTTTGACCAACCACGTTTTGCCATAGCTGAAGGAGGCTCTCCATACACGCATCGAAGTTGCGTTGCCGGAATCCAGGAGTTGGGACTTCATTGAGCCCAGTAAAGGAAGAACAGGAGACGATTATCAGGTCCTGAAGTAAATCAACGATTTCTGTGATCTGTGACGTTCCTTGGCTCGTGGAAAGTGATTCTGGGAAACTTTTCATGAGTTTCGGCAAAGTTGTATCTTTAAATATCGTTGGATCTCGACTGGACATGTCCTCGATTGCACGAAGAGCCGCTACGTGTATCTCCTGCTCACGGCTGGAACTCAGCATAACTGCATCGATCTTTTCCAAGACCATTGCTTTCTCTGCCGGAGATAAAAATTCGTGGATTTTGGTTAGTAGCACAAGACCCTCTATCGCAGCGGTTCCAAAGACGGAACCTGAGCCATCTTCCACTTTGGACATGGCCGCGAAGTAAATATCAACGATACTTTGTCGAAATTTGAGGAAAGCATCGAAAATTGCCACTTCTGGCTTGTCATTACCGTTTGTCGTTAATAGGAGGGCCTGTTCTTCGAGGTCAAGTCTTGCTTGGAGAAGGTTATTAAAAACACTAAGGAGCGACTTCTTCTCTAACGGCAATTCCACTGATTGTGCGAGAACATCTATCTTTGGTAGGATAGCCTTTGTTACCAAAAGGAATATGTGGCTGGAGCTCGAACCAATCGCTCGAAGTATTCTTCCACTAGGCTTCAAGAACTGTCTGTTGTCAGACATCTTGTCGAATATTTCGTTTGAAATATCTGAAACCAGATTTGCAAGAGTATTTTCATCCAATTCTCCAGCTTGGGTTCCCAAGGAATGGAACAGACCCCTGAGAATGCGCAGAGACTCTTCGATAAAGTCTTCACTTTCTCCATTCCAGACTTCATATTTGATTGCAGACCATATCTCTGGAGCGTGCTTTAAAAGTGTAGGGCTTGAAAATGATATGGCGCATTCGTAAATGGTGGACATGATCTCTTGCTAGTATTCATTAGCAAGCGAAAAGCAATGGTCGTGGAGATGCCACGTACCTTCTTGTTAGCAGCTTGATCAGTGTCTATGTTGCTGAGAAGAAGAGTGAAGGCGTCATCGGCATATTTGTCGCTGGAGGTGATGCACTGCAGCAGTAGGCTCTTCAACTCTTCTGGTGATGGTTTGTTGGGGTCCGTAGCAGTACCTCCTAAAGTAATCGGGAAGTACCGAACAAAAAGCTCCCATAACTTATTGCTTTCGACCGGTTCTAGAGCCCAGTCTTTGCTGATATGAGCATAAAGAAGAAATAGAACTTTCAGACAAGCTGGATTTTTCTCAAGCTCCGCCAAATCAGCGATTCCAGTAACAAGTAATGGCAGACCAAGATCGCGTTCTAATGGCTGCTTGAACTTTTCAAATAGAAGTGAAATGAGAGTATAGAAAGCTAAACGTGTATCTGGTTTTTGTGAAATGAATATGTTGCCTTGACCCTGACACAGCCCAAAGACCGATTGTGCAACCACAGCTGCATCTCCAGGTGGGAAATTTCTCCAGGCGGCCAGAATTGACAGCGAATTAGCAACTTCTTTGAGACCAGCATGATAGCTGGGAACGTAGTCTCTGTTTTGGAGCCTTGCACAAAAGTATTCTGTGAGAGCATGCACTATTCCAATCAGCATATTGAAAAAGGTTATTTAACGTAACACTTACCATCCTGTCTCGATATTGGTTGTGTTTGCATAGTTTTCAACAAAGCAGGGAATAGTTCCAAAGCTATAGAATTAGTCACTGGAGAAGCATCTGTCTAAGAGACGTTTACCTCGAGCAACAATGGTCAGGTCTTCTTCTGGTCCGAGGAATGGACCCATATCCGACATTACTTTTGGGATCGTTAAAATGCCAAGATCAATACCTGTTGTGATCAGCAAAGACTCTAAGATTTCGTCATCAGTCTTACTGCCAGCCATATCTCTGATTATCTCCTGCTTTGCATGAGCTTGTCCTTCGGTTGACGTTGCAACCATCCAATCTTGAACCGTTTTGTTCGCCATGCTGGGCAGGCTTGACTAATTCCAAGGCAAAGCCTCAAACGAGCACTGTGAGGCAGGTTTATTAGCAAGATTGTTTGGTGAAGTTGATAATATGAATCTAAGAAGGCATTGATAGGGAAGTCAAAGTGTGATTCTTAGATACGCAAGAACAAGATATTTTTGAGTTGAGTAAAGCGGGGGATGAATGACAAGTGGCCAAGGAATCCTGTCAAGGTTTGGAAAGTGTCCAATACAATTATTTGGTAGGGAAGTCATTCATGCAAAGCAGGTAAGATGGTCTTCCATGGTGGAGAATGATGATAGTAGAGCACTCATTTCTGGGCACGTGTAATGTTCGCGCCCGGGAGCGCAATTCAGACTTTTCGGTGATATATAGTCCAGAATTGTCCATGGTATTGCATTTATTTCAAAGGAAGAGTCGCTGAGTTCAAGTGAGAAAGGGAATAACAACTTACAGAGTAATAATGCTAGCCGGCTGCCAGTAAAAGTAAGTTCGTATAGACGTCTATGCTTGGCGCTAGAATATATGTTGCAAAGAGACAATAGAAGCCAATAGCAAGGAGTGTACCAGGTAGATTAAAAGAATGTCCTGGGTGTTGTGCAAGGATCTGGTTGAAAGCAGAAGCAGAGGACGAAGCGGAGATTCATAGGATGGATATCAGAAAATAATTCTGCCACTTCACCGCCCCCTTTCCCGCGAGTGCGATGCTTCTTTAGTAAGTTTAACCGAGTGTGGTGCCCCTCGAAAATTTGCCCCTCGTCTTATCGTTATCGGGAAATTTTCTAAAACTACTTGCGCTTTGTTTTTCAGTCATCCAGGAATAAATACCTTGTCACAAATACCTTGAAGCTGCTTTGGGGGCTGGCTGCACCCCAGGACTTCTGAGTGGTACTCTCCTCAGCTAGTAGTTCTAAAATTGAATCAGACGCGGGTGAAATTCCCTGTCTGTCCTGCTACTCGTACTTATACGCAACCAATTCGATTCCAAAGCGTCCCAACTCCTACGAATTTCGGCCACACGATTTCCACAATGGCATCCAAAGAACCAGCACCTAACTGCAAGGTGTTTCTGGCTGGAACCATAGCCAAGGGACTACTGGCAGAGGTTGCAGAAGGGCTCTCCAAACTTGATACCAAGCCGAAGCTCGTAGGGTTTTTAGCCAATGATGATCCGGCAGCTAGAATGTACGCCGACTGGTCGGCGAAGACATGCATAGAAAAGTAATATATCAGTATTTCTCATACACTTCCGTAAATGATAGGCTAATTTGATATTTTTAGTGGCTTTGATTTTGACCTCCGAATCGTTGGCAAGGAGGAAATCGAAGAGCGCATCCTCGCAGCTAATACCGATTCTACTATTCACGGCATAATCGTCTACTACCCAATCTTTCCACGCCCGTCTGGCCAAGACAGATACATCCAGCAAATTGTTGCTTTAGAAAAGGATGTCGAGGGTCTTTCACATAGATACGTGTTCAACATGTACCAAAACATACGATTTCTGGATCTCCCCACAAACTCGCTCAAGTCAATCTTGCCCTGCACGCCCCTCGCAGTGGTCAAAGTTCTCGAATACTTGCAGATTTACAACTCCATACTTCCCTACGGAAACCGCCTCTTCGGAAAAACAATCACAGTTATCAACCGCAGCGAAGTGGTTGGCCGACCACTTGCCGCTCTTCTAGCGAACGACGGCGCGAAGGTCTTCTCGGTCGACTTGGACGGCGTCCAAATCTTCACGCGGGGTCAGGGAATCAAGAAGTCTCACCACGAGGTCCATGTTCAGGATGAGAGTTTCACAATCAAAGATTGCCTACCAATTAGCGATGTTGTTATTAGCGGGGTGCCCGGGGACAAATACAAGGTGGACCTGAGCCTTGTTCGAGACGGAGCTGTGTGTGTGAATTTCAGCAGTGAGAAGAACTTTGATTCCCCTGCAGTGAAGGAGAAGGCTAGCATCTACATTCCGGCCATTGGAAAGGTCACGATCGCTGTTCTGCTGAGGAATTTACTACGTCTCGTGCAGAACCAAAATGCGGGAAAGAAAGTAGTAGAAGGCGGACAGGAGACATCCAACGGTTCGGTGAGTAATTAGATCGATTGGACTGTGGTGATTAGCTTCTTTTCAGGCTCAACCCAGCTGATGTCTGAAGTAGTGACCAACAGCAAAATAGACTGTGGGGTGACATGACAGCATTTGCGTTTATGGTGTTCCATCAAGTACGTACCCTATTAAATAAAAGCATTGAAGCATTTAGAATTGAAGAATACCCTTTGAATGTATTTCAATCAAGCAATCATCAGCTGTGGCGCATTGGAAGCAGTGGTATAATCATCCAATCCCTATTCAAGAGTGATATACATCTCCCCCATCCCTCCACAAACCTCCATCATTTCTCAATTTAGCTCCCACCCTTCATCCCTCCCCATCTCAAGACGCCGTCGCATTAGCTCCATGAGCCCCATCAAATACCTTTTTAATCCCTCCCGGTGCAAACCAAACATCATAATCCACAGTCTCCTCCCCATTCCCAACACCCCTCCTCGCAACCTTGCTCATGAACAGACTTGTCCCCTCCGCAAAATCCTCCCACGTGGTAACAGAAAGCCACGGCACCCCCTCCCTCTCCACGATCCCAACCTGCGAATCAGTATTACACTCTCGACATCCCTGGACCGCGTAACAAATCGAACATGGCGCCTCGTTCTTCACTGCGTGGCTGAGACGACACCCGAGACGCTTCCAGAGCTTCGCTTCCCGGACGCGGAGAAGGACTGCGCAATGCGTGGCGCTGCAGAGCTTGATGCTTCTAAACAGTGCTGGCGGCTCCGAACCAAGCTTCTTAAGCGCTCTGGGGAGAAATACTAGGTGTTGAGTTCGAAGGTAGAAGATACCGTCGACAATGTAGCCGGTGAGTTTTCTCGTATAGACTGAATTCCCGTCAAAGGATTTGAACGTCCAGGTGCTCAGAAAGCCGTCGATGAAAACCTGAATATCGGCACTTTGAGAGAATGGCGTTGTCGCCCACCGTTCGAGCGATGTTTGTATGAATGGGAAAAGCAGACCGTAAGCTAATGCAGCACCACGGTTTGAGAGCTCGGATCTGTCGCCATTAGAAGACCAGACGATGTATATCTCGGGCTTGTGCAGGGTTTGGCAATAGTGACAGATTGTCATGGCAGCCGGAGCGTCCCGACATAAATCTATGCGAAGCAACTCGATAAGCTTCAATCGTTCTTTTTGTATTTAGAAGGCTGAAATTGCAAATTCGTTCCTTGGAAATTCAAGCTTTTCCAAGTGAAGACTTCTGGAGCAGGGAAATTGAGTCTTGCTATAACCATGTCGCCGAGTTTCGACTTCGTGATTTTTGAACATAGTGCTAGCAAAGCTTCCGAATAACAGGATAAACGCTCTCCAATGAGTTGAAGAAGTCCGTTGGGAAGGGTTTTTAGCCGTCTCAATCCGATTAGATATGGAATTTCCATCCTCTTCGATGCTAGAATTGAGGATGTCGGGGGTTTTTGATTTCGTGCAAAGCTAGGCGCTATATATACCTCCTGGCTATTTTGAGGAAGTATTGGAGGTAAAGGTAGAGTTGATGGCGAGCTAATTTCAATGTTCGCCAGTCCATTGGTGATGAGACTCTGGGGGCCATCTTTGACTTTGTGAATGTGTGTGGTGTGTGCTGGGTTACTTGTTGTTTGTGTTTGCTGTCTGATCGATGTCTGGTGTTTGAGGGAGAAGGGAAAACTTAATCCTGTTTCAATCATTGGAATTTCTAACATCTTTGCTTAGCTTTCATCGAGCATCAGACGTTAGATATCAAGTATCAAGCATCAAAAAGAATCAAGAGAATAAATGAAGATTTCACTGTTGCGAGGTTGTTAGTGTACCACAGTTCGTGAAATAGGGGTCACTACTGTAAGCGAAGCGCGGCTTCACCTATAACACTTCACTATTACACGCCTTAGCCAGCATAGTATTAGTTTGGAATCATGAAACTAAGATTAGAAGCTCTTCAATTTTAATTATATATCTCGGGACTGTGTAGCGATAGATGTAGCGGGCGAAAGTCCTAAGTGTGGAGATAGAAAATCAATGGGAACCCACGCAGGATAGGGCAACTAACTTCTCTCCCACCTAGGCAATTTTCACTAGAAACTGGTAATAAAAGGGGTCAAGTGATATCTTACATTGAGAATATTCGCTTCCCTGAGAATAGTAGAAGAGATGACATGGAAAGAAGAGTAAAGTTCGTTCATTCGTTCATTACTATAGAGAACGCCGCCCAAAACATTAACCGTTGCTTGAGAAAGAACGAGCATGAAATATAAAAAACACATGACATACCCATCTCCAAAGACCCCTCACATCTTCAGCAATCCCTCAATATTACCACTAACCAACGCTCCAACTTTCTCTCCCACAATCCAAGCCCCATCTACATCACTTCCCACCGCCTCCATGTCACCTGTCCACCACAACCCCTCGCCAACTTTGAACTTCCCAAAGCCATCGGTCCTTGGATACAACATAGGGTAAGCGTTCTCAATCTTCTGCGTATAGATTTCTTCTACTCCCTCAGCCCACAGTGTCGCAAGAGTTTCGAGGGGTAGGGGTTTGGAGGAGAAGATTCGGTAGAGAGACGAGTTGTGGATGGAAAAGGGGAGAACTGGAGTGTAGATATTTCGGAGGTGGGTGATTTCGTGTATGCCGCTTATATCTTGTGGGGAATTGGATGATTGAATAGGGAGGATTTGAGAGGGTAAGGAGGTAGAGTCGCCGAATCTGGAAGAGTCGAGCTTCGACGTTGAAGAGACGAGAGTAATCCAAAGGGAGTGGTAAATGATCTGCTCCTGCGCCTCTGCTTCATCTGCGGATAGGAGCGAGCTCGTGTTCCAAGGTGCTGCGAGGATGACTTTGTCAAAGACCTCGTAGGCCATCTCTTTTTTGCCCGTGCCGTTGAGTTCGAGAATCCAAGCTTCTTTGCTCTCTTGTATAGATTCCTTCTTCAAACTGGTGATTTTGGTATCGAGTCTGACTTTGGCTTTACTTTCGCCGAGGAACTTCTCCAAGACGTCCACGAGCCTACCGCCTTGCCCTTCAACACAAAACCCCTCGTCTTCTCTCTCCAGGGCCATCGATAGCGCCAAATCGCTCATCTCTTCCACCTCACAACCACTCTGCCTTCTAACCTGCGCTCGCAAGATATCCCGCACATAATCGCCTTCAACACCATTCTTCTCCAACCTCTCTTCTGCACTCAAACTTACTGCTCCACTCACGCTCCTTCCAGAGATCCAGTCACCTAGCCCCTTAAACTCGTCGCCTTTGTTCAAGAACGATTTCCATCCCTTCATAGTCCCCGTGGGCAAGTCCCCAGCCCTCCAAAAGCTCGCTCCATACTTCCAAACCAGCTTCGCCCACAACTCCCACCCGATCTCCACCCTCGGTCTCTTCATCTCAGTAACCATACTCCCACCATCCCAAAACCCAACACTATCCTTCTTCCCTGCCACCGATTTCGCCCCATTCATCCCAAACTTCACACCGAGACCCGAGCTCGCTCGCTTGGCAAAAAGCCGATTATGTCCCAAACAACCACCCGCGACATCCTCCGCATGCACAGCTATCCCGAATTCCTGACTCGGAGAGAGTACCATCCTCCCACCTATCTTGTCTGACTGTTCAAAAACCGTGATATTAACCCTAACATCCTTCCTGCCCTCAAAGCGTTTCGCAAGTGTGTACGCAGTGCTGATACCAGCGGGACTGCAAGTTCGAGAATTAGCATTCATTGAATTCATTATCCGGTCAAGTCCTGAACAAAAAACGAGATAATATGTACATACCCAGCGCCTATAACAGCTATACTCTCCTCCCGCACTGTCGGCGCAGGAGCCGTGGGCGGAGAAGCGAACCATGCATTCCAGCCCGTGATAAGCAGTAACAAAAGACCGAGCGAGCATGTGAGAACCAACATATCGGATATGAAAGTCATAATTATATCACGCCATATTATTTGCCGGTTGGGGATGGTTGTAAATGCTTCAACATCCTCGACAGCATCCCGTTGGATGAGGGGTGATCGTTCTGTGTAGGCAGGCGGGGGAGAGCTGCTTCTGGAAGTGTGGTTTTTGGACATTTCGTTGAAGTGAAGATCGTAGAGGAAGAGGAAGAATTGAAATAGGTGCGAGAAGTCATGTTGGAATAAGAGGAGAGACAGGTGCGAGCGAGGCTGTGGATGAGGGGTTGCAGATGAGGTCTAGCGAGTTGGTTGGTTAGGCGTTTTTTGTGCGACGAAGCCTACTTATAAGAAAATGCGAATGCATGAAACGCAGGCCAATTCAGTAGCCGTGAGGTTGCATGACAGGTTATTAAAACGCATTTCTCTTGGTGGGTCTTTGCAAATCCAAAAACACGCTGAAGTTGGAAATATAATTTTTGTGGATTCTTTTGCTCTTCAAGGGTCATAACCTTGCAATGCCATCTAAGCTATGCATCTTAACTCCATAGCCCCAAATTCAAGATTCTTGATCATTGCTTTTCATACACAATCTATTCGTCGGTCTCCTCAACCTCCTCAATGACCTCACCCTCGCCATCATCCTCGAAAGAGCCAGCAGGGACCTCGTACAGCCTCAAGATCTGCTTGTTGGGATCCTTGACCAAGACGTACTTACCCTCTTCGCGCTTGAGACACATGTCGGCGATGGTGCGAACAATACCCCATCCATTAGAAAGGCTCAGGTTCATTTGAGAGGCAAAATCTCTTGGCTTCCAGCCCACAACTCCCAAGACAACGTGCTTATCGTTTGTCTTTGGGTTTGCGCGAGAAACGAATCTAGAAATGTTAGTAAAAGTTAACCTCGTTTGAGTAGAGCAACATACCCAAGCTTCATGACATCCGCACGAGCCATGATACTCTGAACAGTCCATCTAGCAAGCTTGCAGCTGTTGTTCTTCATTTCCGTAGCCACAACAGCACCACGCTGACTGACCAGCTTGGTTCTCCAATCCAGAGCACCTCCACTTCCTTGAGCTTTGTGATCAAACTCGTTCAAAGCCTTGACTGTGATGTATTGATCCTCACCACTGATGGCGTTCTTCTGAACTGCATCGAGCTCGGTTCGGACAATCAAGTGAACTGGATCCTCATCATTGAGCGAAAGATCAAAGCGGCGGTATTTGTAAGCCTTGCTAGCAGCTGGCTCGGTCTCTTCGGCGGGGTTGTAGAAGGGGTTCTCGTGGGACATCTCAACCTTCTGGTTCTCATTCTCCACCATGACTTGGTTTGCAAAGTTGTGGTTGATGTAAGTAGCTTCGTCAGCCAGCGCACTAGGTTGGTTGATGGCATCCTTACTGCCTTCAGACGCATCCATAGGGGCATCGGCTGCATTTTCGTTGACGGTGACCATGTCGAGTGTAGCATTGTCTCTCTTGTCGAGGAACACCTTGTTGCCTTGTCGAACGATGACAATATCCCAAGGATAAACGGATCGGGGCGAGCACATAAGCATAGAAAGAATGCTGTCTGTTGCAAAAATAGTAGCCTCATCTTTCTCAGCGAGCTCTTGGATGACAGGGTCGGAGGAGGTAGTGACGTTGTAGGCAGCCCGGTCAACGACACTCAACTTGCGTTCTGCAGTCTTAACGGCCTGCTTGTCGTATGATCGATCGTAATAGTAAAGGAAACCGTAGCTGTCAATATCTTCTCCGTCGTCGGTATCCAAGTTCAATTTAGCAAGACGGTTGAAATCGATCTCCTCCAACATCTTCCAATCAGGCTTAATATTGACCGATGCATCCCTATTGCGTTGCGGCTTATCATAGTCTTTCCATCCGAATCGTCGTCCCCCACGCGCACCACCTCGGCCTCCTCTGTTATCGTAGTTGTTGTATCCTTGTTGGCCACCTCGTCCTCCAACTCTCTGGAACTGTCCGCGCCCGCCTCGCGTATCGGTTCCTCGCCCACCACGTTGGCCCCGTCCTCCTCGACCGAAGGCTCCACCACGTCCAAACCTTGTCTTTGTCGAATCGCGAGTATTGCTGACGACGGAGAAAGAAGATTCGTCTTCCGCAACCTGGACAGCGAAAAGCGAAGATGTGCCAGCGCCGTAGACTTGTTGATCTACTCTAAAAGTCAGTCCTTTTCTCGCCCCGTCATATTTGTTCGAGTAGTAATATATGGCAGTTTAAATATGAGGCATAAGATCAAACCTCTGTAGTTTCTTTGATATTGTTGTCTCCCACCTCTGCCATCTCGTCCATCCTTGCCCTCGGTGGTCCAGTCTGCCATGCGACCCAATTTGTCGCCTTTGGAGTAGGGAGCATAGGGAACTCCGTTCAAAGTCGTTTCTGTTGAAGTTGGGGGGCCCCATGAGTCGCCCGACGGAAGGGCCGCAATTATATCTGAGAGAGATAGTGATGCCATGATTGCGGTTTGTTGTGAGGGGGAAGTTGCGAATTTCGTTGACGGCGCTCTCAAATTTGATTTTCTGTGGGAGTAGGCGCGGGGCAAAGCCGCAACCATCCCTGCACTATGTACTAATCACGTGCTGACATATACCAGGGACGAAATTTGATATATGAGAAGCAAGGGTTTGAGAATTGGGGAGTTTCTAATATCATTGAATTGAATGTGCTAATCGGGTTTTACACTTATTAAACAAGTAAGTCGTCAAGGGACCTTGTACAATTTCAAACAGATCCAAAGTCCAAAATCATTACTCAACCACCAAATCACATGCAGGTACTATAGGTGCACTGCCCTCAATAGACCATATCAAGTTCTGACTTGACATTGAATACGCTTGCTAACACGTCGCGAACCTCGAATTCTTCTAGCACGGCACCAAAGCTGGAGAGAGTCAGCAAGTTTGTAGGTGAAGAGCAGGACAAACTCACCCATAGCACCTAATCTTCGTCTTCAGCTCGTGGGACATTCTTTCAAAGTCTTCAAGTTTCAATTCGGCAAACCGGGGGTGGCTTAACACCATACCCCACGCCATAACAGGGGTAATCTCTCCATCGAGGTCAAGTCTCTTGCTCAAGTCTAGCAAATTCGATAGATCCGATTTCGACAGATCCCAAGTCTTTTGTGCATCTCCATTCTGTCTGGGACCATGTCCAAACGGGATTTCGGATTCTGGTTCTGGTGCCGGAGGGCATGAAGCCATCAGAGCATGACCGCAAAATTCGCCCTCTGATTCACTGGCTCGCTCAACGAGGAACTGCAGATGATCCATGCAGGGCCGTTCGAGACTACGTCGAAATTGTCGTCAGTTAATGCGGGGGAGGCGACATGTAAGCTCTTGAAGGATCGGCGTACGTTAAGACGAAATCAATGCCAGCTTGATCATAGTCAACTCCTGTCTGAACCTGTTGTTGCGCCATGCTGCGACCATTGTTGCCGTTCATTGGGACGTTTGAGGGTGATGGGTTTTGACGTTGAGGATTTGAATTCGATGAGTTCGTCAATGGAGGGCTATAGCCTTGAGATCCTGGGCCATAGGATCCTGATATGCTGCCACTGGAAGTATAGCCAGCGCTAGTGGGTAGGGCCAACTCATCAACACCACCACTACCGCTCCAGGGGATGCCGTGCTTGGCAAGGAGCTGCTTCAATTGGCGGTTCTCTTCGGCTAGGCTGTCTTTATTCCGTGTCACCAGGCTGAAGTTTTCTTTCAGGCGGAGGACTTCTTGCTCGAGGGCTTTGATATATAGCTCCTTTCTTTCACGATGCGTGCTATTTGACATCAGTAATGTAAATATCGATGCATGGGAGCGAATCTCTTACCGCTGGGCCTGGCGATTCAATTCCTGCCTCCTGGTGAGAGCGGGCTTAGCATCAGGTTTAGGGCCTCTTCTTTTCGGTGGCTGTCCATCAACTAAATAATCGTCAGCACTCCCGAGTCGGCATCAAATGCAAATTAAACGTACCCCGAGTGCTTTTCTTTTCTGTCAGGTTCTTCAGAAACCCCAAACTCATTGAGAGAGGGCTACCTCCTTTGCCGTTATCTGACTGGCCACTGCTTCCATATCCACTTCCACTCAATTTATTGCCGTATTGGTCGACGGGGGATGCTAAAGACATGGCTGCAGGCTCTGGCTGGAGAGTAGGTTGAAGCACGGCCAGGTATCGTGCACGAAAGGCGTTTTTTGATCTGCTCGGTCACCGATTAGCCTTGCCATGGCACATTGTTTCAACGTGGAACGATGTAGGTTGGTTTGACGAAACACCTTTCTGGAGAGCGATTCGCAGCGTATCTAGAGCTGTGACTTACCCAAGAGTGTGGACCTGCTTGAAGCTAGGTTTTGGGTTGTGGGTTGTGGGGAATCACTGTTATGCGGGGGGGGGTGAGGTATTTGGAATTGAAAAGTGCGTAAGCCTGGCTGAAAGGCTTGACCGCCACTGGGTTAGACAAGCTATTGCGCGATGGAAAGGTAGGTAACGTTGAAGAGACAAGTCTCTGGGTATTGAGTATATGGATTGCAGGCTGTATGAGGATCAAGCTTTGCGATTGAGTGTTGAATCTAGAGTAGATGCGGGAGATGTCGCACTAAAGTAGAGGTGAGGTTAGGAAATGGCTGAAGTAAGGCAAGTCCGGGAGTAATGGGCTCAAGTGGGGCTGTGCCGATGGGATGGATCCAGCAGCGACAACGTCCCGTTCACCAGCTGCTCAGTGCCCTCAGAATCTCAAGAGTTTAGATACAGTACGAAATACGTAGGTGATTTTTACGATATGCAGGGCATGCTTATTAAGAACTTAACAACATACAGGGTAAAGAAGGGGAGCCACCATAGACACGCAATACTTCATGGGAGAAGCCAATAATACATTCACACAACGATGCATGTGAGCTGAGCTGAGCACTGAGCACTGAGCAGAGTTGAAGATTACTTCGTATCTTATAATATTACTACGTAAGTTAAAGTATAGGTAACTTTCCGAGGGCTATGATAGACCCAATGGAGATCTTACTTATTAAAATGATATAAAATTAAACTCTGAGTACTGTTGAGTACGAATACATACTACCTACCTAGGTAGGTACTTATGTACCTATACCCTAGGGTTCTACTGTAACAACTGCCGGAGACGGCGAGGTCAATCTCCGACATATAATTTATATGATCGTAATATAAGTCTTTACACATCCTAGAAGTTCGGATTACGGAGTACGGTACCTCGTATCGTCATGCTTCACAAAATATGGTTTAAACGCATCACCACAATCGTGACTTCGGCCGAACTGGTCCATCAGTCCCCTAGGTGCTGACCGTACTACGGTACTTTATTCTGTCAGGCACAGGCCGTCGGGAAGGATGAATCCCGTGGGGCTGGACCTGGCTGTACAGGGGGTGAATAACGTACATAGGTAGTGGGGCATAAGTTTGTGTTTCCGGGCGTCTTCTTCTGACCGTCCGTTACGAGTACCAGTCTTTCTTCCCTGTCTGTCTACCCCTCACCCAAATATTCACATGGCTATCGCCGACTTCTTCATCACCTTGCGAGGTATATTGATTATCGCACCATGGACTATCGAACTGATTCTTATGGACCTGATCATCTCAGCCCTCCTCCCCGTTAGCTACTTCTTCCCCAACTTCGTCTACAATGCCTCGTCCTTCGTCGCCTTCACCTGCTGGAACTGGATCCAATGCATATTTGAGATCTTCAACGGCGGCAAGATCTCGATCTCTGGCGACGTGCTACCAGAGGGTGAGTCCGCCATTGTTATTGCAAACCATGTCAGCTGGACCGACTTTTACATGATACAAGCCTTGGCTGTTCGTGCGGGCATGCTAGGAAGATGTCGCTGGTTCTCCAAGATAGAGCTCCGATGGGTTCCATTGCTGGGCTGGGGTATCTGGGGTATGGGCATGCCTATGGTTAGTAGGAATTGGTTGAAAGACAGGGCGGAGCTGGATAGGGTATTTGCGGGCGTGGTAGTCAAGAAATGGCCTACATGTGAGTGCAAGACCGTCTGCAGAGATACAAATACTAATTGCTACAGGGCTCATCAGTTTCACTGAGGGCACGCGATTCACACCGAAGAAATACGAGGAAGCAAAGGTGTGGTGCAAGGGGAATGGTCGACCAATTCCGAAACATCTACTTTACCCAAGAACGAAGGGCTTTGTCACGACAGTACAACATCTAAGAAAGGCAGAGCATATGAAGGCCGTTTACGATATGACGATCGCTTACGAGCACCACCACAAATTTCTACAGGCGCCTACAATATGGGAATCTATCTGTTGTGGAGATTTGAGTGGCAAGAGGGGATACAAGTTCCACGTGGACGTAAAGAGGATACCGTTAGACGAACTCCCAGAAGATGATGCGGGATTGTCAAAATGGTTGGAAACACGTTGGATAGAGAAAGGGGAGTTTCTGGAGGCGAAGCGAGAAGAATGGGCGAGGAGTTGATGTTGACGGAGTAAATGCGCTTCGGCGGCAGGCGTTCCTTTAAGGAACGACATGTCTCACTTCTCACTGCCAAATGCAGACAGTAGAGAACATCGATGGTTTTAAACGACAGATTCTTTGTTCCAAACCCGTTGTTTTTCCCGATATCCAAAATGCTCTGGTCAAACAAAGGGCTCGCACCCAACCTCATTAATATCTTGGATCACCACAAGATTGAATCACTACCATACCAAAACCCCAAACGTGAGTCCTTCAAACATCCTAGAGCATCTCACCAATCACAACACCAAACAAATGCCAAAAATGCCTTTCCACTCCTCCAAATTCCAATCTCGCCTCATGGACACGGCCTTCGACTCCGAATACCTCGACCTCCCCTCCCCCTTCCACGCCTCCCCCGCCACCTCCACCCCTTCCTCTACCTCTACCTCCACCTCCACCTCCTCCTGGTACAAGCCTTTCCCCTTCTCCCTCTCCACCATTCCTGAGCACAGCGAAGACCCCGACGAAGGCCTGCTAGCGCACGACTGGGGCGTGCAGGAAAGCCGCGTGCGGCGGCGGAAGAGAATGCGCATGGCGGTTGAGGTCACGGCGCTGTTTTTGGCTGCCGTGATGTTGGGCGTTCTGGTGGTGGTGTGTGCGAGGATGGGTATGGATATGGGGAGGGGCGTTGTGGATCGTGTTGGGGGTGGACATTGAGTTGTGTGTGTATCTACAGTAATCAAGATAGGTTGATGAATCGGAGTATAATCTACTTTTCAGTTTGTCGAACAAATGCGTAGACTGGAGTGGGAGTGCAGAGCTTCCTGTGCTTTCCATATATCCAACCCAATCCTGCTGAATATTCGCAAACTTGATATCACTTTCCTACTTTCCAAAGCTATCATACATACGATTCATTCCTTAGCGCCCTTGAGTTTCCCACCTATGCATTCATTGCAACTGCAATTAAAGTTTGATATCAATCCCTAGCGCGGATGCTGCAGCCTTTCCATCTTTGGTAATAAATATATCTTCATCTGATCATTTAAGCTTTTGCCAAAACCTTATTTCAACGACATCTTGGTGCGACGTGCAACGAATAATTGGAATATACTTGCCTATCTGGGGACCTAGCCAGCGGTGAATTGTGGGAGTATGGTCGGCGGTGGGAGGTGGATGTTAAGGGGGGAGTGAATTGTTGATTGTTTAAGCGAGAGACAACCATCATAAGGTAACGAGGGCAAGTTGCACAGCAAGTAAAGATCAAGCTGTCGAATTTGCGACAAGTAGAGACAATGTTACGAGGGTCGTACAAAAAGACGGAATTCGATATTGATTTCGATCCAATTGAACGCGCCGTCCACAAAGGGTGGGAATACTATGCTGTCTGGCATCGATCCCTCCCCGTTCTCATACCCGGGTCTTCGGTGTCCACGCTCTTACAACACCATCCTCACCTCCCGTGCTCTCGGAATCGCTCTCATTCTTACTACACCAAACATCAGTAACTGCAACCCAAACACCTGCTAGCAATACTTACGCATCTCTCCTCTGCAGCACCACAGCAACCGTCAGCGTCACAGCCGCACAAACAATTAACCCCACCGTAACCGAATTCCCCAGCATAAACCTCGGCGCCTTCGTCGTGTTATACGTCAGCAGCGGGATCCACGCATTAAAAGCATAAGCCACCGAATTCGTCGTGCCTAGGATGAACTTCCTCTCCAGCGTATCGCCGGCGCACATTTCATTCACCATGGTGAGGAATATGGGACCAGAGCCTTGCGCAAAGCCCGTTAGGTAGAAGGAAGCCCATTTCAGGCCGAAGGGGACGCCGTCCCAGATTGCGAGGTTGAGGGCCGCGAAGAGGCAGACGGTGAGTGAGAAGTAGACGATGGGAGCGCGGAGTTGCAGGGCGTCGGATGTCCAGCCGTAGGAGAGGGTGGTGACGATTGTGATGGCGTTTATTACCGTGGGGTAGGTGTTGACTTGGGGGACCGAGTAGTGTTTGAGGGATTTGAGCCAGAGGTTCATGTATAGTCCGATGTTTTCGCTGCAGATGAAGAACCTACGGAGTTCAGTATGGGTGGACCTCTCAATGAGGACCTGACTCACGTGTAGTATGTTGTGTAGACCCAGAAATGCCACTTCCAGAGGACTCTCCTGATGCCGACCCAGGTGAAAGGCTCGTCTTGCCCTTTTCCTGCATCTATCATTCGTTGCCGAGCCAATTGTTTCTCTTCTTGGGTTAACCAACGTACCCGAGTGTTGCTTGGAAGGTCCGGAAGGGCATAATATGCTAAGAAGAAATTAGCATCCAGCTTTCCCTTCAAGTGTAGAAACAAACCCCACAAGGCCATGGGAAAAGTGATGATCCCGTCAAAGATGAACAACCATCTCCAGCCCTCCAAACCACCGGTTCCATTCATACCCTTATACAGCGCAGCCTGTAAATACCCACTGAACATCGACCCCACAAACGCAGAAGCGAAGAAGATAGAAGCCCGTTTAGCCAGCTCTCTTTTCGTATACCACCCTCCCAGAATCGTATGAACAGCAGGATAGAATGTTCCTTCCGCGAACCCTACGAAAAATCGGCAGGCGTAAAGATGATGAGGAGTTTTTACAGCAGCAGTTGCAAATGTGACCAGAACCCAGATCAACTCCCAGGTTGGACACCAGATGGAAGGCCGAATACGAGTGATGATTATTTGAGAAGGGATTTGGCTTAGCACGTAACCAATTGTCCACATTGTAGTGAAGGTTTGGTATTCATTTCCCACGACATGGAGGTCCTCTTTCATGCCGGAAACGTAGGCGTTTGAGACATTGTTGGAGTTGAGATTCTTGGAGAAATAGGTAAAGCCTGCCCATGTGCTGTTTATGCTGTTAGCGAAGCTTAAGGAATAAGAAAGATAATTCGCACAGTATGAATATGTCAAGTTTGAAGATTAATCTCCGCTCTTCTGGTGAGCGGTCCAAGCTGTCCCATACTATCTCTCGAATTCGAAGCCGGAGAGACGTCTTCTTAGATGATGGAGATAGTGAGCTGGAGTCAGGAGTTGTGGCCTCAGCTTGGATGCCATTCTTTTGGATACTATGAGACATTTCAGCAAAAGCTATCGAGTTCCTGAGGTTGGAGTGGAAGGTACCGCTGCCGTGGTTCTTAGATGTACTCGATCTGCATCTCAGAACCTTGTTCGACGACAGTCTCTCGAGCACGCTCCTGCAAGCATTAATGGCAACATCTTGATTGCATGAGTAGAAAGTGGAGAATAGATACGAAGCATATAGATGGTCGAGCATTTGCATGATAAATGTACATAAGTCACGTGGATATGGACTTAGATTTGAGCTTCTTACGACAAGACTTCTTGGTTCATATAACACTAGCGCTGGGTGCAGAGTACGAACCGGACAGAAGAACCAATAGAGCCTTTGAAATTGCGATAATTCTCGTTTGTGTTCTGATGAGGTGCTTTGGATGTTATAAGACGTGCTCAAATAATCAACCGAATCGTTATTCACATCCCACTTTCAGTGAAGTTGCCCATGGGATTTGGATTCTAGGTGGAATATGATTTGGTCAGTGCGGGGTGATCAACTAGCCAGATACAGGTACAAGGCATATTTGTCTTAATTCAAAACGTCCGATTTCCATCTCCATTAAAAATTCAGAATCGACCATTTCAAATTCAAATGTACTGAATAGACACAATGGCCCCGACTACGTCATCGAAAGAACTTCCAGACTATAGATATCCTAAGCAAACCAACGAGAAACGTGAGAAGTCTGAATCGATCTCTTGACTTCCCGAAACTCAATGCTGACTGCACAAAACAGTTGAGTGGGCCGATCTCGAAGCTTTAGACATCTCAAAACTTGAACAACCCGGCGGCAAGGAAGCTTTAGCCACTCAAGTCCTAAATTTCATCGACAAAAATGGTAGACTCTCCTTTGGCATATCCTACCGCTAGTTAAAATCTCACAAACTCCAGGCTTCTTCTATGTCACCGGGCACGGCCTCTCGGACGAGCAAATTAGACGCCAATATGCGCTTGCAAATGAGCTTTTTGAGCTCCCATTAGAAGAAAAGACCAAGTATCTTGCCAATACAGCAGCTGGCGACTTCCGCGGGTACAAAGCAAAGGCAACGGGAAAACTTGCGGGCAAAGACAATGACGAAAGATATAACATTCCCAAATTTACGCCAGAACATGAACGTCCTCATCCTGAAATAATCCTAGATCATTACAAAGAGATCAGAGACTTTTCCCTCGTTCGTAACCTGGCAGCGTTATGTGTCCACATTATTCATGGTTCGTTAACAGACAATAGCACATCCACAACAAGATCCTTCTTCCGCTGCTCAAAATATTCGCTTTTGCTTTGGAGATCGACGAAGACTATTTCGTCAACCGACACCGATATGATGCTGAAGGTCTGGAGTACCTCAGATACATGAAATACCACCCGGATCCAAAAGATCTCTGGGCTATCGGGCACACGGATTACAACACCCTCACCTTTCTCTTCCACCAACCAGTCGCCGGTCTGCAAGTCCAAACCAAAGAGGGCTGGAGATACGTACGTTCCAAGGAAGACTCAATAATCGTCAACGTCGCCGATGCACTTGAGTTCCTCAGTGGCGGATATCTCAAGTCGACCGTGCATCGGGTCATCCGACCACCGCCAGACCAGGCTGAGAAGCCAAGACTGAGCTTAATTTATTTTGCAAGGCCAGAGGCGGCGATCAAGCTGGAGCCAGTGAAAAGTCCGTTGCTTGAGAGGTTGGGCTTGCAGAAGGAGACTGAGGGGGGTGTTGCCAGTGTCACTGCTGAAGAGTGGGCTAGAGCGAGGATCGCGAAGGATCATCGATTTCGGGCTGGCCTTGCGAAGACGAGAGAGACTGAGATAATTGCTGGAGTGCATCAGAAGTATTATGACTAGTAGCCAGATTCACAGTCTAATTGTACACTTTCTAACTTGCCATTTGTTTGGTGTTTGTGTGAGACACTGGCAAATTTCGTTGTGGAAATCTCGGGCTCGGGATCCTCAAGCCACTGGAGGTTTAGCGACCTAGCCCCTGAAAACGATATACACTCCACTATTACCTCGTTAAGCGAGTAATAGGGGCAGAACCCCCCTTCCCTTGTTGGAATTGGTTAACACTATCACTGGGATTATTTACTTAGTTATTAATACCAGCAACCTTCGAAGTTTTAATGATTAATAGATATGCCGCCATTCCCACCAGCGTCTTAAGTGCCTCGTTTAATAACCTGCCTCAGTCTCGAATCTCGGCATTCAAGGCTGTTGAGCACGGTAAGGTATAGTACGCTGGTAGCGTGACAGGGAGTATTGTTTAACGCGTTTGTGATTTTGACAGAAAACTAGTCAAAGGCTATGGCTAGGCGTGAAGGTACTCATGTACTTAATGTGATGGATACATGTATGCCTTAAGTCCACCCAATGTAATCAATCCATCCATCCCAAACAAAATCAAAGCTTTCAGTTTTGATCGATTTCCTGGAGTCAACCTTCAAGCATCATCAGAATCCTCTTCATCTTCCTCTCCCTCCACCTCTTCTACCTCCACCTCCTCAAATACATCTCTGTTCAACTCATCCTCCTCGTCCGATTCAGGTGTTTCCATCTTAGCCTTCCTACCCCTACCCCTACCCCTACCCCTCCCCCTCCCCA